TTATTTTATTGGACCGTTTTATTTTTTTGATTAAGAAAATCGTCAGTCTTTAGATGGATACTTAGTCTTCTGATTCGATTATTTGCGTTTAATGCAATTTGATTGATATTACATTTGTATTGTGAGATTTATTTTATTTTCAATCAGGATATAACAAATCACTCATTATTGCCTATTAGTATACACCAACTCAAGTTCATGTCATGTATCAGTCTAGCTCAAAGAACTTAAAATACTCGAAAGGACTCGGAAGGCTCAATTATTCATGTGAAGTCTTAAAAATAAACTCAAGTCTCGAAACAAAGACTTTTAAGACTCGAGGTTCTTACTTACAACACTAGCGCGGTCAACTTTTTTGCTTCGTTTCGTTGCTACGTTTGAAATAAAAGATTTTTGCAAGCGCAGAGGTATTTTAACGAATTTTTGAATAAACATCATTAATCAATTCCATTAAGGCCACTAAATAAGTACTTACCTATAGCCTGACCAGGAACATAAAAACCCTCGCCATGTTGCGGAAAACTAATGGTACTAATTTCTTTTAATGGCAACAGTAACTGAAAACTTCATTGACATGTCACCTTGCATGTCAGTCTATTGTTGTCAAAGTGTAAACAAACTTTATTTTAAATGTTTGCAATTGATTATGTGAATTAAATTGCTAAAATATTTTTATAGTCGTGAAAGAAAAGTGGTTCACGATGTGTTAATGTATTTGTCGAAGAGAAATACTAAGGGTTCGGACAATATTTTCATCGAATAATGTTTCCGACAAAGGTTGTCAAATTGACTGACATGTTTATCGTATAGTACAGTCCACTATGAAAATTAGCTGTAGTCTGTTTCAACTACTTATTTTAATGTTTTTTGTCACTTTCTAAGTTTTGAATTTTATGGTATTGGGAAAGAAGTACCGAGTTTGAAGGGTTCATGAGCAGACATTGCAGTTGAATATTCAAGTTCTGAATTTGATTATTGATGAATAATAAAATAAATCCTACTAGCTCGATTGATGGTTTCATTTAATTTATTTAAACCAGGTTACCTTTAATAATATTTTTCGTTAATTTATGAAAATATCAAATTAGCCCGTAATCCTGAATCCTGATACATAAATTTAGCCTATTAATTTAACACATGTACGACTGTACTCAGTGTTGCACTATCAAATGCAATTGAAGCGCCTCTATGCCAGGGTTTTTATGTTCCTGGTCAGGCTATACATAAGATTTTTTTATGTTACCAAAATAAATAAATTTTAATTTTCTCCTTAATTTAAGGACCTTAAATAACTAGTAAACTTACGTATATAGCTTGGGATCTATTAACTAAATATGTATGAATGTTTAATAACCTATGAGTATATTTACATCGTAATAATAATATATACACTGTTATTGACCATTATGTCAAACTTACACTGTGTGTATGTGTTTTTGGATCATTAAATAATAAGAAGCGAATTTGGGTGCGCGCGTAGGTAATATTATTATCGCGCGCCTAGAACATTCCAAGCTAGCCGTTAGCAATGCGGCCCGCTGATTGGCCGGAGGCCTCTATCCTTTTATGGTCAGAAGCTTCTAGCGGCTCACCGCGCCGCACACGCGGCCGAGAGCCGCCAGTCGTCTCGTCGTCGAACTCTCGTGATCTGCGAACGTACTTGTGCGCACACCCGGACGCGCCGCATTTTCAATATTCCTACCTAGTCTTTTCATTTCATCTTATCACCTACGTTCACCCATCGACCTACATCGCCTACAGTTATGGTACCATTGAACTGGTCTGATGATGGAGTCAGGAGGCGGCCATAGAAACTCCTAAATGAAACGGCGGAATCGCATCGAATTTGGGTTCGTTGGATTTATCTTTTTGAGCAATTTAGTACTAGATGATGTCCAGGGTCCTGATGATGGAGTCAGGAGGTGGCCATAGGAATTCCTAAACAAAACGGAGGAAACTTATCGAGTTTGGGTTTGTTGGATTTGTCTTGTATAATAAAATTATAAAAAACTTTTTTAAAAACAAGCTTTTATTCTGAAATGCAGTTGTACTAAAACGAAAAAAAAACCGGCCAAGTACGTGTCGGACTCACGCACAAAGGGTTCCGTACCATTGATTAATTATTTTTTTTAAAATTTAAGTTATTTGTATGAAAGATTACGCGGTAATAGGTAAGCGGTTTACGATTTACGAGGTAATAAAAAAAAACTACTTACTAGATCTCGTTCAAAACAATTTTCGTTGGTAGTTTTTATAGTAATGTACATCTCATGTTTTTTTTTTATTTTTTTTTCTTAATTAAGAAGTTAAAAATCCACAATTTATATTATGCAAGGTTCAAACAATTTGGAAAGCTTGTAGCACAAACATAAAAGAGGAATAAATTCTACAGAGGATACAAGCTTTCGAATTTATTGGTATTTTATTCGTCTTAATATCACATGTTAACGGATTAACGATTAACGTTAACTTGCGTTAAATCTTCCGAAATGTAACGTTTTAACGTTTAACGAAGTTAATTTTTTTAGTAACGGATTAACGATTAACGAAGTTAACTATTTGATTAACGGTGCCCAGCTATGCCTAAGACCTTATTTCGTAGGATCATTTCTGTAGTAAGCTTTTCACTAAAACCTTTATGTATAAATAAAAGCTCGTATTACATAACGAAGCCACAATACATTCACATGGACGCAATCTATTTCACTTCTCTTCTGTACGTAAACCTTTTTCAACACAACAATTTCAAACAAGCAGAACTCACCTAACGCAGGAACTCTCAAATGATCCAGTCTATGATGCGCCGCTAGCATAGCCAACTGTAACAGTCGCCTAGCGCACTCGGGCCAGTCTTTACACGCTAGTAACAAAGCGAGAGCCTCCTTAGCGTCACGGCGGGTCCGCAGCGCCCGGTATAGAGCCGCGGCCCATTGCAAGCGTAATTACAAACAGAACTCACCTAACGCAGGAACTCTCAAATGATCCAGCCTGTGATGCGCCGCTAGCATAGCCAACAGCCGCCTAGCGCACTCGGGCCAGTCCTTGCACGCTAGTAACAAGGCGCGGGCCTCCTTAGCGTCGCGGCGGATCCTCAGCGTCCGGCATAGAGCCGCGGCCCAGCGTAAGCGTATTTACAAACAGAACTCACCTAACGCGGGAATTCTCAAATGATCCAGTCTATGATGCGCCGCTAGCATAGCCAACAGCCACCTAGCGCACTCGGGCCAGTCTTTGCACGCTAGTAACAAGGCGCGGGCCTCCTTAGCGTCGCGGCGGGTCCTCAGCATCCAAGCATAGCGCCGCGGCCCAGCGTAAGGGTAATTACAAACAGAACTCACCTAACGCAGGAACTCTCAAATGATCCAGCCTGTAGTGCGAGGCTAGCATAGCCAACAGCCGCCTAGCACACTCGGGCCAGTCCTTGCACGCTAGCAGCAAGGCGCGGGCCTCCTTAGCGTCGCGGCGGGTTCTCAGTGTCCGGCATAGAGCCGCGGCCCAGCGTAAGGGTAATTGCAAACAGAACTCACCTAACGCAGGAACTCTCAAATGATCCAGCCTGTGGTGCGCTGCTAGCATAGCCAACAGCCGCCTAGCGCACTTGGGCCAGTCCTTGCACGCTAGCAGCAAGGCGCGGGCCTTCTTAGCGTCGCGGCGGGTCCTCAGCGTCCCAGCGTAAAGGTAATTACAAACAGAACTCATCTAACGCCGGAACCGTCAAATGATCCAGCCTGTGGTGCGCTGCTAGCATAGCCAACAGTCTCCTAGCGCACTCGGGCCAGTCCTTGCACGCTAGTAACAAGGCGCGGGCCTCCTTAGCGTCGCTGCGGGTTCTGAGCGTCGGGCATAGAGCCGCGGCCCAGCGTAAGGGTAATTGCAAACAGAACTCACTTAACGCAGGAACTCTCAAATGATCCAGCCTGTGGTGCGCTGCTAGCATAGCCAACAGTCTCCTAGCGTACTCGGGCCAGTCTTTACACGCTAGTAACAAGGCGCGGGCCTTTTAGCGTCGCGGCGGGTCCGCAGCGTCCGGCATAGCGCCGCGGCCCAGCGTAAGGGTAATTACAAACAAAACTCACGTAACGCAGGAACTCTCAAATGATCCAATCTATGATGCGCCGCTAACATAGCCAACAGCCGCCTAGCGTACTCGGGCCAGTCTTTACACGCTAGTAACAAGGCGCGGGCCTCCTTAGCGTCGCGGCGGGTCCGCAGCGTCCGGCATAGCGCCGCGGCAAAGCGTAAGCGTAATTACAAACAGATCTCACCTAACGCAGGAACTCTCAAATGATCCAGTCTGTGGTGCGCTGCTAACATAGCTAAGTCTCCTAGCGCACTCGGGCCAGTCCTTGCACGCTAGCAGCAAGGCGCGGGCCTCCATAGCGTCCGGCATAGAGCCGCGGCCCAGCGTAAGCGTAATTACAAACAGAACTCACCTAACGCAGGAACTCTCAAATGATCCAGCCTGTGGTGCGCCGCTAGCATAGCCAACAGCCGCCTAGCGTACTCGGGCCAGTCTTTACACGCTAGTAACAAGGCGCGGGCCTCCTTAGCGTCGCGGCGGGTCCTCAGCATCCAGCATAGCGCCGCGGCCCAGCGTAAGGGTAATTACAAACAGATCTCACCTAACGCAGGAACTCTCAAATGATCCAATCTATGATGCGCCGCTAACATAGCCAACAGCCGCCTAGCGTACTCGGGCCAGTCTTTACACGCTAGTAACAAGGCGCAGGCCTCCTTTGCGTCGCGCCGGGTCCGCAGCGTCCGGCATAGAGCCGCGGCCCAGTGTAAGGGTAATTACAAACAGATCTCACCTAACGCAGGAACTCTCAAATGATCCAATCTATGATGCGCTGCTAGCATAGCCAACAGCCGCCTAGCGCACTCGGGCCAGTCTTTGCACGCTAGTAACAAGGCGCGAACCTCCTTAGCGTCGCGGCGGGTCCTCAGTGTCCGGTATAGCGCCGCGGCCCAGTGTAAGCGTAATTACAAACAGAACTCACCTAACGCAGGAACTCTCAAATGATCCAGTCTGTGGTGCGCTGCTAACATAGCTAATAGTCTCCTAGCGCACTCGGGCCAGTCCTTGCATGCTAGTAACAAGGCGCGGGCCTCCTTAGCATCCCGCCGGGTCCTCAGTGTCCGGCATAGAGCCGCGGCCCAGCGTAAGGCCGCGGCCAGTTCGCCGCGTACGCCAGCCGCGCCGCCGCCGCCAGTCGCGCCCCCGCCTTCCACGTATACTGCGTGGAGACTGTGTAGCGCCTGAGAGGAAATAAAACGACTTAGAACTTTTACAGAGTAATAAAAAGAAGTTTTAGTAAGGCATTGGTAAAACATGTAAGCGTATCTTTAAATTCAAAAGAATAGAACTGCTTGGTACGGTAGATATTGATATCATTTGGTTGGCCGCTATCAACCAGGCGATGTGGACGTCATTGGGGGAGGCCTATGTTCAGCAGTAGACGTCCTGTGGCTGAAATGATGATGAAAGTTCTTACACTCACTCACCTCAAATGTCATTTGTAATCCGCCATTATAAACGACGTATAACCTGTCATCTTCGTTTTCGACTAGTGTGCAGAACGCGGATATTAACGTTGTCCAACACGTTCTGCCATTTAAACCTGTGAATACATCAAACAATATTATTGACTAGGTATTGTGTAAAAGTCACAGAGTAGCGTAGGACGAGGACGCCCAGATATACGGATTTGGCCCGGTTTCTGAATTGAGTTTTCATCTTGAGCGTGCTCATCTACTAATTATACAAATGTACGGGCAAGCCATCGTACATTGCACTTACTTTTACGCTTACGTTTGCGTCCCACTTTTTGGGCGCTCGTTCTCGTTCGTTACTATTTTAAGTATTTTCCTTTATTATAACTCAGTATTATTCCTTTATTATAACCCAGTATAGTTCCTTTATTACTTTATTATACTCTTCTCGACGTGCTCTTAAACTCTACTTCAACTAACTTCAACTCTACTTAGATAAATGTATGGCCCTACAAACCATACAACAAAGATAATTTAATATGAAATGTTCAGATAAGCACGCTAAAGCCAGAAATCTCAATTCAAAAACCAGGCCATTATAGTGGACAGATGACCTTACAAAGGTTATAGAAGACGCGGGCTGCTTGCAAATGGCCAATCTGAAAATCATTAAATCAGCAGAAAACGTCCGTTTTTTTATGTGACAGGAGGCAAAAGGGCAGACGGATCACCTGATGGTAAGTGATTACCGTCGCCCATAGACATCCGCAGTCCCAGGGGCGTTACAGGTGCGTTGCCGGCCCTTAAGGTGAAGATACGCAAAAGCTTACAAGTCGTGTCGGTTTGGAAACACCGCAGAGGACAGTCCATTCCACAGTTTGGTTGTACGGGGCAGGAAGTTTCTAGAAAAACGTACTGTGACTGGAAACCATCTAAGTGACGGGGATGGAAGTGTTGTTGTTACGTGAATAAGCTACTGGATGCGAGCGGCGCAGGACCGGTCTTTGTGGAAATCCTTAGGGGAGGGCTTTGTCCAGCAACGGACGTCTTTCGGCTGAAACGAACGACGAACGAAAAAAGACTCACCCTGTAAATACGCGGAGAGCGTGCTCCGCCTGAAGGCCGCGGCCTCCCTGCCGTCGCCCGACTCGGCGCTGGCCGCGCTGCCGCTACTCGCGGTGCTGTTGCCGCTGCCCGCGCCGCCGCCGCCGCCGCCACCGCCACCGCCACCGCCCGCAGCGCCGCCCGCCGCGCCTCGGGCCGCGAGGATACGAGCTAGTCTGTTACAAAAATAAGTCGTTAGTCGTCAAGCGGGTGCACTTTTAAGATAGGTTTGTGACCTTTACGTTATGTTTTTTTATTGTCTACTAGCTGACCCGGCGAACTTCGTACCGCCTTAGCGTAGAGATTTTCTTAATATTTTTTTCCGTAAGAACCATCCTTGGACTTCCACAAACATTAAAAAAAAAGAATTATCGAAATCGGTTCAGCCGTTCACACGTGATGCCGTGACAACGCGAAACGGGTTTCATTTTTATATATATAGATTAACTTTCGATGTTCACTTTTTTATTATTAATGTCACTTGAGGAAAAATAGACGGAATACGTTGCTGTAACTGCATTTTATTGATACGACAGAATTAGAATAGTTAGTTCGACTAACATCTTCGTACATGGTAGTTCAGTAAATGACGAGCTAGCTTGCTAGTAAGTACCTACGGTTCGGTTTCCACCAAGGCGGAGCGGAGAAGTATTTTGAATAACCAATCAGATTTAATCATTTCCATTTTGCGTCGCCGCCGCTGTAAAATTCTTTTGACGGTCCAGACACTTCTCCGCTCCGCTTTGGTGGAAACCGGGCCTTATGACGATAGTACAGCGGCACATCAAGTTAAACATGTAGCATCTTTTGTCTAACGCTGTGTAGCGCCACGTTGATACTGCGCGGGCGCTGGTAAGAAGAGGACGCTCGTAAGACGTTCAAGTGGGGGATCCCGTATAGTTTCATCTGCTGTCCACTGTATATCCAAATAGGCTATCTGATCAGCCAGTTCCAGCAGGCCCTTCTTACCCACTAGGCTTTCTTGGCACGTGCTCGAGGCCCCGCGATAAAGAGGGCCCACTATCTGCCCTCAAAAGTATTTTTAGTTGAAAAGAGCCTCTTTGATCCTTAAGTGCCCAGGGCATCTAGAAGGTAGAAGACGGCTCTTTACCCCACTGGATGTACAAATGTACTGGCGAGTACCTGAGCTGTTCCTCGGCGGCGTCAGGATCTTGCGGAAGACTCGAGTGTATGTTGTTCTATCGCAATTGTTGAACCAAACTTATTTTTATTTTTCTTTTACCTGAGCAGCTCCTCGGCGGCGCCGGGGTAGAGGTGCGCGTGCGGCGCGATGTTGCGGAAGGCCCAGTGGATGTTCTGGTGCTGCGCGAGCGAGCGCGCGAAGGCGGCGGAGCGGCGGCAGCAGAGCCGCAGCAGCGCGTAGCACGGCGCAGCATGGAGCAGTGACGGTACCTGAGCAGCTCCTCGGCGGCGCCGGGGTAGAGGTGCGCGTGCGGCGCGATGTTGCGGAAGGCCCAGTGGATGTTCTGGTGCTGCGCGAGCGAGCGCGCGAAGGCGGCGGAGCGGCGGCAGCAGAGCCGCAGCAGCGCGTAGTACGGCGGCAGCATCGAGCGGTTGTAGGCTACCACCTCGCCGTCCTCGTGGTCCGCTCTGTGGATATTTGTTTTATGAGCAGCAAATGATAAAACATTCTCATTCCCAGAGAAATATAGAGAACTTCTATCTTTTAAATTAAAAGTTTCATCATCATCATCATCTCAGCCATAGGACGTCCACTGCTGAACATAGGCCTCCCCCTTAGTTAAAAGTTTACAAGTGAAATATTATTTTGACGTGTGGAATTTGATATTTTGTGACTGCGTCGAAGCTGCGGACTTATGGTATGAGCAAGAAAGACAAAAGCCGTAATATAGTAACGCGCCAGAAAGTAATCACAATACATCGTACTTAGGCGACTCTGTGCGTTCGCGTGCAATCATGTTTTGAATAATGTGTTTGAGAATCGAGGCATCCCAAAATCGATCAATTGTTTACTTAGAAAACTACTTGGGACAAAACTTTAGCACTGCAGCAGCTTACGCATTACGTATAGGTGAATATTTCCACCAAAAATAGTCTAATAAATAACATGGTGTCGACTGTACAAAGAAAAAATATGGTCTACAATCACAGACTTACAGTATGTAATTGAAAGCGACGTGTTTGATCAATCGCGGGTTGCTGACCGCCAGCTGAACGTTCTCAGGGCAGTCCACAGAGACCGCGTGCCAGAAAGTCAGCAGCGCTTGCTTGTTGGGATGCACCGCCACTGACGGTTCCGAGATCGCCGGGTGGTACAGATCCCACAGGTCGTTGAAGTACTGCCCGAACTGGAAAAAATATGATATGCAATACACAACCTAAAGCTGAAGTCAAGATGAGCGTAAATTGCGACGCATGCAACTCAAAGAACACGTAATAATCTGAACTTGATAACAACATGATACGCAATACATAGTCTAAGGGCCCTCGCCCACGGTGACTTTTTGTAGCGATGCAGTCGCGCTGCTGTAGCGCGTTAGTAGCGCGTTAGCATCACTTCTGTAGTGCGTTGCAAATGCTGTCGCCAAAAAAGTCGCCGTGGGCAAGGGCCCCAAGGCCGAGGACAGACATGCGTAATCGCGAATTCAATTCGGACACACAATAGGTTAAAATTAAATAAATGTGCCACAGCAAATGATTCCCAGAAACAATTTGCTTGCAAGATCTTTGTATCGGACTTTATACTTGAAAAAAAAAACTCGGTTTGTTCCAAAGAGACTTGCTATAAAGTTAATAGAATAAAGACCATACAAGCAGCTTTCGTTTTATAGCCTAACTACATATTAAATACATATCAAACTTACCATTAGTTTCTCCACCCTGCTGACGACGCAGTAGGACATGACGCCAAAGTAAGCGGTGAGCTTCATCGTGCCGTGCACTGCGATATCCGTATACTTGCGAGCCGCCTTTAGTTTTCCCAGCAGCATTGTATAAACCTGACAATAAACATTGGCAAATGTTATTTGCTTTGCACATTATCTAATCATTATTATTAAAAGGACAGTGCCAATTCATGTATGGAAGTTGGACCAAGTGCTGCCCAGAATGAAACTATAGTGCATTTTGTTCCTCAGGCCAATACTAATTTATAAACCGGAGCGCACTGAAATCTATCCCTGGAGTTAAGAGAAAAAAAGAGTTTTGTTTGGAATTATTTACATACAAAATATCATCGATGTATACCTACTACGCATAAGATTTCGCGATTTTGGCATTAAATAACACTCGTTATGTTGAACTTAACCATACTGTATCCGTACACCTTACTTTAGTACGACTTCGACATTATTTATAAGCGATCAAGCGCTGTTGCAGTAGTTTGGTTAGTTGACCGAAATTAATTATTTCCAAAATAGAGCATGAAGTTTTAGCTTACAATAACTTTAATAATCGATTGTAATACACCAATAAATAGATTTTTCGCAAGGATAGAGAACTAAAACTTCTTGATTCATTTTGGAAATAATTATTTCTGTCAAGTAACCAAACTATTGCAACAGCGCTAGATCGCTTATAAAGAATGTCTAAGTCGCACTAAAGTAAGGTGTACGGATGCAGTATGGTTGAGTTCAACATAGCGAGTGTTATTTAATGCCAAAATCACGAAATCTTATGCGTAGTAAATATACATCGATGATATTTTGTATGAAAATATTTCAAAACAAAACTCTTTTTTTCTCTTAACTCCAGGGATAGATTGCAGTGCGCTTCGGTTTACACATTAGTATTGGTCCGAGGAACAAAATGCACTATGGGTTGATTCTGGGCAGCACTTGGTCCAGACCCTGGCACTATCCTTTCGAATGATTTATATACGTTTGGGCGATTTGATCAAAATACAAGTAGTTACTTGGATCTTAACCGTGTCTGAGAGGGGGGGGGGCAGGGTCCTGAAAATTGTGTGCTCCTACATGCCTACCATAAAAAATCTGGTGTATTCTCCTCCTTAGAGTCAGAATGCCCCACTGGTCCAGAAGCTGAGTACGCCCATAAGTAGTATGCCAGGTATTTGACCGCAATCGCACCTGATGTTAAGTGAGGAGCAGTCTAGGATGGTACATAATCTGCCCTGTAAGTAAGTGCCTATTCTCCCTCACCTTGAAAAGGTTCATTGCTTAAGACAGCTGTATCAGCTGCAATAGTATAGATTGCGGGCTTCGTAGAGTACGAAGAATTGAAGCTGCATTCCTCTCTAACCAAAAGGACCTCGAACCTGTAAGAGCACATTACCTGGTGCAGCGCATGGTGCGCGGTGTGAGCAGCTTGGCCAGGTGGCTGGAGGTGGGCGGTGGGCGGCGCCTGTAGCCGGCGCGGAAGTGATGCAAGGGCACCAGCGCCACCAGCAGCAGCGCCGGTGATCTCCCTAGTCCTCGGGGTTTAGTTTCGATGCACTTTTATACATTCTGCTCTCTAACCAAAAGGATCTCAATCCTGTAAGAGCATTACCTGATGCAACGAGTGGTGGGCCGTGTCAGGCAATTTAGCCAGATGGCTGGAGGCTGGCGCTGTCAAATCAAAAGGAGCACATTACCTGGTGCAGCGCATGGTGCGCGGTGTCGGGCAGCTTGGCCAGGTGGCTGGAGGCGGGCGGCGGGCGACGCGTGTAGCCGGCGCGGAAGTGCTGCGAGGGCACCGACGCTGATGCTCTTCTCCCTCATCTTCGGGGTTTAGTTTCGATGCACTTTTATACACTATGCTCTCTAACCAAAAGGAGCACATTACCTGGTGCAGTGCGTGGTGGGCCGTGTCGGGCAGCTTGGCCAGATGGGACGAGGCGGGCGGCGGGCGGCGCGTGTAGCCGGCGCGGAAGTGCTGCGAGGGCACCAGCGCCACCAGCAGCAGCGCGGCGCCGGCCCGCACGCGCGCCGCTCCCGCCGCCAGCAGCTGCTGCTCTACCCAGCGGTCTGCTGTGCGCAGCGCCCACGCGTGAGCCGCTTTGTTGCGCGGCACCTGCGACCAGATTCATTATCAAATTGGGATGATGACTGGGGTCATCAATCACTTTTTTTTTTATCCACAACGAGGAAGCTCTTGGCCTGTATCTCACCTGATGGTAAGTGATGATCAGGCCGAGGTGGAAGCGAGCTTCACCCGGAATCCTCAACCACGGAGGCTTATTTTTAACCCTTATTTTTAAACATATAATAGGTATTTTGTTTTCATAGTGGTCACTTAATAATTAGGGATTGATGGTGAAAACGGGCATTAGTCCGTCAGGCAGACAATAAAAACATTGGGCACGTATTTTTTCATTTTTTATCTACATAGACGTGACGTAACGCACCATTTCGACTCGATATAGCACTGTTATTTTTTTTTAACCACAACGAGGAAGCTCTTGGCCTGTATCTCACCTGATGGTAAAAATTATGAATGCACCCGCACGTGGCGCCCGCGCCGCCGCCGCTGCCCTCACCAATTTGAACTTTATGCTGTGACGATACGGTCGAAGACCAGTGACTTTCCTACCTGCAGCGCGAGCCACTCGAGCGCGGCGTGCGGGCACACGTCGGCGACGTCCCAAAGCCGCGCGAGCACCAGCTGCGTGAAGCACGGCAGCCCGCCCGTGGCGCCCGCGCCGCCTCCGCTGCCCTCACCAATTTGAACCTTATGCTGTGACGATACGGTCCAAAACCAATGACTTTTCTACCTGCAGCGCGAGCCACTCGAGCGCGGCGTGCGGGCACACGTCGGCGACGTCCCAAAGCCGCGCGAGCACCAGCTGCGTGAAGCACGGCAGCCCGCCCGCGCCGCCGCCGCTGCCCTCATCAATTTCAACTTTATGCTGTGACGATACGGTCCAAAACCAATGACTTTCCTACCTGCAGCGCGAGCCACTCGAGCGCGGCGTGCGGGCACACGTCGGCGACGTCCCAATTCCGCGCGAGCACCAGCTGCGTGAAGCACGGCAGCCCGCCCGTGGCGCCCGCGCCGCCGCCGCTGCTCTCATCAATATGAACCTTATGCTGTGACGATACGGTTGAAAACTAATGACTTATTACCTGCAGCGCGAGCCACTCGAGCGCGGCGTGCGGGCACACGTCGGCGACGTCCCAAAGCCGCGCGAGCACCAGCTGCGTGAAGCACGGCAGCCCGCCCGTGGCGCCCGCGCCGCCGCCGCTGCCTTCCACCAGCAGCGTCAGCAGTTTAAAAAACGCTCCACAGCTCTATGTGGATGAGAAGTGTTGGTTAACCAAACGATTATATTCGCAATGAAACCGCAGAAAAAATATTGTGTCAACAAAATATAATAATGTACTGTAATTGTGGGTTTATTCACGAAAAACCGTATCTATCGAGTTAAACACACTATGTTATTTAAAAAAAGATCGTAACTGAATTCTTTGTTAGGAAGCCATATAGATAGTTAAAAAGGGCCCGAAATGCCATTTTTCATACTTAAAATTTTATTTAATAGTCGTTTCTGTAATATTCATAAAATTCAGTTAGGTATTTTTGTGCTTCGACCCACGATATGTTATGGTTGACTTTTTGGTGCCATTTTATCGACAGCAATGGAAGCACGGTTACAGTCTAGAAACCTTTGAGCAATAAATCTGCACACTAAAGACACAGCGACCATAGTTAGTTATAGAAAACAGATTCAGGAAAATTCTTAAGGTATTGTCCTCACTAGAATTTGACTACTGTACCTCAGAATGCTTGGCAATGGCCTGGAAAATCATGTTGACTATCTTCTGCGCGAGCGGTTCATTCCAGCGGCACAGCGCGAAGATCAACGACCTCGTCTGTTGTAAATTGAGGCAGTCGCGTGTCTGCTGGTAGATAAACGGGAACCCCTAAAAAGAACAAAGGTTTCAATGACATAGTTCATTGATTAAACACTGTACATTTAATATCTAGGGGTGCAATAGATTTACATATATTTTTGTATTAAATGTTTGTCATAGCTGTTACGAGACGAGAGATGTGCGGCAAATCTGGCAGGTTATTAAGCGGAGCGGAGACGAGATCTTTGGCGTATCTAGGCTACATTTCCAGGGGTGATCTGGCCCCTGATATGCCAATGTGACGGGGGGGATTAGTATCATAGCTCATGAGTTAGTGCTATATACGCGCATGGACGAGATGAGAGATGTGCCACTCTTCTCAGCCTTGGTGGAAACCGGTTCTTATTGCGCTTTCTCCTATGTGTTGCCGCTGTCCCGCCGGTCTACCTTAGCGTGCAGCAGCGCCCTGGCGTCGGGCTCCTGCAGCGCCAGCAGGCCGCCCTGGTCGCGCGAGCGCTCCACGAGCCCGGCCACCAGCGCCACCATCTTGTCCAGGGCGCCTGGTCGCAGCTTGTCTCCCGCGCTCTCGGTGTAGCCGCTGTCGCTAACTGTCCCGCCGGTCTACCTTAGCGTGCAGCAGCGCCCTGGCGTCGGGCTCCTGCAGCGCCAGCAGGCCGCCCTGGTCGCGCGAGCGCTCCACCAGCCCGGCCACCAGCGCCACCATTTTGTCCAGGGCGCCTGGTCGCAGCTTGTCCCCCGCGCTCTCGGTGTTGCCGCTGCCACTGCCGCTACCGCCAGCCTCTTCGGTAGGCGATTCAACCTGAACAAAGAGTTTGTTGTGATATTTTACGCTCGATCTATTATGTAAACAGCCGACAGTAAGTCATATGAGGACCAAATCTAGGTTCTCGGGAGAATCGTATAACATGTTTTGTGTTCCTGAGGCTACTGACATAAAAAGTAAGATACTTAAATATCTCGTCTGAAAGGATAAGCCTTAATGACGAAGCCTCAATACATTAACTGTTTCAGTGATGCTTATGCTTGATTTCCTCCACTTTGTTTGCGTTAGGAGCAGAAACAGATTGCCAAAAGACTAATGCCCGTTTTCACCATCAATCCCTAATTTTTAAGTGACCCCTATGGCAACATTTTACAGGATTTTTGTTTTCATAGTGGTCACTTAAAAATTAGGGACTGATGGTGATAACGGGCATAAGATACATAAAGCTATTATTAACGAACTAGTTAAAAAACACTGCAGTTTTACCCACCTCAGTCCTACCTACCGTAGAGGAATTCTGGCCAAGGTAGAAGCTGACCATGCTTGAAATGGCGTTGACTCGCAGCAAAAACCTCCCCTCTTCCTCCCCCATCTTGCTGAATTCGTACAGCAAGCTAAAGTACTCTGTCAGGTGCCTTAGGTGGGACCGTGCACCATTTTCCATCTAATGAAAGAGATAATCATAAATTCTTGATTCAAATACATCACAAGTAACAGTGCACTTTATGTCAAATTACTTACCAAAGATAACAACATTCTTATAAACCTAGTAACACAACTCGCTTCTCCCAACTTGCTATTATCCTCGCCCTCTTCCATACCCTGAAGGTATAAGGCACAATGACTAGATCTGAAACAAGTCATTATAAGCTTGAGTAACTGTGCTTTAAGGTATAATTTTAAATGATGCCTATAAAGATATTTACCTGAGCCTCTGTATGACATGCATACACAGCCTTTGAAACATCTGACGAACCATCTGATTTGGACATTTTATTAACACCTGCAAACAAGAACAGTTCGTAATATTGCGATAACAAAGTCCAGATTATATTATTTTAAAAACACTATGTAATATTCATACCTGCATCGGCCACCACGTGTCGTCGGCCATGTGTCCTAAAAACCATTCCGAAGCTGCTGCCGATGCGTTGAACTGTTTCGTCACCAATTCCACCCATGAAACCATCGTTGGCTAGTAGAAGACAAAAAAATCAGATCAGTCATCAGTATCTAGCAAATATAGACCGAATTCCGCCGACATAAAGTGCTACTTGCCCTCAACTCGACCTAGTATAACACCTTATATCAATGGTTGAAAGACCTTATTTGCTTGATATTACTTGCTCTACGCTACATCGGCCATATCTCAGCTGAAACTAAGCCTTAAGTTGAGGTTTCAGAATGCGTATTACCTTTTCTTTCGCATGTATGAAGGTTTCAATAAAAAACGAAGTGGAGAGCCTCGCGGCGACTTCAGTCACTTCAGGCCGAAGCGTCAGCAGCGACTGCGGAACCGAACTACACATCTGGCCCATGAACCTGTAAAATTAAAGTTAATGTAACTGATGATAACATATGGATCTCCAGATACAGTTAGCCCGAATGTGATTGAAAAACTTCTATCACATTGCCATGCATCGCTATGATTATAATTTCCCCCACTTCTTTTCCTCTTTGATAAAGAAGTTCAAAGAAAAGGCGCCATTTACGGGGCTCTTTGGCCCTACCTACTGGTATACTTCGCATTAAACACAGCTGTAAATTCATAAATGGATAACAAAGTAGTACTTACGTAAAGTATGCGTGTTGGAAGATGTTTTTATCGTGCAGGAAGTGCATATTGTCGTCCCATATCCAGTGCAGCAGATCTTTTGGTAAAGCAGGCACCGCGTTGCCGCTGCGTCGCTCAACCACTGTGTTCGCTACGGATTCCTCGGCCGTTGAGGACTGTAGAAATAACACAAGTATGATGATCTGTTTTCTGAATTATATTCTATTAATCGCACAAGTCAGTTACACTACTCTTCAATATTGACTATAAAATGAAAGAACTATTGCGATTTATTTTCGCTACATTACTTTAGACCCGTCTAATTTATTTATTTATTTAATAGGACAATCAACAAGACATACACTAGAAGACAATCAATATTTACAACGTATTTAAACTTAATCTAATGTAAAAAAGCCAAATACTGTCTTTGAAAGACGGACCTAGTTTACTAAATGGTATAATAACGTTAGTATAATATTTTTAAGGTCTTAATCCACATTACCTGAGCTTCCTCCTGCTGTCCGCAGTCAGAGCCACGCTGCGAGCGCGGCGGGCTGAGCTCGTAGAACAACATGTACGCACTGTTGGTCTTCTCGAATGAGAAGTCCATGAACTTGTCCGTCACCGAGTCGTAAGTTTTGCTCTGGAAAACCAACACAAGTCAACTAACAAATCACATCACACAATGCCAGACAATAGGTACATTATTGGGAGAGGAGATACGTTTCGAGATCTGTAGAGGAACATAAGTAACTGACAAAGCAGAACTGTCAAACATAAGTGATAGCGGGCGGGGCACATAGCTCTTAGAACTGATGGCCGTTGAGGACGGAATAAGCAATGTGGATAGGTCTCCCAGTCGGTGGATCTGGTAAAAGTCGCGGGAAGCACCTGGACGCAGGAAGTACCTGGATGCGGGCAGCGCAGGACCGGTCGTTGTAGAAATTTATGAGGGAGGCCTTGGTCTAGCAGTGGACGTCATAGTGAGGGTGGGAGGGTGAGGTTGGCTGGAGGAAAATAACACTGTAGCATAGGCAACGTGCGTCGTATTGTATCTTATGTTATTTTTATGCTTAACAAGGCAGGTATTTGACCGCAATCGCACCTGGTATTAAGTAAGATGCTGTCTACGATGGTACATATCTCCCCATTCACTCTCGCCTTGAAAAGATTTCAATTTGTGCAAGGTGTTTTGTGCCTTATGTATCTAAAGAATAGAATTCAAGACGCACTACCACTATTGATCTGTGACTCACCGTCATCTCGCCCCCGAAGCACTCGGCGGCGATGTGCGCCGGGTCGAAGGGCTTGACCTCCGCGTCGTTGAACAGCAGCCAGCGGTCGGGGTGCTCGTGCTCGCGGTCGCGGATGAACGAGTAGTAGTGCCCGCCGTCCGCCGTGCCCGTGTGTACGGTCACGCCTATTAGCTCGTACCTGGTGGAGAATAAGGAATCATATGATTACGAGTACATTTTAGGACTAAAGTCGCGCGTAATTATAATGCTATCGCCCTCGCACACTCACTGCGGCCGCCCGTCGCACAGTGAGTGTGCGATCTTGGGGTCATTGCACGAAATTGTATCTGCTAGGCGACTGGACTTTATCTAAAAAGTTCAGAATCAGACAATACATTTTTATTGCGAAATCGCACCTATCACAATACCATAAAGGGGCAGTATTTAGCCTGATGGTTGCCTGTACTTAAAAAAAAATTGTAGCAGACATAATACACATAGACAGAATTAAAAATACACAAGTCCAACGAATTAAATTGTTGATACTTACTCATAATGCTCTTCGAATTCGGAGTTGTCTTCGACTTCCGCATTCGGACTGCCCTCACCCTCTTTCTTTAGCTCTGCGTCTTTCTTTTTCTCTTCTGTAAATACCATCGTTAATAATAACAATAAGAACACCACACAGTATAACTATTTTAATAGCAAGACCACTGATTATCCTCTTTAAGAATATACTATAGGTCTAATTTGACTTGCTTTCACTTACCCTGATACTGTGCGGGCATGAGGTGTTTCTCGACGTATCCAGACATGTCGAGACGCATCGGGAACGAGAAGTGAGTGTTGACTTTCTCCTTGAGCATCGTGAGCATGTTGAAGGTATACCGCATCGTGTTGAAGCAAAGGATGCGCGGGAGTTTCTTGAAGCACGCGCTTTGAAAAAAACATGATGCGTTTAAAAATTTGTATACATACGCAATGATGATGAATGATAAAATTTGCATGCTGTAATTAAGTATGGCTAAATAGGCATAAGTACAATAACTTAAAAATGTAATAACACCCACTTTGTGAAATCCTATTTAATGCAAATAAATTATATTTGATTTGATTTGATGTGAGACTACTGCCATACGGGGATTATCTGATTATCTTTGGATTTGTCATGTTTGAAACCTTTTTTCAAATGTTATTTCTACAGATAGCTAAACGTCATTAAACGGGTTAGAGAATACGACCAACGTATCATTAAATATTGCTTGTATGGGATACGCCCTGCGCATACCGTGTGACAATTTGAGCATACTTTAATATTAAAACCACGTAACCGTATTAGATTCCTAATGTAAATTGTCAATAGTGATTTAAACCCAAATAAAAAACTTTAGTTGATAGCAAAATCACAACTCACCGTTTCTCAGCCCTGACTTTGGCGGCGCACTGCGAGCAGGTATAGCAGTTGTCTCCCTCTAGCGTGTCCTTCACCGTCACCTCGTCCAAGCTCTGGTGGAGGTTCCTCATGTCTGCCACTTGACATCGCACCGTGTAGAACTCTTCTAGCGTGCGCGATACGTGGGGACAATCCTGCGATGGAAGTCATGAATATTGTGATTGGTGTTCTTGGGCTAAATTCTGTCACGTAACGATTTCGATGTGTTTATGGTGATGATTTGAGGGTATCTTTGACCCAAAACACCGGTCATACTTTTTGGGATCTCTTTGGCGCGTCATATTTTTTGAGAGCCTTTTGACGCGTTGTCGACAACCTTATCGTTATAAATTCGCTATAGATGGAAAGATAATGTAAAAATATATGGTTGTTTCAAACTTCAAACCATGGGTCATGATAAAAGTAAAATGAAATAAAATTAGATAAGCTCTGGAAGTTTTCTGATAAAGCCATCACCTTTTGCTCGTTTTCAAGCTGTTCGTTCACCAAACCTATTTCCTTTCACATTTTAGATGTCAAATCACACAGATTAAACTTACGAGTGACACGACGTTGTTGCTCAGCACGCCACAGAATAGAGTTTTAACCAGTTTCTTGAGCTCGGGCGTCATCTCCTCGAGCTTGGAGACCAGGTCGATGAAGAACTCGGCCATGTCCTTCTGCTCGCCCGTGTTCAGAGGCTGGTGGTCCATCTGGTACACCTTGCAGAAGCTCCGAGGGTTGTATGCTTTGCGCTCGCTCTCCTGCAAGAAAGAACAACTATGAAATCTAGTTTTGTAATATTCTTTGGTTTTCTGTAAGCCTCTGCTAAATCTCACACGGGCGCCCGCACGCGTGCCTATAACGAGAAATAATATGAACAGTGCATTGTGTCGCGCAGGCGTGTGATGTTTACATACGCGCGGCGGGGGGCGGGCGAATGAATAGGCTCAATACACGCCTAAAGGATATGCCTTTCAATGGACGTTCTAAAGTTATGGGCTCACCGTGAAGATAGATAGTGTCCACTGATGAACCGTTCAAACGAAAATTAACCTAAAGAGCTCAGAAACGTACCATTAGATAGGCGAACATACGCTGCATCTCGAGCAGCGTGGGCGCGTGCCTAGAGCGCGGGGTCGGTGCTCAGCACCGCGGTTCGATAGCACCACGTGGTTGCCACGCTGACCAGTCACACGAAAATCGACCTAAAGAGCTCAGAAACGTACCATTAGATAGGCGAACATCCTCTGCATCTCGTGCAGCGTGGGCGCGTGGCGGGAGCGCGCGGGGTCGGCGCGGAGCACGGCGGCGCGCGCCTGCGGCATCATGTACAGGTGCTGCATGCACGACGCCATGTAGCACGTGGCGCCGAGGTTGGTGAGCCCCACGTAACCACTACTCTGTACCACGTGACATAAATCCGAGCGCGACTCCGCCGTCCTCACCGTGAAGTTGGCTAGTGTCCGCTGACGAATTTTTAAGAACCTTTCACACTAATATCGACCTAAAAATCTCAGAAACTGACCATAAGGTAGTCTGAGGGCGCGTGCCGGGAGCGCGCGGGTTTGGCACATAGCAGGGAGGTACGTTAATCCCACGTTGTCGCCACTCTTTCGCTGGCCAGTATGTTCTATTGTTATGGACTCAGCGGGACGTTTTCTTCTTCTTCGTCGTCGCTACACTCTTGCCTAGTGGTCGTGGTCGTCACACCTGGTTTTATGGCAAGCTTTACAATCCGTCGCCATTCCTCCGGGACTTTTTAGCACCGTTCAAACGAAAATCAACCTAAAGAGCTCAGAAACTGACCATAAGGTAGGCGAACATCCTCTGCATCTCGTGCAGCGTGGGCGCGTGCCTAAAACGCGGGGTCGTCGCTCAGCAGCGCGGCTCGATAGCTCCAAGTGGTTGCCACGCTTGCCAGTCACACGAAAATCGGCCTAAAGAGCTCAGAAACGTACCATAAGATAGGCGAACATCCTCTGCATCTCGTGCAGCGTGGGCGCGTGGCGGGAGCGCGCGGGGTCGGCGCGGAGCACGGCGGCGCGCGCCTGCGGCATCATGTACAGGTGCTGCATGCACGACGCCATGTAGCACGTGGCGCCGAGGTTGGTGAGCCCCACGTAACCACTACTCCGAGTACCACGTGACATCATTCCGAGCGCGACTCCGCCGGCCAGTATGTATTCTTCTGTCCTCACCGTGTAAATAGCTAGTGTTCGCTGACGAATTTTTAAGAAACTTTCAAACGAATATCGACCTAAAAAGCTCAGAAACTGACAATAAGGTAGTCTGAGGGCGCGAGCCGGGAGCGCACGGGTTCGGCGCATAGCAGGGAGGTACGATAGCCCCACGTGATCGCCACTCTTTCTCTGGCCAGTATTTTCTATTTTTATGGACTCATCGGGACGTTTTCTTCTTCTTCGTCGCTAAACTCTTGCCAGAGTGGTCTTGATCGTCACACCTAGTTTGGTGGCAAGCTTTACAATCCATCGCCAATCCTCCGGGACGTTTTAGCACCGTTCAAACAAAAATCAACCTAAAGAGCTCAGAAACGTACCATGAGGTAGGCGAACATCCTCTGCATCTCGTGCAGCGTGGGCGCGTGGCGGGAGCGCGCGGGGTCGGCGCGGAGCACGGCGGCGCGCGCCTGCGGCATCATGTACAGGTGCTGCATGCACGACGCCATGTAGCACGTGGCGCCGAGGTTGGTGAGCCCCACGTAGCCACTACTCTGTACCACGTAACATCATTCTGAGCGCGACTCCGTCGGCCAGTATGTATTCTTCTGTCCTCACCGTGTAAATAGCTAGTGTCTGCTGACGAATTTTTAAGAACCTTTCAAACGAATATCCTAACCTAAAAAGCTCAGAAACTGACCATAAGGTAGTCTGAGCACGGGTTCGGCGCATAGCAGGGAGGTACGTTAGCCCCACGTGATCGCCACTCTTTCGCTGGCCAGTATGTTCTATTTTTATGGACACAGCGGGACGTTTTCTTCTTCTTCGTCGTTAAACTCTTGCCAGAGTGGTCTTGGTCGTCACACCTAGTTTGGTGGCAAGCTTTACAATCCATCGCCAATCCTCCGGTACGTTTTAGCACCGTTCAAACAAAAATCAACCTAAAGAGCTCAGAAACTGACCACAAGGTAGGAGAACATTCGCTGCATCTCGTGCAGCGTGGGCGCGTGGAGGGAGCGCGCGGGGTCATCAGCCCTACGTAGCCACTACTCCAAGCGCGATTCCTTACCGTGACGTTGTATTACTTTTCAAAGGAAAATCGGCCTAAAGAGCTCAGAAACGTACCATGAGATAGGCGAACATCCTCTGCATCTCGTGCAGCGTGGGCGCGTGGCGGGAGCGCGCGGGGTCGGCGCGGAGCACGGCGGCGCGCGCCTGCGGCATCATGTACAGGTGCTGCATGCACGACGCCATGTAGCACGTGGCGCCGAGGTTGGTGAGCCCCACGTAGCCACTACTACCTAACATCATTCCGAGCGCGACTCCGTCGGCCAGTATGTATTCTTATATCCTCACCGTGTAAATAGCTAGTGTCTGCTAACGAATTTTTAAGAAACTTTCAAACGAATATCGACCTAAAAAACTCAGAAACTGACCATAAGGTAGTCTGAGGGCGCGTGCCGGGAGCGCGCGGGTTCGGCGCATAGCAGGGAGGTACGTTAGCCCCACGTGGTCACCACCATTCGCTGGCCAGTATGTTCTATTTTTATGGACTCAGCGGGACGTTTTCTTCTTCTTCGTCGCTACACTCTTATTTATTTATTTATTTAGGAAAACCAGGGTTTTACAGTGTGTAATAATGCCAGTGGTCGTGGTCGTTATATCACACCTGGCTTGGTGGCAAACTTTACAATCCGTCGCCATTCCTCCGGGACGATTTAGCACCGTTCAAACGAAAATCAACCTAAAGAGCTCAGAAACGTACCATAAGATAGGCGAACATCCGATGTATCTCGTGCAGCTTGGGCGCGGGGTCAGCGCTCAGCATCGCGGCTTGTTAGCCCCACGTGGTTGCCACGCTGGCCAGTCAAACGAAAATCGACCTAAAGAGCTCAGAAACTGACCATAAGATAGGCGAACATCCTCTGCATCTCGTGCAGCGTGGGCGCGTGGCGGGAGCGCGCGGGGTCGGCGCGGAGCACGGCGGCGCGCGCCTGCGGCATCATGTACAGGTGCTGCATGCACGACGCCATGTAGCACGTGGCGCCGAGGTTGGTGAGCCCCACGTAATCACTACTCTGTACCACGTGACATAATTCCGAGCGCGACTCCGCCGTCCTCACCGTGAAGTTGGCTAGTGTCCGCTGACGAATTTTTAAGAACCTTTCAAACGAATATCGACCTAAAAAGCTCAGAAACTAACCATAAGGTAGTCTGAGGTCGCGAGCCGGGAGCGCGCCGGTTTGGCACATAGCAGGGAGGTACGTTAACCCCACGTTGTCGCCACTCTTTCGTTGGCCAGTATTTTCTATTTTTATAGACTCAGCGGGACGATTTCATCGCCTTCGTCGCTACACTCTTGCCTAGTGGTCATGGTCGTCACACCTGGTTTGGTGGCAAGCTTTACAATCCATCGCCAATCCTCCGGGACGTTTTAGCACCGTTCAAACGAAAATCAACCTAAAGAGCTCAGAAACTGACCACAAGGTAAGAGAACATTCGCTGCATCTCGTGCAGCGTGGGCGCGTGGAGGGAGCGCGCGGGGTCATCAGCCCTACGTAGCCACTACTCCAAGCGCGACTCCTTCCCGTGACGTTGTATTACTTTTCAAAGGAAAATCGACCTAAAGTGCTTAGAAACTGACCATTAGATAGGCGAACATCCTCTGCATCTCGTGCAGCGTGGGCGCGTGGCGGGAGCGCGCGGGGTCGGCGCGGAGCACGGCGGCGCGCGCCTGCGGCATCATGTACAGGTGCTGCATGCACGACGCCATGTAGCACGTGGCGCCGAGGTTGGTGAGCCCCACGTAACCACTACTACGTAACATCATTCCGAGCGCGACTCCGTCGGCCAGTATGTATTCTTCTGTCCTCACCGTGTAAATAGCTAGTGTTCGCTGACGAATTTTTAAGAACCTTTCAAACGAATATCGACCTAAAAAGCTCAGAAACTGACCATAAGGTAGTCTGAGGGGGCGAGACGGGAGCGCGCGGGTTTGGCACATAGCAGGGAGGTACGTTAACCCCACGTTGTCGCCACTCTTTCGCTGGCCAGTATTTTCTATTTTTATGGACTCATCGGGACGTTTTCTTCTTCTTCTTCGTTGCTACACTCTTGTCAGAGTGGTCGTGGTCGTCACACCTGGTTTTATGGCAAGCTTTACAATCCGTCGCCATTCCTCCGGGACGTTTTAGCACCGTTCAAACGAAAATCAACCTAAAGAGCTCAGAAACGTACCATAAGATAGGCGAACATCCTCTGCATCTCGTGCAGCGTGGGCGCGTGGCGGGAGCGCGCGGGGTCGGCGCGGAGCACGGCGGCGCGCGCCTGCGGCATCATGTACAGGTGCTGCATGCACGACGCCATGTAGCACGTGGCGCCGAGGTTGGTGAGCCCCACGTAACCACTACTGTGAGTACCACGTAACATCATTCTGAGCGCGACTCGGTCGGCCAGTATGTATTCTTCTGTCCTCACCGTGTAAATAGCTAGTGTTCGCTGACGAATTTTTAAGAACCTTTCAAACGAATATCGACCTAAAAAGCTCAGAAACTGACCATAAGGTAGTCTGAGGGCGCGTGCCGGGAGCGCGCGGGTTCGGCGCATAGCAGGGAGGTACGTTAGCCCTACGTGGCCGCCACTCTTTCGCTGGCCAGTATGTTCTATTTTTATGGACTCATCGGGACGTTTTCTTCTTCTTCTTCGTTGCTACACTCTTGTCAGAGTGGTCGTGGTCGTCACACCTGGTTTTATGGCAAGCTTTGCAATCCATCGCCAACCCTCCGGGACGTTTTAGCACCGTTCAAACGAAAATCAACCTAAAGAGCTCAGAAACTGACCACAAGGTAGGAGAACATTCGCTGCATCTCGTGCAGCGTGGGCGCGTGGAGGGAGCGCGCGGGGTCATCAGCCCTACGTAGCCACTACTCCAAGCGCGACTCTTTCCCGTGACGTTGTATTAATTTTCAAAGGAAAATCGACCTAAAGTGCTCAGAAACGTACCATGAGATAGGCGATCATCCTCTGCATCTCGTGCAGCGTGGGCGCGTGGCGGGAGCGCGCGGGGTCGGCGCGGAGCACGGCGGCGCGCGCCTGCGGCATCATGTACAGGTGCTGCATGCACGACGCCATGTAGCACGTGGCGCCGAGGTTGGTGAGCCCCACGTAACCACTACTCCGAGTACCACGTAACATCATATCGAGCGCAACTCCGCCAGCCAGAATGTATTCTTATGTCCTCACCGTGAAGATAACTAGTGTCTGCTGACGAATTTTTAAGAACCTTTCAAACGAATATCGACCTATAAAGAAAGCTGAGAACCTGACCATAAGGTAGTCTGAGGGCGCGAGCCGGGAGCGCACGGGTTTGGCACATAGCAGGGAGGTACGTTAACCCCACGTTGTCACCACCATTCGCTGGCCAGTATGTTCTATTTTTATGGACTCAGCGGGACGTTTTCTTCTTCTTCGTCGCTAAACTTTTGCCAGAGTGGTCATGATAGTCACACCTGGTTTGGTGGCAAGCTTTACAATCTGTCGCCATTTCTCCGGGACATTTTAGCACCGTTCAAACGAAAATCGACCTAAATAGCTTAGAAACTGACCATAAAATAAGCGAACATCCGCTGCATCTCGTGCAGCGTGGGCGCGTGCCTATAGCTAGGGGTCGTCGCTCAGCACCGCGGTTCGATAGCCCCACGTGGTTGCCACGCTGGCCAGTCACACGAAAATCGGCCTAAAGAGCTCAGAAACGTACCATAAGATAGGCGAACATCCTCTGCATCTCGTGCAGCGTGGGCGCGTGGCGGGAGCGCGCGGGGTCGGCGCGGAGCACGGCGGCGCGCGCCTGCGGCATCATGTACAGGTGCTGCATGCACGACGCCATGTAGCACGTGGCGCCGAGGTTGGTGAGCCCCACGTAACCACTACTCCGAGTACCACGTAACATCATATCGAGCGCAACTCCGCCAGCCAGAATGTATTCTTATGTCCTCACCGTGAAGATAACTAGTGTCTGCTGACGAATTTTTAAGAACCTTTCAAACGAATATCGACCTAAAAAGCTCAGAAACTGACCATAAGGTAGTCTGAGGGCGCGAGCCGGGAGCGCGCGGGTTTGGCACATAGCAGGGAGGTACGTTAACCCCACGTTGTTGCCACTCTTTCGCTGGCCAGTATGTTCTATTGTTATGAACTCAGCGGGACGTTTTCTTCTTCGTCGTCGCTACACTCTTGTCAGAGTGGTCGTGGTCGTCACATCTGGTTTTATGGCAAGCTTTACAATCCGTCGCCATTCCTCTGGGACTTTTTAGCACCGTTCAAACGAAAATCGACCTAAATAGCTTAAAAACGTACCATAAGATAGGCGAACATCCGCTGCATCTCGTGCAACGTGGACGCGTGGCAAGAGCGCGCTTTTCGACAGCACCACGTACACTCTTACGCCGGCCAGTATGTTTTATTTTTAAGGACTCAGCGGGGCATTGTAGAGCCCTTTAAACGAAAATCGACCTAAAGAGCTCAGAAACGTACCATTAGATAGGCGAACATCCTCTGCATCTCGTGCAGCGTGGGCGCGTGGCGGGAGCGCGCGGGGTCGGCGCGGAGCACGGCGGCGCGCGCCTGCGGCATCATGTACAGGTGCTGCATGCACGACGCCATGTAGCACGTGGCGCCGAGGTTGGTGAGCCCCACGTAACCACTACTCTGTACCGCGTGACATAATTCCAAGCGCGACTCCGCCGTCCTCACCGTGAAGTTGGCTAGTGTCCGCTGACGAATTTTTAAGATCCTTTCAAACGAATATCGACCTAAAAAGCTCAGAAACTGACCATAAGGTAGTCTGAGGGCGCGAGCCGGGAGCGCGCGGGTTTGGCACATAGCAGGGAGGTACGTTAATCCCACGTTGTCGCCACTCTTTCGCTGGCCAGTATGTTCTATTTTTATGGACTCAGCGGGACGTTTCCTTCTTCTTCGTCGCTACACTCTTGCCAGAGTGGTCGTGGTCGTCACACCTGGTTTGGTGGCAAGCTTTACAATCCATCGCCAATCCTCCGGGACGTTTTAACACCGTCCAAACGAAAATCGACCTAAAGAGCTCAGAAACTGACCGACTGACAAGGTAGGAGAACATTCGGTGCATCTCGTGCAGCGTGGGCGCGTGGAGGGAGCGCGCGGGGTCATCAGCCCTACGTAGCCACTACTCCAAGCGCGACTCCTTCCCGTGACGTTGTATTACTTTTCAAAGGAAAATCGACCTAAAGTGCTCAGAAACGTACCATAAGATAGGCGAACATCCTCTGCATCTCGTGCAGCGTGGGCGCGTGGCGGGAGCGCGCGGGGTCGGCGCGGAGCACGGCGGCGCGCGCCTGCGGCATCATGTACAGGTGCTGCATGCACGACGCCATGTAGCACGTGGCGCCGAGGTTGGTGAGCCCTACGTAACCACTACTCTGTACCGCGTGACATAATTCCGAGCGCGACTCCGCCGTCCTCACCGTGAAGTTGGCTAGTGTCCGCTGACGAATTTTTAAGATCCTTTCAAACGAATATCGACCTAAAAAGCTCAGAAACTGACCATAAGGTAGTCTGAGGGCGCGTGCCAGGAGCGCGCTGGGTCGGCGCATAGCAGGGAGGTACGTTAGCTCCACGTGGTCGCCACTCTTTCGCTGGCCAGTATGTTCTATTTTTATGGACTCAGCGGGACGTTTTCTTCTTCTTCGTCGTCGCTACACTCTTGTCAGAGTGGTCGTGGTCGTCACACCTGGTTTTATGGCAAGCTTTACAATCCGTCGCCATTCCTCCGGGACTTTTTAGCACCGTTCAAACGAAAATCAACCTAAAGAGCTCAGAAACTGACCACAAGGTAGGAGAACATTCGGTGCATCTCGTGCAGCGTGGGCGCGTGGAGGGAGTGCGCGGGGTCATCAGCCCTACGTAGCCACTACTCCAAGCGCGACTCCTTACCGTGACGTTGTATTACTTTTCAAAGGAAAATCGACCTAAAGATCTCAGAAACGTACCATGAGATAGGCGAACATCCTCTGCATCTCGTGCAGCGTGGGCGCGTGGCGGGAGCGCGCGGGGTCGGCGCGGAGCACGGCGGCGCGCGCCTGCGGCATCATGTACAGGTGCTGCATGCACGACGCCATGTAGCACGTGGCGCCGAGGTTGGTGAGCCCCACGTAACCACTACTCCGAGTACCACGTGACATCATATCGAGCGCAACTCCGCCAGCCATATGTATCCTTTTATCCTCACTGTGAAGATAGCTAGTGTCCGCTAACGAATTTTTAAGAACCTTTCAAACGAATATCGACCTAAAAAGCTCAGAAACTGACCATAAGGTAGTCTGAGGGCGCGAGCCGGGAGCGCGCGGGTTCGGCATTTCGAGGGAGGTACGTTAGCCCCACGTGGTCGCCACCATTCGCTGGCCAGTATGTTCTATTTTTATGGACTCAGCGGGACAATTTCATCGTCTTCGTCACTACACTCTTGCCTAGTGGTCGTGGTCGTCACACCTGGTTTGGTGGCAAGCTTTACAATCCGTCGCCATTCCTCCGGGACGTTTTAGCACCGTCCAAACGAAAATCAACCTAAAGAGCTCAGAAACTGACCACAAGGTAGGAGAACATTCGCTGCATCTCGTGCAGCGTGGGCGCGTGGAGGGAGCGCGCGGGGTCATCAGCCCTACGTAGCCACTACTCCAAGCGCGACTCCTTACCGTGACGTTGTATTACTTTTCAAAGGAAAATCGACCTAAAGAGCTCAGCAAAGTACCATGAGGTAGGCGAACATCCTCTGCATCTCGTGCAGCGTGGGCGCGTGGCGGGAGCGCGCGGGGTCGGCGCGGAGCACGGCGGCGCGCGCCTGCGGCATCATGTACAGGTGCTGCATGCACGACGCCATGTAGCACGTGGCGCCGAGGTTGGTGAGCCCCACGTAGCCGCACTCCGAGCGGGACTCCTCGGCCGGCCAGTAGTCCCACGGGTACGACGTTTGCGGACCTGGCAAGTTGTATCGGTGACGGTCACTTTGGTTAAAGTTTTCACAGTTTATTTGGAACACCAAAAGTTACAAAATATGTAAGAGCGGTGCCGCAATACGTCCGATCTGCATTTGTCAAGACGTGGATCTCGAACTAACGACAGAAATTGGATGAGGGAAATGGGATCTAGTGTGTAAACTAACATTCAAATAGTTTTATGACTACTCCGGGTCGTAATTTCATGGATCGAATCGGTCGTAATGCGAAAACGCTCTAAGCATAAAGTAACAACTTTTCATAGCAATGTTAAAAGCTAACATGACTTATGGTGGAATGTTGATTTCGCAATAATAAAATGAGACAAAACAGGCCTTATTTATATCAATAAGAGGGTTATGCCCGTTTTCACCATCAATCCCAAATGTGACCCCTATGAAAACAAAATTCTTGTTGTGTTACCTTAGGGGTCACCTAAACATTAGGGATTGATGGTAAAAACGGGCTTTCTTTGAAGACAAGTTTGCTTGTACTCACCAGGCTTGTGGTGCTCCATAAGCTTATGGTGCAGCACCATGTAGTTATCAGGCGCGCCTCGCACCAGCTCCACAAGTAGGTCGTAAGCGGCCGCCCGAGACTTCTGCGATTTACACTTCGGGAGGTTCCGTTGCTCTGGGTTTGGCACGTCGAATAAGAACCCAAAAACCTTAAAAAAGTATTGAAATATTAGGCTAATGTGCATTGTAAACGGGCTAATATTATTGGAAATAATGGCCGGCATATTCAATGTGTGTGTGTGTTCACTGACATTCGAATAAAATTACCAAACATGGTCCAGTCGTTAGCCTTGTCGATGCTTAAAATATCAACTTCGTTTCAAACTTTAGCCGTAGGAAAACTTAAGGAAGAATTCGACTTCTTTCAAAACAACTACAAGACTATACTTGAAGATCTTATTTTGAAATTCAATCAACAATAAAATTTAATCCAGTATTATGAGTTGAGTTGAATGAGTTGTTCAACACCTGAGCACATATTTCAGTAAATTCAGATGTTGATATGCAAAATCACTTACCATCTCCAGTGTCCTGGTGCCCTGCTCAGAGGTCTTAAACCTGAGCGGGTGCTTGAGCAGGTGCGTCAGCAGGCTGAGTTGCCCGTAGAGACCGTCGTCTGGCGCACAGGGTTCGCTGCGTTTCTCTATGATCTCCCGCTTTTCTAGCGATGAGCGAATTTGTTCGCACAGCTCGTTTAGGTCCGGCGCTCCGCTGTCTTCTGAGGTGGCGCCCTCTGGTTAAAATTAGTGACATTTTAAACAGTCCATTTTAAAAATCAAATCACAACAATCAATGAGGGTGACCGCAATTCTATATCGTTTACGCGCCACTGTCAAAGGTCACAAGAGTGACAGTATCTTACTTGCCAGTGACGCAAACTGGTAAGCGCAAATCTCATTATAAATAGCCATCATTTTGAAGCGATGACAGTAAATTAACTATGACAAATCTAATTTAATTTATAAAAATAAAATCACGTAAAGAATCAAACCTTTGAAGAAATCTTCGGGAAGTCCGTCTATGAGCCTGCAAACAAGCCAGAAGTAGTCTCTGCACGCCGGCCCGTACGGTTCCTTGCCTTCCTCAGCGTGGTGATGCACCACCTGCACAAACGTGAACTATAAATAATATCGACAGTCACATTTAGACAGTTAATAAAATACGTCAATTGTCAAATCATGTGATTCAGCTACGTCACTGCTCCTCTTGCGCGTATAACGTCACTGACCGGATGTTAATAAATAATCTGGCACTAGTATAATAGAGCGAACCGTTATCACTCGTAACCTCGACGGGTTGCATCCGCGTACTCGGCGATCGCGGGTGAAAACAAAGTTCACAGTCTTTGGGTGTTTTTATATCTTGCGGATTGCCCCGCGTCTCCCCACCCATTGCGTGCATATTTCACGCATTATAATAAATACTTGCATGAAAAGGAGACCTTTGGATGCACAACACGTGCGGTAGAAAAATACGACACGTATGAATTAGATAACTAAGTATATTTCAGCATACTCGTGCGGGTGGTGGATAGCGGGCACGGCATACAGGCGCATGGAGTCATGTGGTGGCGAAAAACTATTCGTATGACCTAGATGTCTAGGTACAATTTGCGTATACTTCGTTGGTGGTGGTGTCATGTAGTAGAGAAATACGACGTATGACTAAGATAACTAAGTATATTTCAGCATACCTCGAGTGGGTGGTGGAACGCGGGCTCATGTCAGTGGGGCGCGGCAGTAGCGGTTGTGTAGAAATGTAAAGCTTAAGATCTAGATAGCTAGGTATATTTCAGCATACCTCATGCAGGTGGTGGGACGCGGGCGCATGGCAGTATGTGCCTGGAGAAATACAACACGTATGACCTAGGTGGCTAGGTATATTATAGCGTACCTCGTGCGGGTGGTGGCTGCGCGGCGCGGGGTGCGGGCACATGAGTATACCTCACGCAGTCGCAGAGATGCGGTTGCATGGGGTCATGTAGCGAAGAAATGTGAAGCTTAAGATCTAGGTGGCTAGGTATATTCTAGCAAACCTCGTGCGGGTGGTGGCTGGGCGGCGCGGTATGCGGGCACCATGCGCGTCGTGAGAAGTAGAAAAGCGATGCTTATGACGTAGGTGGCTAAGTATATTTTACCATGTATACCTCGAGCTCGTGGGATACTGGTGCATGGAGTCGTGTAGTAAAGTAATGTGACACGTATGACCTTGACGGCTAGGTATATTATAGCGTACCTCGTGCGGGTGGTGGCTGGGCGGCGCGGGGTGCGGGCGCATGTCGGCGGTGCGCGGCAGTAGCGGTTGTGTAGAAATGTGAAGCTTAAGATCTAGCTATAGTCTGGTCCGGGAGTACCAGGGTTCGAAAATATCCGATATTTATTATAAATATCAAAATATCGGATATTTATGATATATATCCGATATATATCAACTTTGATATATATCAAATTTGTATGAAAGCTATACTATTATTTTATTGTATTATTTATGAATACCATTGCATATGTGTCATATAAACATGTTTTTAATGTTTTTAAAACTTAAAATCAGACAAATAAAGCAAAAACATAAAATCTTCTTGTAATTACGGCAAAATCAACTAAAAAACAAAAATCTTATGTGAAAAAGTACAAATACAGTTACAAATTTTAAAAATTGATATATATCATCAAAACCGGCTGGATATATATCGGATATACAGGGTGGCCAAAACAGTGAGGTCTAAAAGAAAAATTTAGATTCCTTACATCAAGGTGTACCTAAATCACCCCCATGTATATAATACGATTGTGCTTAGTTTAGGAGATAGAGTTAATTTTGTGATATTTTAAAATTTTATGACCTTGTAGGCTTTAAACATTTTTATCTTTTTTTTGGGTTGACTTTTATTAGATTTCTTTTTTTCGACAGATTTGTTATTAATTGCAGATGTTTGAATTTCTGATAACCAGCACAACTTGCCTCAACACCCAGTTCCGGCTTGACGTTACATTACGGGACACCCTGTATATCCCTTGATATATATCCTCGAACCCTGGGGAGTACGTAGAATTTTGTCCAATGACCCCAAGCTATCCATCCTTATCGCTCGCGCGTAATTATGTTGCTGTCGCGCTCACACACTCACTGCGCGCGCCCGTCCCACAGTCGCGACAGCAACATAATTACGCGTGAGAGATAAGGATGGGTAACTTGGGGTCATTGGACAAAATTCTACGTGCTCCCGGACCAGACTATAGCTAGGTATATTTCAGCATAATGCAGGTGGTGGGACGCGGGCACTTGGGATTATGTGCCTGGAGAAATACGACACGTATGACTTAGGTAGCTAGGTATATTATAGCGTACCTCGTGCGGGTGGTGGCTGGGCGGCGCGGGGTGCAGGCACATGAGTATACCTCACGTAGAGTCGCAGAGATGCGGTTGCATGGGGTCATGTAGTGAAGAAATGTGAAGCTTAAGATCTAGGTGGCTAGGTATATTCTAGCAAACCTCGTGCGGATGGTGGCTGGGCGGCGCGGGATGCGGGCACCATGCGCGTCGTGAGAAGTAAAAAAGCGATGATTATGACGTAGGTGGCTAAGTATATTTTACCATGAATACCTCGAGCTCGTGGGATACTGGTGCATGGAGTCGTGTAGTTAAGTAATGTGACACGTACGACCTTGACGGCTAGGTATATTATAGCGTACCTCGTGCGGGTGGTGGCTGGGCGGCGCGGGGTGCGGGCGCATGTCGGCGGTGCGCGGCAGTAGCGGTTGTGTAGAAATGTGAAGCTTAAGATCTAGCTATAGTCTGGTCCGGGAGTACGTAGAATTTTGTCCAATGACCCCAAGCTATCCATCCTTATCGCTCGCGCGTAATTATGTTGCTGTCGCGCTCACACACTCACTGCGCGCGCCCGTCCCACAGTCGCGACAGCAACATAATTACGCGCGAGAGATAAGGATGGGTAACTTGGGGTCATTGGACAAAATTCTACGTGCTCCCGGACCAGACTATAGCTAGGTATATTTCAGCATAATGCAGGTGGTGGGACGCGGGCCCTTGGGATTATGTGCCTGGAGAAATACGACACGTATGACTTAGGTAGCTAGGTATATTTCAGCATACCTCGTGCGGGTGGTGGCTGGGCGGCGCGGGGTGCGGGCGCATGTCGGCGGCGCGCGGCAGGTGCGCCAGCAGCAGCTGCAGCAGCGGCGCCAGCACCGCCACCTCGCCGCCCGCGCATAAACGGTACAAAGCGCTGCCCGCCTCGCGGCGCACCTGCACGGAACAAACAAGTGAAAAATTTATTTATTTATTAGGTACACCAACAAAGTCACATACATACAGTTCATATACAGGGTGGCCAGGGAGTTGACGTTCAAAGCTAAAATTTAGAATCCTTACATCAAGGTGTATCTAAATCACCCCATGTATGCTCTATGATTTTGCTTAATTTAGGAGATAGAGTTAATTTTGTGATTAGTCCTAAACTATCACCTATCGTTGCTTTTTTTTCTCACTGTATGGACACAGCTAATGAGGTAATGAGCATGTGATCAGCTAAAAACTAAAAAAAAACTAATAAAATATGCGTATGCCATTGCATTGCAGTCTAAAAATATAATCTTGTGACGTCACAGCAGCAAAATTTCCAAATAGCCATATTTCAACGCAAACGCAAATTTTTACAGGCGCCATGCCATAATCACGGTATGTACCATCCTAGACTGCATCTCACTTAACACCAGGTGCGATTGTGGTCAAATACATGCCATGTCTTAAAAAAAAACATCGTTTCATCAATCTGTTGCTAACAGAATTAGAAGGCTACTCACAGCCGGATCAGCATCGTCGAGCAGCAGCCGCGGCGCGGCGCGGCGCAGCGACCACGCCAGCGCCACCGCGTCGCCGCCACCGCGCGCCCACCATACGCACATGCGCATCGCGTGTTGTACCACCTGGCAACAACACATTATCCACTTCATTATATTCTCACTTGTTAATAATAGCAGGCCTGTTCATCTCCGCGAGTTTACATCGAAAACAAAACACGCACGATGGCCCACCTACAGGATACTATTCGACAAGGCCTCACATACGAGCGAACATTGACTCACGCACTCGTATTCTTGTGTATGATGGAAGAAAATAAAGAAAATGGTGTACTGTGCAGTATTTAACTGCCTAAATAATAATAAAAACACAGAATGTACTTTTTTAAGTTGCCTCAAGACATTGAGAGGTAAATAAGTAGTTAATATTATTCATGATAATGCATGCTAAATCATGTATTTCCTCCGCCATTTTCCGCAGTTTGGCACCTCACGTCACATCATTTTACCGAAGTCAGCCCTATAGCTTCCGCGCAGTGCCGATCACTGACGTTTGTCAACAAAATGGTGCTTGACTCTTCAGACAGGCTAAATTACACCATATTGTTAATGACATTGAGCATACATTTTTTTAAATACCTTTGCGAAGTAAAACTTCTGTACGTAGTACTTATTATTATTCTGTGATAATAGTTAGCTTAGCAGTCACAGGGATATTAAATAGGACCCTTTTAACGATAAGTTCAGTTAGTTTTTCGGCTACAAGCTTCGCCGGTCTTGTTCACTCGCAATCAACACTGTTTTAAAATGACATTTCCATATCACTTTGGTATGGAAGTCACCTAGATAGAGTAATATTATTCGCAACAGTTTAAATTTCTGAATTCTGAAATAGGTATATTTAGACTCAACTTGTTTCTTTACGAAATCGAATCAGAAATGAGGAAATCCGTAAACGAACTAAAGTCGCTGACATAACCCGACGGATTAGCAAGCTTAAGTGGCAATAGGCAGGGTACATAAGTACGCAGAACTGCCCAATGGGGCAGCAAGGTTCTGGAGTGGAGGCCGCATACCGGAAAACGCAGCATGAGACGTCCACCCACAAGGTGGACGACATCATAAAGGTAGTAAACAAGTAAGTAGATCAACATGGAAATCATTGGGGGAGGCCTATGTTCAGCAGTGGACGTCCTATGGCTGAAATGATGATGATGAAACTCAACTTGCAACACTGTTTTAATAACAAAATATTTTTTTTTCAGAGCTGAATCTGCCTTTAACTCGAATTTTGTCAGAAGATGAGCTCTACGATGATGTACGCTTAAAATAAGTGACGTATTTACTAGTTCTTCCCGTCCTTTTGGACAGTATCCGTTTAGGAATGAGATTTGTTGATTATATGAAATAGTGTATGTATTAGAATAAATACCTGAGCTCTTCCCCAGAATCCAGTCTTGTAAGTGGTGGGTTCTTTCAACGTGGCTGCCTCGCACAAGATCGATATCAACCGGTCCGTGGTTTCTTCTACCGTCATGAGCGACAGCAAGGACTGAAAATTAAACAACTTTAAATAACAGAAAACGTGCATTTGATGAGAATAACACAAGTAATGTATAGACAATAGTACATCAAGGTAAACACTGACATCTTATAGGTCCAACGCTTAACTGAGTGCTTGAGGTAGGGAGCGTTACAGGAGGGGTGACATTAACATATTGTGACGTGACAAAGCATATAATCCTTATGAAGATATAGTCTCCCTGAAGTTTGACGTTACAGAAAAATGTAGTTTTGTAATTTGTTGTTGACCCTAGAGCATCGTAAAGTAAAAAGGGACTATCATCAAAATCAATACAAAAACGGTACAAATTAGTCAAAATAAATTCGCAAGGCAATAAAATAGTCTCGCTCCGTACTCACTGGGTGCAACTTGGGCGTCTGCGCCGGATCCGAAGACGGCAGCGTCCCGATGCGACACAAGAGCTGCAGTAGCAACGCCAGGCAGTCCTGCCGCCATTCGCTGTCGTCGCTCCTTTGTAATACTCCTACAAATGTACAAAAAACTATATCAAATATCTTTTTATGGTTACAAAAATAATTTGGTCCTTCGAGCCGGATAACCAGAGTCTAAAAGGTGACAAAAATAGGAAAATGTACACCTAAAATTAATTTACTTAATGAAGACACAATTAATGATATTATAATGAGGGCTATCGTTTTAGCGCTCACCAGTTAGCGCCACTGTAGAGTAAGGTCCTGTCACTTGCTAGTAGCGAAGACAGTGGCGCCAACTTGTGAGCGCTAAAGTGGTAGGAGGACTATCGCATTTGCACTCATCAAGATGGCGCCACTGTAGAGTAAGGTCCTGTCAATCGCCAGGGGTGCCAACTGTTAAGTATAAAAAAGATAGCCCTCATTGTGTCAGATTGAAAAATAATTACTAACCTGACATCATGATATCATACAGGAGCCTCAAGCCACCTTTCTTTATAAACAGGTCATTCCAGTTCTCTACGCTGACTTTGTCTTCTTCACTCTTGTCTATGCTTCCCGTAGGTTCTTTTACATTCGGTGCGCTGTTTGAGCTCAGTTTATCTATGATGTGTAGCGAGTACATGAGTTTCTGAGGGCTGGTAGGGTCGAGGAGTTCGGGGAGTTTGCTCTCGGTTGGGTTCTGGAAGGCCTCCAGTAAAGTGGGGTTGAGAGGCACTGCTTGAAGGATGTCCCATACGCGCCGAGAAAGGAGTTGTGCTTTTGTGTGAGCTACGGGCTCCTGTAGAAGATATTGCCCACATCAAATACAGAAGAAACATGGTAACTACAATGCACGTAGTATAAAAACCTCATATACCATCGTCATAGAAGTTATGACAGAAATATCCAAATACACATAGAGTAAAGTATATTTTACAAGTAATCAGATGGTTTTAATAGCATGGCAATATTATAATAAACTAGTTTCTTTTTTTTCAAATTGCTACACAGAAATAAAACTTACCGAGTTAGGCCCAGGCTCCTTCATACGCGCAAGGGCTTGCATCAGAGTGAACAGCTGGTGGAAGCATGTAGGGTCTAGCAGCAACAGCGTCGGGAGCCTGGCCCTAGCTGGGGCGGGCTGGGCGGCCGGCCACTCCGCCCAAGGATACAAATACCATAGAGTACAACATAGAAACAACACTCACCGAGTTAGGCCCAGGCTCCTTCATGCGCGCAAGTGTTTGCATCAGAGTGAACAGCTGGTGGAAGCAAGTAGAGTCTAGCAGTAGCATCGTCGGCAGCTTCGCCCTAGCTTTTGTTGGCTGGGCGGCCGGCCACTCCGCCCAAGGATACAAATACCATAGAGTACAACACAGAAACAACCAACACTCACCGAGTTAGGTCCAGGCTCCTTCATCCGCGCAAGGGCTTGCATCAGAGTAAACAGCTGGTGGAAGCATGTAGGGTCTAGCAGCAGCAGCGTCGGGAGCCTCGCCCTAGCTGGGGCGGGCTGGGCACTCCGTCCACGGATACAAATACCATAGAGTACCACACAGAAACAACACTCACCGAGTTAGGCCCAGGCTCCTTCATACGCGCAAGGGCTTGCATCAGCGTGAACAGCTGGTGGAAGCAAGTAGGATCCAGCAGCAGCAGCGTCAGGAGCCTCGCCCTAGCTGGGGCGGGCTGGGCAATCCGCCCACGGATACAAATACCATAGAGTACCACACAGAAACAACACTCACCGAGATAGGCCCAGGCTCCTTCATCAAGGGCTTGCATCAGCGTGAAGAGCTGGTGAAAGCATGTGGGATCCAGCAGCAGCAGCGTCGGGAGCCTCGCCCTAGCTGGGGCGGGCTGGGCGGACGGCCACTCCGCCCACGGATACAAATACCATAGAGTACAACACAGAAACAACACTCACCGAGTTAGGCCCAGGCTCCTTCATCCGCGCAAGGGCTTGCATCAGCGTGAACAGCTGGTGAAAGCATGTAGGGTCTAGCAGCAGCAGCGTCGGGAGCCTCGCCCTAGCTGGGGCGGGCTGGGCGGACGGCCACTCCGCCCAAGCGCCCCGCCCGCCTACGCCCACGGATACGAATACCAGCTGGAAGAAAAAGGACTTTAGGTGTCAAGTGTCCAGATATGGACAGGGTTTCCCAATTTTTTTTGCCAAGGAACCCCAATTGATTATACTTTTCCTAGCGGAACCCCCGTACTACTCTGCCCGCACGCTCTGCCCCTCCCTTGTGCGTAAACAAGTCGGTGCGAGCGAACAACGTCGGTCACGAAACGTGGGATAATATTTTTTACGGAAACCTTGCGGCCTTTCCACGGAACCCCAGGGTTGCGCGGACCACCATTCGGGAACCGCTGGCCTAGGGTGCTGTAATATCGTCTTATCGAGGCAGCTTATCGATTTTACACGATTCATTTGTCGTCTAAAATCGGAGGTATAAGATTATATCGTGGCGCACATCCTAGGCCGGTAGATGTTACATTGTTTTATGGTGTTCAATTGTTTCCCAAATATAGAATAAATAAATAATTTCAGTGTTAGGTTAGGCAGATTTATCAGCTAATTTTATTTCAGATGCACGCACATGTGATTCAAGTTTTTTCCTGAGAAGTAATCTTTCTAATAATAAAAATAACTACTGATAGTGACTTACTTGATTATCTTTAAACCCCATATCATACAGTGTCCTCTCATCGTAGTCTATGGTCAACTCTTGCCCTTGCGTTATCATTCGCAGCGGCCCATCTGTCGACAGTGCCGTAACTCCTTCTTCTCCTTGTATCTGGAAGTTAATATAGATTATCACTGTTGTCTCATGTCACAGGTAGATCTCACAGTATTTTTCAGTTTACACCAGTTTGTCATGCGAATCGGAATTGAAAAGTGTGAAGTCGTGGTGGTGTCTTGTGTAGGGTGAGCCACAAGTCATAATATCCCACCATCTCGGGATTGAAAAGCATAAAGTTTTGGTGGTGCTAGTATCTATGTAGTGTAGGGTGAGCTACAAATTATCCCGCCCTAGGCCCCATACCTTTTCCACGTCATGTGATTCGGGATCGTAAAGCTGCCAGGTGCTGTAGACGCTAGTGTCTAGTATACACCAGCTATAGATCGTTTCATCCACGAAGACGCGCCCCACCATTCTTCCGATAATGTTTGAGTGTTATCGGTACACGTAAAATTATCCATGAGTAATCACACTCACACTACAATAATGACGCTCGAATTGCTCGGATCAAACTCTTCGCACCCCGCGCTTTCCTAGACCAAAAATTGGTAGGGCGCGTCTTCGTGGATGAAACGATCTATACACGGCTGTTTTAGAACCTGTTCCCACTAACCTGCTTCTCCCACCAGACGTGCACGTGCGCGCGAAGATGCGCAACCAAGTCCTGGTGGTGTAAACTCAACGAGGCGCGCGGGCCCGCACCGGCCGGTTGCAACGTTAGCCGCACGCTGCCCGCGCCGCCGCACCCCTCCCAAGCCCCGCTCTCCGCTAGCGCCCAACGACGGAGGTGGTACGCGTATCTGAGAGAGAATTAGACATGTTGAAGCACAAAACAAATGAAGATCGATCATTATCTTTCGTATCTGAGAAATAAATTAGACGTGTTACATAAAACAAATGAAGATCGATCATTATCTTTCGTATCTGAGAAATAAATTAGACGTGTTACATAAAACAAATGAAGATCGACCAGTATCTCTTTGCTCGTGACAACAGCTGTGGTCGAAACGTCAAGCTCAAGTCGTTGTTCGTTTATTCATTTCAGCCAAATGAAGTCCACTGCTCGACAAAAGCCTCTCCCAAGGATTTCCACAATGACATGACAGGTCTTGCGCTAGTCACATTCAGATGCTAGCCTTTGGAGTAAGTACTCATGTAATATAATAAATATCGCGATTGGTATCTATTATTCTCAATACTCCCTATCAAAAACAAAAATGAAAATGACATTGACGAAAGACTCGTTTCAGTAAAAGGCACCCACTGAAAATCAGTGTCTTGGCAGTCGCACTGTCAAGATGTTACTGAGTGGGTGACCTTTTTTGGCAACTTAGTTAATTTTTTTTTGTGTATTTCTTTGTTTGCCTGAATTTGTTGTTGCCAAAATAAAGTTATTTTCTTTCTTTCTTCTTTAGTAAACTAGCGTGGGGTGTACACAATACGGATGCTACATAAATGTGAAACTTGATTAAGCTTTACCTTCTTTTGAACGTATCCAAATGCGTTTTCAACAGCAACAGCGCCCTCTGTATGCACTGTAGAGCTGCCTCCTCCGTCATATGTTCATAAATATTCTGCTTGTCCGTTTTTTCGGTGTCTTTCTTATCGTCACATTTCACCGGTGTAATGGAACCCTCATCATCTTGGTTCTTGGATATGAGACGTTCAGCCGCGGAGGAGAGATGGAACATACACTTCGATACGAAGTCGTCTTCTTGTTGTAGTTGCTGGCCCATGTAATAGCTGTTCAGGTACTGGATCGCGCCCATGGAAACGTCTAGAAATAGGATTCAACATGTAATAAAATGGGTAAAATGTTTTCGTTACACCACATCATTGGAGCTTTGTTATACGTTTGACGGCTATTGTTTTAGCGCTTATCAGTTGGCTCCACTATAGAGTAAGGTCACTGTCATTTGCTAGTGGCGAAAACAGTGGCGCCAACTGGTGAACGCTGAAACGGTAGGAGGACTATCGCATTTGCACTCACCAGGATGGCATCACTCCTCCTGGTACAGTAGGGTCATGTCAATCGCTAGTGATGCCAGTTGTTAAGTATAAAAACGATAGAGCTCATTGGTTTCAACAACATAAAAAAAACATACCAGTGCTGTTAGCCCTGAGCGCGATCTTCCAAAGATGGTCCATAGCCAGTGTGTGAGGGTGTGGAGTGTCGCGAGACTCTCCCGCGCCCAGCGCCATGCGAGCCAAGTTGCACAACTGCTGGTATAGACTCAGCCCCATGATGCTGATCGTCTGATGAGAATAACAAAGAAATGATTAGAAGAAAGCAATGGAATGAAATAACTGATTAAATGTTATGGGCAGAGAACACATTTCCATTCGGTTGTAGGTAACCATTATCTAGAAATCTAGGTAGAGCAGAAAATCACCACCCCGACTCTTCCCGTGGATGTCGTAAGTGAGTGAGTTGGTTAAGTGAGAAACGTGCAAAAATGAAGCCTGAGCAATCCATCAAACCAGTGCAGTGTGGGGATTTTAGGCCAAAGTTTTCATTGCCTCTGGTAAATTGGAGAGGGTCGTGATCGTATCTGCAGTGGATACTAAATGATCTGATGATGATTCTAAGCCTCACTCTGGTTCGCCGCGCACTATTTGGCACTGCGACAACTCTTCCACTGCTTACTGTCAGCACGTAGTACACGTGCACTCGTGTACCTATTTATTTCGTACGTTTACGGAAACGCCATGCCAAAGCAAAAATATAGCAAACAGGTCGCAAGCGTCGACTTGTTGGCGTAACTACTTCTAGTAGCGCCACGCAGCGCTTTACGCTCCGCCCGGTGAAATGGGCCCGCGGATTCCGCTCCGCACGGTGGCTCTAGACGGCTTTTAGCCATGTTTTCACCAAGGCGGAGCGATGCGGTGCGGAGTAGAGAGGACAAGTGGACATAATGAAATCTGATTGGTTAATCAAAACACTTCTCCGATCCGCTCCGTTCTGCTCTGCCTTGGTGGAAACCGCGCCTTTAGCGACGCTTGGAATTGTATGCTTTGAAGAAGAAGAAGAAGACATGTTTATTCAGTATCATCGACAATAATTGTAATGTCAGCCTATAATTGTTGTTGCATTGTAACTTTGTTCATAATTGTTATTTTTAAGTGTACATGTTGTTATGTAACAATGTTGGTAGACCTAATAAATAAATAAATACACTTAATTACTTTGAAAGAAAGAAAGACTAGACTTTGCGACTAGAACCATGCTTTGCCACGCCTCGCCCGGTCTTCGCTGGCTTAATACCTTACCTCAGGGTCGAGCGTGGGCATCTTCTCCACGTAGAGGAACCGTAACGCGTCCAGTCCCAGCGCGTGCTGCTCCGGCGACTTGGTGTGCGACAGCAGCCACGAGTACAGGCAGTCGGCGCATTCGGGCCCGCCGCGTACCACCAGGCACTGCCATAGTTCCTCCACTTGTTCTACTGTCAGTCTGCCAAATACAACCATAGGACATGATAATCTCAAAGGTTATTAAACGATCATGATTTATCTTAAAGGTATAACATATATGAAACAATCCACATAGGCGACAATAGCCCAACGGTGTCAGTGTCAAAACTGCCGATTTGACCCCGTCAGTAGTTCGAGCTTTATAGATCTACTCCTATTTAGCTTACGGCCTCCGCTAAAACTTACGCGGGTAGCGGTCGAGAAATATCATGAGCAGCGCATGCATGTCACGTGTTTCCACACGCGTGGCGGTAGCAGGTGCCCGAAGCGGGCGTGCATTTCCATGCATTAAAACCGGCCAAGTGCGAGTCGGGCTCGCGCACAAAGGGTTCCGTAGCAGCAAATATAATAAACTTATTATGTCAATTTATACACCTGGTGAATGGAGCCTAAACTCTCCCGATATTTTGCCTTGTACTTTTATGTATGAATATTAATTTTATATATGTATTTATAAATATTCCGAGCTAAAGAGGTGGCAAAAGCAATGGCAAACAAACCACAATCAATAGTATTCGGTTGTCGCTGAACACTTGGAAACTGAATACATGACTCCGATAGATACGGAAACAAGGCTTTTACATATATTTTTTGCGATTTTCCTAGAACACCAACAAGACTATCGTACACACGCAGTATTCCATTAATGTAATAAATACAACTCCAGTGCCCCACTAATCCCACGTCACCGTCATAAATTACTTGAAGGTGCGTCTCATTTTTAGGTACAGGTTCAATCAGTTCAGGGTGTTGAAATAATTCTAGCTCACGCGGTCTAAATGATGTGCACCGAAGTAACTTTTCATGAAATGCGCGAACCACATCATCTTCGATATAGTTATTATAATTCAGAATGTAGGAAAACGTATTATCTAAAGTATCCATTGTTAGATGATATACAATAAGCTTTAGAAATTTTAAAAACCTGCTACGAAACACTAAAATTTGCACCAAAAACAAAGGAATTTATATTATTGGGGGATTTATTAGTACGTGACCGGTTTAATAGCACCTATTAAACCAGTATACCTACTTACTTATTTTTTATAATAGGTACAATTCAATATTAAAAAGTCTCAACGCCAAATTCGACTTGCGAAAGAAGTAAATGGGAACGATGAAATTCTCTTAGCGCGCACAAGTGACAACGACGTCTGCCCTCACGTGTCTGCCCGTTCGGGTCGACGCGGTTAGCTATCTTATCCCCGCTCCCGCGCGAGACCACGCCCCGCAACTCACGCGCTGCAGCGCAGCGAGCGACCGATCTTCTTGAATCGATGTAATAATAATCTATAGGATTAACGCGTTTTAAAAATATTGGTTCGATGGATATGTTTAACCTATTATTACTCAACAATCACATTTGTAATATTAAACTTTATCAAATGCACAATGTATTTAAGGTACATTACTGGATAAGGATTAATGGCGTATTGCTTGAATAAGCTAATATTTCTCGTAAAAAGTACCTACATTATAAAGATTTTATATCATCGCGGATTTTAAAAGGTGTACAATACTGTAGTATATTTTTTGATCTATCTTATAAGGTTCAGCCATCGTTTTCAGTGTAAGCACAATAACTTAACCAAAATTACAGTTAAATCAACCTATCTCAAAAACTATAAGAGATACTTTGATCAAACCAAAAATCGTTGAAAGAGTTAATTAGCATGCATCACCTCTATTTTTTTTAGAATTTTATACCCCGTAGTTATAAAAATAGAGGGGGGGGGACATACTTTTTACGACTTTGAGAGCTGATATCTCAAAAACCGTTCACTTTAAGAAAAATGTTTTTTAGAAAACTTTATATCATTTTAAAAGACCTTTCCATTGATACCCCACACGGGTATGTACATCGAAAAAAAAATTTTCATCCCTCAGTTACATGTATGGGGGGCCCCACCCCCAATTCTTTTTTTTACTATTTAGTGTCATAATTTTGTAGCGGTTCATACAACACATATTCCCATCAAATTTCATCACTGTAGTACTTATAGTTTCCGAGTAAATCGGCTGTGACAGACGGACAGACGGACAGACGGACAGACGGACAGACGGACATGACGAAACTATAAGGGTTCCGTTTTTGCCATTTTGGCTACGGAACCCTAAAAAGCGGGCGCACCCGCAAGTTTTAGCTTAGGTCCAATAGCAATAATTTGTATTATACAAAATACTAATATTTTTTTTGTATTAATATTAAATACTAAATAATTAAATACTAATATTAATATTGTTTTTACAAAAAATGCGTTTCTATCTAATCATATAGTGTTTGTTTTCACCCGGGTTTGACAAACAAACAACCAAAAGTTCGAATTTCTGAAATCAAATTTTAATTTTGCTTTTTAAATGAACAGCATTTGTGGTCTATTTGACATCACATGGTGCTTCTATATGGCATTAGTCTCTAAATGGTTTAGCAGAAATGTTAATGTATGAAAATAATTAATGGTGGTATTCCGAATAAATTCAAATTAAAGTCCGGTCGCCGAGCAGATAGAATTTCGTCCAATGACCCCAAGCTACCCATCATCACTCGCGCGTAATTATATTGCTGTTGCGACTGTGCGACGGGCGGCCGCAATGACCGGAGTTTACCCTCATCATACCTGAAGTGCTGCGGAGAGCCCACCGGCGAGAATATGGCCGTCAAGAAGTGCAAGCGCACGGTGAGTTCAGTGATGTGCGCGTAGTGCGCCGCGTCGCCCGCGCCGCGCGCCTGCTGCGTGTAGTGGCGCAGGTCCTCCACGAACAGCCGCATCATGCCGCGCTCGCGCTCCGCCCACATCACCACCTGCCGACATGGGGTAGGCGTAATATGTATATTTTAAAATTATTATTTTTTTATGCTAGACAAGGCAGGTATTTGACCGCAATCGTACCTGGTATTAAGTGAGATGCAGTCTAGGATGGTACATATCTGCCCATAAAACGCAGTGTATAAGGCCATATGTCATTCTCTTCCAGTTATCCTTAGCCCATATATGCCCAGAGGCACGAAAACGACCCAAAGGTACGTTTTCTTGCGATGCCTATAAAAATGTCCGTTTGTTCGTTTTAATTACATAGATATGGGTTAGGTTAGAACCTCGTACTAGCATTCGAGTTCAAGAGTAGTAATATAACACAATTGTTACTGTGTAATAAAATAATAATGATTGAACTTCGGACAAAAAATTTGGACTCTAAGAAACGGCACGTTGATATTGAATTCGGCGGTAGGTAGGTTTTTAGCATGGAGCTTACTGAATTGTACTTTATAGCGTGGTATTGAGGCCAGCTATTTCTTTAATGTGTTTACGGAGTGATCCTTCTGATGTAGCTATCATTATATTATTCTGTGAGTGTGATAATATACATCTGTGATTCAAAGCTCTTTGAAGATGATTTGGAAACATTACCTGATGCATATCCATGCCTCGTAATTGTTGGAATGATGAGAACAGCTTTGGCAGTAGACGTAACGATACTGCTACAGATCTGGAAGAAAAATCACAAATAAGTATTTGTTTCAGTATAAAAACTGTTAAATAAGTGATTACTTAAATAAATTGTCTTTACCTGTGATTAGCGAGGTTGTCGAGACACCCTTCGATGAACTTAATCCGGATAAACTTGTCTGTGCTGAAGCAAAGCAGAGCGCAAAGCGCTTTCTCCGCTTCTAGGGCTAGGCCTTCACCAAGTTGCTCCTGCGAATTGCATAGGTATCTTTAAATGTAACGTTCACATTATCACTCTTTTTACTAAAATTAGATAAATAGATGAAGTAGAAGAAGAGATAAATAGTAATTTCTGTCATAAATAAGGTGCTTAAGGTGATTTTCTTCCGCCACGTCTCAACACCAGCCCATATGCTATCCAGAAGTGGTGGTAGAGCAAACTATATTTGGGACGTATAAGAGGAAATGTGAACATCAGACCTCCCCAACTCGTATGGGCAGCATGGAGGATACAGCCAAATCCGCTCGTAAATGGGAGTGGAGACTGAATATTCTGATAATGATGATGATGGTGGTGATAATGACCATTAAAGGTTCGGCCAAACCAACGCGATCACACGCAATCAGCCGGCGTGCAGCGATGGCGATCAATGCATTTAAGTCTGGTCGCCATCGCTGCACGCCGGCTGATCGCGTTGGTTTGGCCGAACCTTTTAGAGTCCTAAATACTAATAACTAACGCTAATTCATGCAATGCAAACAGTTTATTAAACCTATTTTAACTATTGCACTGTTTTATCTCGTTCCTACTTGGCGCTGTCATAATTTGATAGAAAGTGACAAAAGAGTGCAATTAGTTTAAATAAGTTTATTATGCTGTTTGCCTTATTATGAATAAGGGTATTAGAATTTAATCTTACAATGTTGCCGTCCTGCAGCAAGTCCCACAGCAGCGTATTCCCAGGCCGGCACACCGCGTCGACGTCACACGGCGGCGCCGCGACCGCCGCGCCCGTTCCCACGCCCACCACGCCCACGCCCACGCGTGACGTCTGGTACTCGGTGAGACATTGCGCCTGGAATAAGATGCTCTATACAGGAAATGATGTTGGTCGAGATACTTTTGATTATATACAATTCACAAATCTCAAACTCCATGGTTATACACCATGTGTGTAATATAATAGTGATTAGTTCGACTGTCTTGTTGCGGAGGTCCTAGATCATTGTGAAGTATTATTGGGTAAAGCCTAGTCTGTGAGCACGTAGAATTTTGTCCAATGACCCCAAGCGACTGTGCGGGCGCCCGCAGTGAGTGTGCGAACGCAACAGCAACATAATTACGCGCGAGCGATAAGGATGGGTAGCTAGGGGTCATTCGACAAAATTCTACGTGCTCGCGGACCTGACTATAGATTAGGACACTGTTATGCTACAATCAACCAAAAAAAATATTATTGAAGCCGGTCAGTCCGATTGATCCATGTCAGCCACCTATAGCAACACGTGAAAATACATACGGAAAAGTCACAAGAAACGATATAAATAATAACACGCAACACTTTTTTGCTCAAGCGATTAACAACGTTATTACACTCATACCTGCACAACAAGGCGTGTGAGTAGTGAGGAGAATCTCACAGGCGGAGTCGTCTTCTTCTAAGTCCTTATCGCCCAAGCAAGACGCTTATACACATTATTCCTCAAACGATTTTGAACATTATCACCATGACCTATTGTTAGTATTACCTGGGCAGCGAGGCGAGCGAGCTCCTCGCAGGCGGAGTTATCTTCTTCCAAGCGACTCGGCTAACTATGTTCATCAAGCTATTGTCATCATCGTCCATCACACTCATACCACCGCGTCAGACGTCTTGATTGCACGTGCAATGATCGTCACAGTGCATGCTATCCCGGAGGCAGGCTGAACGCGTTCGTTTGGCCGAAGCTTTATTATTATTACCTGGGCAGCGAGGCGAGCGAGCTCCTCCTCGCAGGCGGAGTCATCGTCGTCTAAGTCGGCGAGGTGTGGCGAGTGCGACGCGATAGCTGACGATGCACTACCCTCCTCGCCCGATCAAGCGATATTCAACTTTATCACATTACCTATTGTACGAGCACGATCGTACATCCTGCTGCACCGTCAGCATCAACCGCCGAGCGACCCACGAACCCTCAACGTGCACCGTCGGCACTCTACACCGACGGCACACTAGCATATACCTTTCATTGTGTACAGTAAATAACTTATGTATAAATAGCAATAGCATTATAACAATAAACAGATATCAACCGTCCGTCTGTGTCTCATTTCCCCCCACTGCGGCCAAGACACCCTTAGCCGTCGCTATGATCAGTCCGGTGAGTCTGCCGGGCTGGCAGCGGGTCCCCGCCGCCTACCTGCCGTCCTAACGCTGCTGCCCTGGGCGACCTGGGAGCAGCTTCCTTCCTATCAAACCTTATTATGTCTAAGTATATATTGTTAGGCAGGGCTAGGGCTCTAGGGACTTAGTGGTCTTAGGTAATAGGGACTCCAGGCTCACTAGGGAGTTAGCTCCCTTCCTGACCGCATATCCCGGGCACGGGAGCGGTGCCTTACAACCATTGCCTCCCGCCCGTACACCTATTATTCTTATTACCTGGGCAGCGAGGCGAGCGAGTTCCTCCTCGCAGGCGGAGTCGTCCTCGTCCAAGTCGGCGAGGTGCGGGTGCGAGTGCGGCGAGATGGCGGACGACGCACTACCTTCCTCCTCTTCGCCTGACGCGCCGCGGCGTTTGTAGCTCTCCATAAGCCGGAGCTCCATTAACCTCCTGGAGTGAAATGAACTTGATGGTTAACCATCTAAGGTAGGAAAATTGGATCATCAATTCCAGTAGTAAGTCAGTAGGACGATATTCGCTTGGTAAAATCAGCTCGGATCGTTTAATAAGAGCTACTGAACTGTGCCGCTCCTGAAAAGCGATTGTGACCATTGTGCCCAAGTAGACATTCGCACATTCGGGGACTTTCGTTCTTGAAATCACGCTGTTATAAAGGGAGTTTTGCTCCTATAGAGCGGCACAAGAGGGGTGATGACATTTATGACGTGACAAAGCATACTCATACAAATCTGAAGCACATTTGAAGCCTCGCTGATGTTTGACGTTCTAAAAACACCCTCCCGTGCCGCTCCCTTACTGCAGGCACTGAATGAGTTAAGTATTCGCCTCGCTCTATTTTGAATTCGAACGAATAAAATAAAACTTGTACGGCGTCTTTATATTCATTTGTAATAATTTATCTGTTTATTAGCTAAAAAATTCAATTTCAATGAATCCGGACAGTCTCACCTAGCATCGACATTGTCGCACAGCAGCTGGCAGTGTCCGGTGTCGCTGCCGGACGTCTCCTCCTCCACCTCGGACACCGACTCCGCCAGCTCGGCCGGCTTCAGCGCGGCTGCTACTGGACAAACTGGTTGTTTAGTTTCTTGCAGTTGTGACACTGTTTTAATTATCTAGATAACACCAGAGTCCCAGCCAGATCGATAAAATCCGCGTAAAAATCTTTGAGTTTATCATACAATGGGATGGAATCCAAACCGCTATTGAATTTTTGGTCCGATGCGCAATAAAAATGAGTGAGATTACCAAATGTCATTAGACCTTATAGTTTTTAATTATTACCAACTAGCTATAAGTAGTTTTTTAAATACTTTTACAACAAGTAACTTCTAGAAATCATAACGAACAGCGGCCTCATTTATTTTATTGCAATATTTTCAGTCTAAGCAACATGAAGGAGAGTCCAAAATTCATAAGCTTATCCATTAAATTAAAATATAATACACCATAAGAAATAACGAAAAGCTATTCAAGAAAGATGTGATAAAATGATTGTCGTATGGACCATGCACTCACGGAAATGCCTGGTCTTGCCGGGCTTGTGGCGCTTCTTGTAGAGTTTCTTCTTGCGCGGCCGCAGCAGCTCCTCGGCGCCGCTGCTGGCGCTGCCGCTGCTGCCGGCGCGCTTGCTGCGTCTGCGAGGATCACGCATAGAGATATAGAGATACCAACTGATGCGCTGAGTTCGAAACTCAGTTTACTCAGTGTCGCATTAGACATTCACACACACAAAGAAATCAAAATATGTGCTCATTATCCACTGCGGTATCAGTACTCAACGTTCGAATAATCTTTAGTACTACGCAAGCAATGTAAACTGTTTACATATGGCATGCTGTCTTCATTGCTTTCACGAGCAATGTGTTCTGTTTTTGGGCATGCGACACTGTCCCCGCCCCCTTGTCACATCTCCCTTTAGTTTCTGTGATCTGTGGGATTACGCATTCAGTTAGGGTAGGACTACGCCCTTCAGTGGCGCCGGCGCATCAGTGTCCAGTGGCGCGTGGTTCTCCTCGAAACCGGAGGGGCTCACCCAAGGGCGAGCAGTAGCAGTAGCCCTGAGATGGAACCGCGGAATGTCCAATATTAGGATAATAACTCGCGGCTTCGTTTCAATGACCCCGGAGGACACCATCGGGTTTTAATGGGTAGGCTCCGCCTTCCCGGCGGGGAGAGTCCCACATAACCCAATGTTCCCAATGTTAAAGGGACTACAAGCGTTGGCTATCTTTATACGGACGAAAGCACATCAAGTTAGATTGCGGTTTGGACAACAAACAAAAAATACTCGAATATGTAGTGTTAAATAATACTTTAAAAGCTACTGTTTATCCTTGAAAAATAATGTTTTTGTGTCACGCGAGCGCAGTAAAAATATAATTTTGAAAATAATTCCTTCCAACAGCAATGTTTTAACTAGCCCCAGAGTGAGACCTTGTACTTTGGCAAGATAATAGATTTACATACATTTAAATACAAAAATTGCAGTCACACTGTAAGAAACAATATGGTAAAATTCGAAATACAGCACATTTTAAAACAAATATACATACTTTTGGCAAGACTTGAGGGTTGGGCATTCTTTCTTCGATAGTTCCTCGCCTTCACGAAGCCATTCTTGTTCAGCTGAAGAATAATAATGAGAGATTTAATAAGTAATACAATAATAATATCGTAAATGATTTTGGAAAAGAAAAGATATTTACCAGTAAGCTCGCGTTGATGTTTACTTTGCTTCCGTGGTGTAGGCCCAGCCTCTTCTCCTGATGTACTTAGTTCTTCACACTAGAATTGAAAATTACTAGTTATCAATGTGCTTAATGGCGTAGAGTTAAAAAAAATATTTGAGTTCACTGTTTATGTTTTATTTTTCTATTTCATTTTAGTTATTCAGTAATAATGTAAATGAATAGATTAATATTCTTCCTGGCTGGCTGAATGTAAATTGATTTTCCTTTTGAGTGAAGCTGTTGCTGAGTGCTTAATTTGCATTTTAATTACGCGACAGCGTCGTGTCGTAATATGCCATACATACTTAGAAATTCGTGTTGTGGTCGCTTATGAGAAACACCACGACGCTTTTTGGCAATAGATAAAAGTCATGTTGCGTTCTAAGTACTAGTTGATGTAACCATATTTTATCATGACAGGCTGAATGTAATTTGTTTTTTTACTTGTAATACAGGATTTGAGGGAAGGGCGCGTGGGTTACAGTAATGACATGGAGCGCGTCGTGAGACAATACGTGTGCTCTTTGTATATAATTTTGACTGGAGGAGGAGCGCGAAATTTTTTGTATGGGCGAAAGGGGGCGTGTCTCAAATAAGTTTGGGAACCAACCCCTAGAGTCTAGGGGAACTCTAAACTACTAAAGGCAACTCACAGGGTCATCATCCGAGTTCGTTTGGTCCAAGCTAACGCTAGCCTCCGAGGCGGAGTTGTGGTGCGGCTAGCAGGGAGGTACTGATTAACGCGAGGTGTAATGCCCGGTTTTCACCAAGGTGGAATGGAGCGGAGACGAGAGGAGACGTGTCAGTCTATTGCTGTGTGGTGCGGACTCAAGCACTCAAGATTTATAGACAGCAATAGACTGACGGCTGACAGTTACGTACATTTATTATCTCATCTCGTCTAATCTCCGCTCGTCTCGTCTCCGCTCCGCTTTGGTGCCCTAAGCTCTAAGGGAACTAAAGGGACCACATGGCCCGCAAGAGTGCTGACGCGAGGTGTCAACTAAATAGGGATGCTAAAGGCAACTCACAGGGTCATCATCCGAGTTCGTCTGGTCCATGCTAGCGCTGGCCTCTGAGGAGGACTTGTGGCGCAACACAGTTGCAGGTACGCACAACTCTTCTCTTGTCTCGTCTCCGCTCCGCTATGGTGCCCTAAGCTCTAGGGGAACTAAAGGCAACTCACAGGGTCGTCGTCCGAGTTCGTCTGGTCCATGCTAACGCTGGCCTCCGAGGAGGAGTTCTGGTGCGGCTAGCAGGGAGGTACTGATTAAGGCGAGGTGTAATGCCCGGTTTTCACCAAGGCGGAATGGAGCGGAGACGAGAGGAGACGTGTCGGGCGGACTCAAGCACTCAAGATTTGTAGACAGCAATAGACTGACGGCTGACAGTTACGTACATTTCTTCTCTCTCGTCTCGTCTAATCTCCGCTTAGGTGGAGACCACGTTTAGGCTCTAAGGGAACTCTAAACTTTTAAAGGCAACTCACAGGGTCGTCATCCGAGTTCGTCTGGTCCATGCTAACGCTGGGCTCCGAGGAAGAGTTGTGGTGCGGCTTGCAGGACGGCGCGGGCTGGCGCAGCGGCTCCGGCGGGCCCGCACCCGCGCTGACCCCGCGGGACCACAGGGCCCGCATGAGTGCCGTCGCGAGGTGTCAATTAGGGGGATAATAAAGGCAACTCACAAGGTCGTCATTTGAGTTCGTCTGGTGCATGCCTACGCTGGACTCCGAGGACAAGTTGTGATGCGGCTTGAAGGGCGGTGCGGGCCCCCGCTGCTTTCTCCTTACACCTCGCACTCCCAAAGCAAAGGCATCATACGATTCGTAGACATCAATAGGCTGACAGCTACGCACAACTCCCCTCTCGTCTCGTTTCCGTTCCGCTTTGGTGCCCTAAGCGCTAGCTAGGGGAACTAAAGGGAACTAAAGGCAACTCACAAGATCGTAATCCTAGTTCGTCTGGTGCATGCTAGCGCTGGCCTCTGAGGACGAGTTGTGGTGCGACACAGTTGCAGCTACACACAACTCTTCTCTCGTTTCGTCTCCTCTCCGCTCGTCTTGTCTCCGTTCTACTTTGGCGCTCTAAGCTTTAGGGGGACCTAAAGACAACTCACAGGGTCGTCATCCGAGTACGGCTCGGGACCACATGGCCCCCATAGTGCTAACGCGAGGTGTCAACTAAAGAGGGATACTAAAGGCAACTCACAGGGTCGTCGTCCGAGTTCGTCTGGTCCATGCTAACGCTGGCCTCCGAGGAGGAGTTGTGGTGCGGCTTGCAGGGCGGCGCGGGCTGGCGCAGCGGCTCCGGCGGGCCCGCGCCCAGCGCCGGCGGCGTGCCCGCGCCCGCGCCCGCGCCCGCGCAGCCCCCGCGGGACCACATGGCCCGCATGAGAGCCGACGCGAGGTATAAGCTCTGGGGGAAAACAAAAGAGGATAAGGTACAGTCATTGGGAATTTATTAGAAGCAGAAGAGAGCACATAAACATCTTAAGGTTCAATCAATCCAACGCGATCACACGCGATCAGCCGGCTTGCAGCGATGATCATTGATCGCCATCCCTGCACGCCGGCTGATCGCGTGTGATCGCGTTGGTTTGGCTGAACCTTTAATCAATTTATTATTGTTTTACAGAATGCATGAGATTTTGTTTTGCTGCAAAATGTTCTTTTGTCCCTTGACATAGGCCTCCTCCAACACATTAATAGGTTTGCACTCTTTCTGCCATGTCACCATACACCTTGACAATCAATGTTCAGTCTATACAGCCACAAACAACATGTACCTCAGTATGGAACTTGGGCGGCAAAGCGCATAGGAGACCAGAGAGGTGGACGCACGGCTTGGGGGCTAGTAATAATGGTAGGTTTACAGTTTTACGGGCAGCAGGTCGTACACCTGGCGGCCGCAGTGCTCGAGCTGCGCTGCTGACGTCACGCACCTGCTCAGTGTGGTCCTTGGGCGGCAGCGCGCACAGCAGGCTGTAGAGGTGCGCGCACGGCTTGGGGGCCAGCGCGCGGATGAAGCCGGGCAGCAGGTCGTACACCTGGCGGCCGCAGTGCTTGAGCTGCGCCGCCGCCCACACCAGCTCCACGTGCTCCGTCGTCACGCGGCCCTCTACCGCCAGGAACTTAAGGATCATGTGCGACTGCTTTATCACCTGGATTCAAAAAACATATTTTTTTATCTGCAACAAGGAAGCTCTTGGCCTGCAACTAACATGATGGAAAGTGAAGATCAGGCCGAAGATGGAAGCGACTTTCACCCGGACAGAGGAACTGGCTATCTTACCTCTAACTGCCGGAACACAGCAATGCTGTTAACAATGTTGTTATGGTGACAGACCTAGGATGGTGGTAGCTAGCCAGGTGGACACACTCAATACTTTATTGCTACTTTATTGCATTATTAACAAAATCATGAATTTACATATTACAGTGTTACTATTGTACATTTGGCACAGCAAAACTTTGAGAAAAGATGATCACTCACTTCTAAATTGTGCTTTGCAATTAAAGATGTTTTCATGGTAATATGGTAATTTTAACATTAGATTCTTTGCATAATATAGACACATAAACAAGCACACACTTTCATATTTAAGACAATCATTACCTCAACATGTAAATTAGGTCCAAACAAGTGCTCTATGATTTCATTGAAGCTTAGCCAAGCTGCCAGGCGCCGCCCAGCCATCTCGGCGTCCGCGGCCGGCTCTCCGGCACACAGTTCATTGTGGGCCGCGATGTGTGCGTTGATCTGTGCCACTCCGGCCAGGCGCATGGTCAGTGTACTGCTGTTAAAGTACTTGAAGGCTAAGGCTAAGCCATCGGCGTCGAACGCCAGAGGCGCGTCTAGTGGCTCTTTAGCTGCTCCCCACATGAAATCTGGAAGTATTATTTTGTATAAGACAATATTTAATAAAAGAAAGTACCATTGTTATTTTACTTGCACTTACCAGCCATAGACTTGACAGCTGGAACTCTCAAGTCCTTATCCTCCAAGTTGCACATGTAATTCAAGATTTTACTTCTGAGTGGCATGAACAACTGAGCCACTGCTCTAAAGTTCAGCCACAGCTTGAGATTTCCCACAGCAGCTACGATAGCATGTGCCATTGACAACGGCAAAGTGTTGGGCATGGCATGCTCAAATACCGAAGTCATTGCACACACTCCTCCCAATTTACAGAAGAGACTGACATTCCGCAATAAGTAAGCTGGTATTTCAGTGTCATGCAAGTCACAGTATGAGCTTAAGTTGGATATTTCCTGTGCGGAGAGGTCATCTAACCGGCTCAAAGCTGAATGTTTGCAAGCTAGGTACAGAGGAAAATTCAGTAAGAATATTTTGGAGACAATGTGCATGAGTTTTTCTTTTTGCGGCATTGACCACACTTCAGGATCTTCATTTGATGTTGAAGGCTTCTCCTTGCCTGGTTCTTCAGTTGGTTCAGAGGGTACTGTTGGAGCGGGGTTATCATTTTGTGGGGTGGTGTCTTTAGTAGGGTCATCACTTTTCTCCTCAGTATCAGGAGGTGCTACATCAGGTGGTTTTGTTTTCTCCTGCGTCTCATCTGGTGGTGGTACTTTAGCTGCTTCAATGAGGTCATCTTTAAGCTGTTTGAGCTGGCACACTGATAGACATAGTATACTTTGCACCACAAGATAGAACCTTTCAAAATTCTTCACATCACGATAGCAGCACATGCATTGTCTAAAATGTAAATTTACAACATTAGCTCTCTAATTAACATTCAATTGTAAATACAGTTTAATATAGAGCACTATCAAGTCAGAGAATTGTATAAAAAGCTTTCTTCCACAGAATTTACAATAGAAGTAAGCATAGAACCAATTTTTGGTAGTAGTTCATTAGAAAGTGTTACTTTACATCTTTAACTGCTAACTTTACGTGAGCAGTATAACTCAGACTTTTAATAGGTCAAAAATATGAAATAAACATTACCTTTGAGGCCATGAAAGAATGTAATTTAGTACTATTTCTAGTTCAGATTGGCTAATTGTTGGGTATTGGGATACATCGTCAGTCAACCTTGCTTCACCTATAAACACGAGGAAAAGATGTTATTCTAAGCAAACTGTGTGTAAACAATGCATAAATATGATATGAACGACAATAAACTATTGAAAATAGCAGGTGATTCGTAAAATTTTGAAACAATGTAACTTACAATTTACTAAAAGCTGTGAAAAATCTGAACAAACATCACACATTCTTATAGTTTTATATCAAGTATAAGCGAAATATTATTGCAATATCATCGCATTTGCTTTTCCAAGAGAATTATTGATCATTATTGATAATTTTCGTACAGAAAACGAACACTGCCCAAAAATGTCAATCACAAAATCCGTTCCACCATTGTTGACGATTGTTGTCAAAACTGCGTGTGGTAATGGTAAGTGGTTATTTCATTTGAACTCATAAATTTCTTGTCAAAGTAATTAGATAATTTAATTTAAAAAACTGATTTTAATAGTTTTGTTTCATGAGACAAGGGATTAGTTAAATTTTATGATTGCTTTTAATATTATGCTTATTTAGCAAGATATTTTGGATAATTTAATTTTCAAACATTTGCAGACACTAAACGTTGATCAATATATCGTTCAGAAATCAAAGAGCAGCTGATTTCCAAACAAAATAATTTCTCAACGTAAATGTAAATGTCACATAATTTGACAGTTTCGGGCTAGGATGGGTTGAGTCTGCGAAGTTGAATTAATTTTAAAAATCAAAAATGGTCCAGTTACTTTACATTGTCGCTAGTTTACATGTGCTATTATGTCCATTTACAAAAGTTGAAGAAAGTTTTAACATTCAAGCAACTCACGATATTTTATATCATCGTCATAACCTCACACAGGTGCGTAAAAGAAAATCTAATTTTGGACTCCTGTGTTGGATGTTACTTTATGAATGATACTCGTTATTCTATTTTGCTTCAGTACGATCACAATGAGTTTCCGGGAGTGGTGCCGCGTACTTTCATTGGACCTCTAGTAGTAGCAGTATTTTCGGCTCCAGTGGGAGCTTTGTTACATATCACAGGAATAAACAAGTTTTGGATGCAATATGTAGGTAAGTTAAGGCCAACCCGAAAAAAAAATTCTACATTACTGTTAATTTACTATATTGAAAATTTTTATTTTATTTTATAAATTAATCGTCCTCTCTTTATTTCCAGTTCGTTTGTCTCTAGCATTGAGTGTGATAGTAACATGGAGTCGCCTGAGGAATTCGTTACAGAAGCAGTTTGGCAACACATTTACTTGGTGGTACACAATAGTGACTGTCACTCAGTACCACTTTATGTTTTATATGAGCAGACCGCTACCTAATATAATGGTACTTCCACTTGGTAGGTAAAAAACAAAGGCAAAGTTTACCCATCAACTTATTTAAAGAATAAAAACATTTAATTTAAATTAAAAAAAACATGAAGCTCTAAACAGAAAGCTAAATTAAATGGACTTTACACCTACTACCACTAAAATAATCACAACATTATTGTCATTCTAACTAAATTATTGATGAGTTCTGTTCATTTGCCAAAAATCATGTGTGCCAGAATAATAAATCAATCACTTAAATCTGAAATGAGTTTCAACTTAAATATAATAACATTATTTTCTTATTCTCAACCCCAACATAAAATTCATATTTTTTAATTTTTCAGTACTTTTAGCATTTGAAGGATGGTTCTCAGGAAAACACAAACAATTTATAATATCAGCTGGTGCTTCTATTGTTATATTCCGATCTGAACTAGCCATGCTCTTTGGGCTATTTGTACTTATGGATTTGTACTTTAAGAAAATTGATATTCAAAAGTAAGTCATTAAAGTAGAAAATGTTATATTTTATTTATGTTCAAATGTTAATGAAAACACTTAAAACTAAACAATTTATTTATTTGCAGGTTTATCAAAATAGTTGTGCCAGCTGGAATTGGGCTAGTTGTCCTTACTGTGGCCATAGATTCCATATTTTGGGGCCGTTTATTGTGGCCTGAAGCTGAAGTGTTCTGGTACAACACTATTCTAAATAAGAGTTCCAATTGGGGTGTATCCTTTTAAACTGTACCATTACAAAACATTTTTTACAGTAAAATGTCAGAAATAAATAAATAAATAAAATGTCAGTATATTAAGTACATGTAGTAGTACAACAAGCACAAGTTGCATAATTGTATGTAGTTACTGTGCAAAGTTTTGTTTTACTATTTATTTATATTAACAAAATGATAGGTATACAAATTCCATTTTTTCTTCACTAAGTATGTATTTTTTTTCTTAACTGCACATTATAGACATCGCCATTCCTATGGTATTTCTACTCCGCTCTGCCGCGCGGACTCGGCCCCAGTCTTGTGCTGATTCCAGTAGGGGTTTACCTGGACCGGCGGCTGGTACCTCTAGTGGCGCCAGCCGTTACGTACATCCTTCTCTACTCCATCTTACCGCACAAGGAGCTAAGATTCATAATATACGTGTTCCCTCTCCTCAACGCAGCGTCGGCAGCTGCATGCTCATATATGTAAGTAAACTTAAAATAAATTTAATTACATAGAAAATATAGTACTTACCTGCATTGGATTGGACCTCATAACTATAGCTGGCTCTCTTGAGGCTCATAATGCTCAAGAAGTATATTAGGTGTCGAAAATACTTTCTTATTTTCTTTACAGATTCATAAGACGAACCAAAGCGCCGAAATTCGAGTTAATGTTCTGGGTGATCATTATTATCATATTAGGAAATATTGTTATGTCATTGGCCTTTGTTCTGGTTGCAATGAATAACTATCCTGGTGGAGTCGCTATCACAAGGTAAATGTCTGGTATGAAATTAAAGAGTTAGTTAAATGTCACCTTTAACTTGGCTTTTAAATAATAATACTTTATGTTTTAGGTTCCACAAACTTTTAAAGAATGAACCATTCGTCCATGTACATATCAGCAATCTTGCAGCTCAAACTGGTGTTACTAGGTTTACGCAAATTAACGACCAATGGGTGTATAGTAAAAACGAATCACTAGAAACAGAGCAACTTCAGGAGTATACACATTTACTTCTTGAAGCTAAAAGCAAATATTCTCCAAATTTAAAAGCCTTTACTCACACACATATGATTTTAGATAGCATCGATACATTCTCCCAAGTAGCAATGAATTATAAATTAATGCCCCCTGTCCGTATTAAAACTAGACCAGCACTTTTTATACTTGAAAGAAAAGATTTTCGGGAGTATCCTTTTGCCAAAACGATTGATAGCACTATTTTAAATGAAAATAGTGAGTCAAATCAAGTTTCTACAGAAGAAACAGTTGTCAATGTTGTAAATTACGATACATCAGATGAAGTTGTCGATAAAGAGTCACAAACGGTGACTTATGTCGATGAAGAAGAAGAAATACTAGAGGAAGATGTACAATTAAAGAGCGAGTCGAAAGATGATCAAGAAACTGTAAACGAAGAGAGCTCAAACGTAGACGTAATACCAGATTCTTCTCCCGATCAAGAGAAAGTGCTTCCTGAAGTTAATGAAGAGCCACTACTTGAGGCAAAAAAAGCGTTTGATGAACTAAAACTGTTAAAACAAGAACGAAAACGAAAAGCGATAGCAAAAATTAAGTCTGAAACGCGTAAAGAGGTCGTTGCATCAGCAAAGGAAAAGTTAAAGGAAATAATGAAACGCCATAAACACATAGCGGAAGAACTTTCCGAAGGTATTGTGACCGAAAAGGTCGAAGAGACTGGATCTGATGGAAGAGGTGATATACCAGAGCCTGAATTTGTATTAGAACCTGAAACACCAGAACATATAGTTAATGAAACAGAACCACCATCACCCTTGCCATCACTGGAAGATCTTATAAAAAGCGACGATGATAAAAATCATACAAACGAGAATATTGATGCTATAGTGGAAGAAGTTATCACTAGACTGATAGATAGAAAAATATACGATGATAAAACGAAACCTGAAGATATTAAAGCTGAAGACAGACAAATGATTCAAAGAATTGTGGAAGAAGTTGTTTCAGAGAGAATGAATTATTCTAAAGGTGAAAGCAAGTGAATAATGTAAGAGTATATTTATATGCTGCGATTTGACATGAAATTGATCTCCATCATACATAATTGTTTGCTAGTTGGATTTGCTGTTTTTGGTAATCCACATTAAAAATAAGAATTACGTGCCAAAACACTGTTGAGAATGTGCCTTCGTTTTTACTTTGTTAATATCGTTATGGAGTACCTACATATTATAAGCATTTCATTGTTTTGTTTTATGGCTTGTGTATTTGCTGCATTTTTTTACAAATATTTGTACGTATGTATATGTTTAAATTATTTTATTTATTGCGAAATATTGTTTTTAGTCAATAATTTGAAAGTGTACATAAGATTGTTCCGTTTTAACTTGTAATTAAATCATTATGATTTACTAATTAAGTATGCCTTTCTAATTGTTGTTAGCATAATACATTTAAATAACTATCTCATAAATAATGCAAAAAAAGTCAATTTGCAGAGAGGAACGATCAGCGTCGCAAGTAACGAAGGGAACGCACATAATTTTCTTGCAAGAAAAAAAATATTAGTCTTCTCCAAGTGTTCGGGCGTAATCTATCTATCTATTATTATTATTATTATATAGTATATAAGTAAAAATAAATTGATGTTCGTTAGTCTGATTAGAACTCGAGAACGGCTGGGCCGATTGAGCTGATTTTGGATTTAAAATGTTTGTCGTAGTCCAGGGTAGGTCTAAACGGTGAGCAAATACGCGCGCGATATTGTTTTTCTGTGACAGACAAAATTCCACGCAGGCGAAGCCGCGGGCGGAAAGCTAGTACAAAATAGTGTTCCGTATAACTGCTAAAAAAGGGCTGAACTCCTATTAGAACAATATTTTGTTTGTCTAACGCGAAACCATTTGGTGGGGTTAAAATTACTACAGAAAAACAACAAATTCAGCAAAATGATCTCGATTTTATTTTATCAAATAAATACAATAATCACCCATCCTTAACGTTCAGGCATATAATAAAAATAATATTACACATGCTAAAAATCTTGACAACACAAAACCTAACTCACAAAGCCACTTAAAAGATAAAGAAGTACAAATTGCTTTAATTTATAAGTACTGAAATGAGTTTTGATATACTACGACTGTAGTTCCTTCTGAAAGAAAAACTAATGTACCTTTTGTTACAACTTATGCACTTATTAAAATTATTTATCTATACTTATTTATTCATCATTTTATTCAATACAATCTATGAAGACTCACTTAGTATCACAGTATTAAAATTAGTACTAATGGATATGTTTATGTATAGTAACTCAAATCCTTTTATATTTTGCTATTATTTTATTCATAGCCTGTCATTGCCAAGCTTTCAGCAGTAGGGCAATAAAATATTTTTAGTTTTACATCTATAAAGAAATAGGTATTTATTTTTAGGGAACAGTATCTAGTAATACTTCAGTATACAAAGAAAAGTACCGTGATTATTAGAAGAAATAAATGGCATATAATGTACCCGTATAATAAAATAAAAAACATTTAATCAATACCATGTTCGACATACCGCGTAATCTATATTTTTACCCATATACACCCACAACACAGGGCGTTAACTATTATAATTACCGTAAAACACAGTGTTGATGTCAATATGTACCATGAGCGACGAACGTATATGCCATAAGCACCAAAAATCAATAAATCAAGCCTCTAGTGCCATTTTGACGACGTAAATTCTCATGAAAAAGATGGGAAGACATTTTTTTTACTATTTTGGAACATGGCACAAACTACAATGCCTGCATTTATGACAACGATATTCAGATACAATTATTATACTATAAAACTATTTTAGCAACAAACAGGAACTATGAATCTAAACATTTAAGAGTTATTTCATGTTCCCACAGTTTCACAACACTTTCAGGTTCTATACACCCTTTTAATAATAACATTGAAAATCATAATTGTCGTAAGTATTGTTTCCTGCCTAAATTTTTTCAATTTCTCTATTTGTTTTATAACTGAACCTAACATGAATAACTGCATATCTATGTTAGTAACACACAACGGCATTGAAATATGAATCAAAAGGTTTCGAAAGATAGCAAGTTTCGCATCGCCTAAATGTGTTCTGTCACGCAAAATGTAACGCGTTGAGTTTTATACTCGGGACAGTCCCACTAGGAGGTTTAAATAGGCAGTGGCAATACCATTTTGTTATTTTTTAACATAATTGCACTGATTTGGCTAAAATGGCGATTTATTTAATTATTTTGATCCTTAAAATCGTGGTTTACAGTTCAAAATTGAACTCGCTAACCTGGCTTTAATGACGATACCGTTATTGTATTATTTCGAACCATTAGTCATGTCTTATGGTTCAAAATCAGTTGGCAGTGGTGTGGTGTCTAAGGTAATGATTGTGGCTGTTCCTGCAGTATCTTCCAATCAAAGCGTCCCGAGCTGGAGTTGATGCATGGCGGCACTGGCGGCGCCACCAGACGCCAGGGGGCTCCGCGGATCGCTGCCAACGCACAGTACGGAACCCGCAGCAGATGCTTGCCGATCTGGTAGCTCGGCTCGTTCGATTCTCCTCCCGTAGCGATGCGCTCCTTGCGCTGCATAGCGAACGCTGCCATGTCTAGGGTCGACGCGTGGCCCACGAATATCACGTTCCCGCCTGAGGATAAGTCAATAGACAATGGTCAATATCTTAATTGTTATTATTACAGATGACCACATCAAGCTAAACACTGCGGCGTTTTATAGTGTTGAATTTTTGGAATATTAACCATACTGCTGAACGTTAAATCGAATTCATCTCTAACCAATGAACTGTTGTTTTCTTACTGTAATTGCACTGAAACCGTGTGCACGGGAGCTCGAAATAACTACACAATTTTATTTTATAAATAAAATAGCTGAACAAACCTTCAGCAGCTGTGTCGTTGACAGCTAAATGCATCACTTTCTCGTTCCTTCCGTAAAACTCTTCGAGGGTCTCCGTAGTATCCACATCCATATTTATGTACGGTTTGTAACTGAAAGCATATTATCATTGATTAGTCACAAATATTTAAGAGACACGACATCAAAATAGAACGTTATTTCAAAGTACATAAAAGTAAAATGAAACTCACTCCACATCGACGTTATATCCCGCCTTGAGAAGCTCTTGCGGCGTCATGAATGGCGCCAGCCCCTTGGCCATATGCCACAGCTTGAACTCAAACAGACCTGGCTCCACCCTTATCTTCACAGATGGATCAGCTTGCAAACCTGCAACCAAATAATTAGTATAGTAGTGAGAGAGAGAGAGAGAGAAATGCTACTTCTACCGCATCGACCATCGGCGTGATCATAATTTTTTGTCATGAGATGCTTCTAAAAAAGCGGTAAGAATTAATATTATGTCATCAAAAGGAATCATCCTGGAAGCGCCCGACGCGCGTTATCGGCTTGTCCTTAGCGTAAGGCCTCAGCCTCGAGTTTAGCGGGCAGCGGGGCTGGAGCGGCGGCGGCGCGGGAGCGGCAGGATCTTATGCGTAAAATCAAATAGACCGGTTCTCGAAAACAGCGGCGCGGCAACGGGCAGCGGCGCTTGAGCGGGCAACGAGCGGGCAGCGCACTCCTTCTTTTGCCCACAATAAATCGAGCGTTAGGAATAAATTAGAATCGAAATAAAATTGTCGCCGTTGTTCAAACATTTCGTTTGCGAATAAAAACAAATATCTCGACAACACAACCCCGAACACAACATTTCGCCGCTAAAGCGCCGCGCGAGCTGCCCGCTTGTTTCGAGAACGGGTCTGCGTTGCCCGCCCCGCTCCCGCGCCGCCGCCTCCCGCCCCGCTGCCCGCTAAACTCGAGGCTGAGGCCTAAGACTCCGCGCGCCCAATTGGGAGATATTAACACTACTTAGAGCTATAGTTACAAGCTTACTAACTTGGGAGTTTTTAAACACGAACCTTTCAAGAACTCATCGGCGGTCTCGACGCAGCGCAGCGCAGCGGAGGCGTACACGTGCTTGACTGAGATGCCAGCCAGGCGCATAGCTTCTCCCACCAGTTGCGCCTGGAAGCGGCCCACGCGAGTTAGCGGCGTGTCCTTCGCGTAAGACTCGGCCCCGCCCACCCTGTTAGAAGATTTATAAATACAGTCAGTAAAAGTAGCGATACATCTTTAAATTTTTACAAGCGATGCGCGATGTTACCACGACGAAAATAAAAGTATGATTTTGACACAAAATTTGAAAAGCTTTAAAAACTTACTATCATCATTGTATCAGAAACGCTGGCGTAAATAATGTTTTTCTTTGCCTTAAACTTAGTTTTTAAGTTACTTTTAGTCTACGGCGCAAATAAAAAAGTCAACAGTACCAAATATATTGCTGAACAATGACATGGAACAATATCCAAAAGATAAAGTCGCACATCATGTGTCAAAGTGGGATTTTAACACAATCAGCGACGTTTAAAAATGCGCGTCACGGTGAGTACGCGTATGTATTAGTATGTGTAATTTTAGGGGACACTTCGGACATCGCACAAAACTGACAAATGAAAGAAATATAAATTTAAACGGCAGAATGACGGTTTTCTACGCCACGATGGCAGAAATATGAAGGGGTCGGACTGGCCGACTCGTGATCCGGGGAACGGGGATTGGTCCCCGCCGCCGCTCGACTATTGTGGTGAGCTCACTCGTGACACATAGCATGTATATTGTAATTGGTGTAATAACAAATTACTAATTAATCTTTAAAAATAATTGCACTCACCTCTCGCCCAAGCTGAGCGGCATATTGAGGTCTTTCCTGACGTACTTCCCTTTGTCGTCGAAGCAGAACTGCACCCAGTGGCCGTACGTGAGGTCCACGCGCTCTCCGTGACGCATCGCGAACACCCAGCGTTTGCCGTCCTCTTCCGACTGTTTGCCGCCTTCCTACGGTACAAAAGATATATTCCAGCTTATTATTATTATAGTTCTTGCAACTCACGAAGGCGATTGAGCTTTACTTGTTGATAGTGTAATGTCTATCAAAGCTTTTGAAAACAGTGGCGGGCCACCACACATGTAAAGCTCACTCGCCTTCGTGAATTACAACAACTCCGCTTTTTATATTGAAAAGGAGGACAAGTCATTTATTTAAGAGCGTTGTCACATTTTTCATGCAGAAATCGAGAATTTGGCAGATTNTCGTGTTTGTTAGTAACTGTATTAAATGTATGAAAGCTGGAAATATAGGATTTTTGAATAGATTCAGTTCGTTCTTAAACATATTATTGATGCCGTTTGCTAGGTCTCATGAAGCACTTTTTCAGTAAGTAACGATTTGTTCGACATCTTGTATACCTACTATAAGAAATATTCGAGTGAGGTCACTTATCGATTATTTTCGTCATCCTTATTTGTATTAAATTTAATTAAAATACACTAAGGCTGAGATGCACCACCTAACTTTGACCCTAACTGACAATAACCGGTGCTTTATGTTAGACAGATTTTTGACATCCAAAATTTTGATGTCAATGTTAAAGTAAGACGGTGCAACACGGCCTAACAATATCGTAGACAGTACTTTTTATCTTTTCTATACTTATAATAAATCTGTAGAGAGGTCAATTCTGTACATGGAATATATTTTCAAAATAACTATCAGGGGGTGATTAGTGATCGATACTGATGCCAAAAATGCAATCAGTAAAATTTTTGTCTGTCTGTCTGTCTGTCTGTCTGTCTGTCTGTATGTTCCTTATAGAAACAAAAAGTACTCGACGGATTTTAACGAAACTTGGTACAATTATTCTTCATACTCCTGGGCAGGTTATAGGATACTTAGGAATTCCCACTGGAACGGGCATTAGCGGGAAAATCTTTTTGTATGAAAAATCTAAACCGCTTAAGTTAGACGCTTGCATAAACAAGCTTTTGATGCTGTAAAAAGAATAAAATAAAACATAAATTCTTTCAACCCCATCAACTTATTACTTTACTCAATTTAAAGATTAAAAACTTGTCGCGGGATTTACTAGTGTAAAAAATACATTAATTACGTAACTTGATTTTTCTAAAAGTCTGATCTGAGAAAAAATCAAATAGGTAAATTATACATTATTTCTTTATTATTATGTATGATGTACTGTCTTAGGTACGATACAACTACGGATTAAGATCGTTTAGTCGACGCAGCGTTGAAATTGTACAGATAAATGCAGTTTGCGCACTCACTACGCGACGTCAAGCAATAAAAACCTAAAATTCGAACGCCAACTTTTTGCTACAACGCTCTTAAGCCTATAATAACTAGCTGATTTTTAAAAGGAAGAAACGCATTTTTGATATCTTTACAAAATGTATGGAAGCTGGAGAGATTGAATTTTTGGATAGATCTAGTTTTGTTTCATAACATTTTTGATATCGTGTATAGTTTAGAAATAATCGAGTGAGATTAAGTAATCTCGGGGTTGGAAACCTTATATAACGTATCAAACGCATCAAGGAACTCATTATTAAGAAAAAGTAAATAAGAGAAACAGGAAAATGAAAAATATTCGATTCGTCGCACGAAAATTCCAATCTCGTTTATCTACATGTTGCGTACATAAGGAAATGTATTGTTACAGTTTTTCAAAACACATACATTGCTACATACTATCCTTACAATACCTTCGCTATATTTACATAGCAATGGATAAAGGATTTAAATAAACGTTATCTTTTTAAGATAAGCGAATAATACAATCTTGGACAAGTTCAAGTACAAGGTGAGATCGGACGACAAGTACCTACCTGTCAGCTAAAGAGATTATTATAAATCAGCATTTTATCGTGCAATGACATTTTATCCTCAAATCATAGAAATGCTCAAGGTTAATACCTATCGGACTAGCTGTGCCCGCAACATCTTACGCGTGAAAATAGTTTGAGTAATATTTCCCGTTTTATCAACATTTTTCTTTACTGCTTCGCCTCTATTGGCTGTAGGGAGACGTTATAAATTATAATGCCTTCCTGGATAAATGGGCAATCCATCACAAAAAGAATAATTTTTCGAATCGGACCAGTAGTAATTCGTAGTTCCTGAGATTAGCGATAGCGATTAAACTGCAACATTAGCTGAAATGACAGGGCATTTCTTTCATGTTTTACTGTGAGAGGCAATAATAACTCCAACAATCAATACTAATAATACAGCGTAAAAAGAACGTTATGTAACTACCTGTAAGGGTTAAATCTGTATAGACAGGAAACAATTGAATTGATGGGACTACTAACCTTGGCATTAGTCGCCATTTCAACTTCGCTTTTTTCAGGTGACGGTTGATCTTTCCAGTCAACTCCACTACCTGTAACACATTACGCATAATTTATTGTAATGAAACATTTAAATATTTTTTTCTTGTCCTGTTCGACTTAAGTCAGCTTGAATTATTGAGTTTCTAGACACAAATTGTACATCTAAAATATCTTGCCTGTTCTCTAATTTTATCATATTCAAGAATATTATTACAAAACTAAAAAAATGCTTTTTATCAACTTCTGATATTTCTATGTCATCGTGAAGCAGTACTATGACGCATGTTGATGTACTATGCAGAATGCTGTGTTTACCATTGAGTGATTATTTATTTATTACCAAAAAATCCAGCACTTTCGTGGTCTAGTGATTAAGGCCCTGTTTCAGCAAAGGCGGAGCAGAGCGGAGAAGCGTTTTGAATAACCAATCAGATAGCATTATTAATGGCGCATCAACACTCATGCCGCCGGGTTTGCCGCCGGCTTTCGGTCTGCCTTGCCAGTAAAAGATGCACGACCGCCGGGTTGGCCGCCGGCCGTGCCGCCCGGCATGTGTGGATGGGCCATCAGAAAACCAGGAAACCATCCCGCTCCACCTTTTTCATTATTAATTTCATTTAGATTTCACTATTCAGAAAACAAGGAAATCTGATTGAATATTCAAAACACTTCTCAGATCCACTCCGCCTTCGTGGAAACCGGACTTAAGACTTATGAGCTAATCAACCCGATTCTAGAAGGGGTACACACCTAGAAGGTATAAATAAACCACTCTGTGGTAGTTTCCAGTTTGGTTAGATTAGAGGCTTGAATCATCCTAATTGGCCGATAAGAAAACCACGGCGTAACGCACCCTCTGAAGCACGGAATCGGTTTATCGGACAATCATAATAGTAAACTAGGCTAGTCCATCTTAAAACTTATAGTACGCATTGTCGTATCTTGCCCAATTTTGTGCCTCTCGATCCTGAGTTCGATTTCCAGGTTTGCCAAAGCTACTCGACAAAGCTAGCTAAAAATAAGGACACTGTTGATTGTCTTATAGGAAATATGATCGCGTGCTTCGGAAAGAACGTTAAGTTGTCGGTCCAATTACACCATACGTGGTATGGGCTATCATCAGGGCTAGTACCACAGTTGTTACAACCTCTACGAAAAAAGAATAAGAGAAAGTCTATCATTGACTCACCGTGCGTGACGTTCAGGATGCCCTCACTCTTCTGATTTCTCGTGGCCGAGCATGGCGGCGTCTTCGTGCGGATATGACATCTCGCCGTCCATGTTGTTGATTAAAATTGAGCCTTGCCTTAGTAATAATAGGCCCTATAATGAAAGAACAAGAGAAAGTCTATAATTGACTCACCGTGCGTGACGTTCAGGATGCCCTCGGTCTTGGTGAGCTGGACAGTCTCCCAGTACTTGCCCCAGTCCTTGTAGAACTCTTCGGACTTCTCGTGGCCGAGCATGGCAGCGTCTTCGTGCGGATATGACATCTCGCCGTCCGTGTTCGAATCAGATTCGGATTTGCTATCTGTGCCTGTCGTAACCAATATTAATATAAGCCACGATACATTTAACATGATTACTTTTAATTACAAACGTCTGAAATGATTTGGTATAAAAATATTAGTGATGTGTACGTAGTTCGAACGTGCAATCTCTAGTTCGATTGAATAAAAAAATCATCACAATTTGGTAATAATTATCAAAATTAGGACACATCTTAACATTATTTAACAACAAACAAAAGTACATCTATGTTTAGGTAGAGAGAGATACAAGATAAATATTGAAGTTTGGACATATATTTATATTTAATTATATCACATATTAACGAAATTCATTTGAAATACACTGTTTCAATATAGTGCAATACACATATTCTACCAATCATTTTTCATATTGTAATTTTAAGGAAACTTTACAACGCTACGCCCAAAAAATCTATGATTCAATCTTACATTACATTGCGCAAAGTACAGTTTAATGTTTAAACTAAACTCACACACATTTTTATTGCTTTTTGTGATTGTTTGCCGTGTAAAATATTCGGCGATATCACGGGACCAATGCCCTCTTTAACTTATTCGCATACAACGTGTAAACGGACATATTACAAATAAAAAAAACATTTTCAGACATTGCTATATTATTAATTGTGCAGTCAAATGTGTACATAACAACAGCCGTCGGGCGGACAAAATAAAACTGAGTAAGTCTTTTCCCAACTGAATACAATATGATTGTAATTTTCGGTAAAATTCTCTCCCACCTCAACCTCAATTCAACCTAAAATATTCCTATTCCAGATTTAATAGGAACATTATGCAACTATTAACTATAAAATATAAAATAACTATGTTATATACTTTCTGGAGAACTTGTTAATTAACTTCGAATATACTGTTTTTCATGTCTTATGTAGGAAGACAAAATGACTAACTTTTAAACATTTGTGTATAGATCTTTGTAACTCGAGTTACGGAAATCAAACGCCTGTCAGACTGACAAACTATAACGAAACGATGAACCAGCAAGCTAAATTGACTGTTGCAATTTAATTTAACATTATATTGTAAACTGCTAACTAAGTAAGTAGGTATACTTAGTACCCGTAGTTATTTCTGATCGGAAATGCTTCTGCGCAACCCTTACAAATGCTTAACAACAGTCAATTGTTTCAACATCAAAGAATATAAATAATTATTTTAAATTGGGTGGCTCATTAGTATATTCTTTAAAGACCCGATATATGAATCAAAATTAATATTGGCTAATAACCGTTTGCAATTGAACTTGATTAATATACTGCAATACCAGCTATTCAAACAGAGACAGTTAAACCTATAGTTTCACGCAGAAGAGACACCCAACGCACTTCATTATTTAATATTGGACTATATGACTTACCAGAAGCACCGCGAATTCCAATTGAAACTCAAAATTTATAGCGTCCCTATAAAAAAAAACACAACAGTCGCCCCAACAACTTTTGAACAAAGATGGCGCACACTAAGCTTCCCTTATATTCGGGGGATGCTAACAGGATGTGGAAAAGAGACAGATATATAATAGCTTTTATACTGTGCGCGCGCGATCCCTTTATCCATCTCGCTTAGCTCGGTATCACCCTTCTGGATGCATTAAAGCTACAGAACTCATAAGCAAGTTGGAATAGAAACTTCGAACAATGCTATGATATTCTTTATTTTAGGAAATAGGTAGACGCTGTTACTCGTTTCCGTATAGCACTTACTTTTAAAATACCTAGAGAATTACCGGTTCATTTAAATGAGACAGTAAAAACACAAAAAAACGTGACAATAATTTTAGAATAAAGTTTTTTCATGTTGTAATTTTTAGCACTGAAAAAAATAGGTATACCTAATGATTCTTACACTTCAACACATACACATTCTAAAACATAGCTTTGTCTTCTATTTCTAAATAGAAACGAACGGTTTTCATTCGCCTCCGCTATCCCAAGCATGTTTTTGTGTAGATCATAAACAAAGGAATGTAAAAAAACGCAGGTAGGCCAGTTTTTTACCTTGGTTTCCTAGCGAGATCGCGCGGTGCAGCGTCCAGGCGTCCGACTCCGCCACGCGCTGCGTATACACTGCGGGGAGGCAGCCGGTGACGCCTGAAAATTAACAAAGATTAGCACGAATGATTTGCTACATAAACAATGCGAGCGATTGAGATTACGATATCGGATTATCAGACGGAACGGCCGGGACCCGAGAAACTGCGTGGCCTTAGCATGGAGCATGACTCGATAAAAACTAGAGTAATTAGGATACATACAGCATTAGTCATAAATAGCGGCTTTGGGAGACACGTGTATAAACTCATAGTGACTAATATCCAAGCAACATAAAATTTTAGTATTACATATTTTTACAACTTTGCCTTCAAAAGTCAGCACTACACTTGCAATAACTTGTAGAGTAAACATATTCAAAGTAAGTTAAGAATGATTGTAAGCAACAGCATCTGACACGATATTATTGTAGACCGGGTTTTACAATCAACGACAACAGACGATAAAGATATAAACATAATGATACAAACGAAGTGGTGGTAGGGCAAGCTATTTGGGGCGTGTTTAAGCGCCCTGGAAAGGGCCTAAGTCACGGTATATATTATTACTGTGCCTAAGAAAGAACAGAATAAAAATCTTTGACTTTAATTGTTGTCCTATTTTCCCTTGCCAAGACTTAAAATTCAAAGGCTTGAATCTAACTAGCCCGCTAAACTCGTGATGAAAATAAAGTTTTGATTGAAGCTTCAGGAGGACTGCTCAATTCAGGAGGTACTGAAGTAGCCGAAATGCTTACCCCGAAAAGGGTGATAATGGAATTGTAGATATTTCGCTCGATTTTGTGGGGGCACATCCGTGCCGTGCCCCGAGATAACATATTACATACGTACAGCAGGGATTGTGAATGGGTGTACTTATGAGGCTTCATTTGAAATACGCTATGCATTGCCGCCACTATTTAAAATTAAAAATGTAGCCAACTCGGCGATAGAATGAGAGATCAAAGGTTTCTTGAAGCGTCACATAATACATATTAACATAGTAAACACGGATTACTAATGTTTGGCCAAAAAACGTTTCCCAAATTATCACATCGCAAACAACGTTTCGCAAACTTTCATTTGGCAAATTTTCATTTGGCAAAACAACTTATTGCAAATGTTTAATTCGCAAATATCGTTTTTGGCATATTATTGTTTACCAAATTATTGTTTGGCAAAGTATGTTTTGCCAAATGTTTCATTTGGCAAAAATATTTCACGATAAACAATTTACAAAATAATTTGATTGATGCATAGAATTGAATACAAATAAGCTTGTAGTTATTATTTTGTTTCGTGGGTAGTTATTTTTTTTCTATACAAATTTTCATATTTAATTCTTTTTATCGAAATTTCCAAATGATTGATAAACAATAAAGGTGATTCTAGCGCTCAGCGGCCGCTGCCGCGGCACGCTTCGCTCGCCTTCGCGCGTTAATGGTCACTGTTCTAACCTAACATAACCTACTATTTTCTGCAATACCTACTTTCTACAACCATACTGTTTTCTGCAATCTCTTTGTTTTACATAAAATTCTTGTGAAAACCATGATGTGCCTATGCTTTGATTTGTGGGGTAACGGTGGGTAAGTATGTGAAGTGTCAATTTGACGAAACAAATTATTTGGAATATAATATTTGGCAAATTAAAACATTTGCTATATAAACATTTGCCAAGTAAAATTTGGCCAAATGATAATTTGACCAAATGAATTAGTTGCGAAAAGAGCAGTTGCTAAAAGTTCATTTGGGAAATGAAACTTTGGCGATAAGTTGTTTGCGAAGTGAAATTTGGCGAAAAGTAATTTGGCCAAACGGAAGGATACCAGTAAACACATTTAAAGTGAAATCGTTTATTTTGCCATTTTTAACGTAATTTGAGTCACAGTTTAGTTAAAACGGTAATCATAACGTAAGCGAAAGCTTCATGTCGCGAAGGTAAACAAACATTGCAATTTCAGAACGTGGAACGGTAACAACCGAACGCTATTAATAAACACAGTTACATCATATTCCGATATCATGCAAATCGTAGACCTACCGCGTTAAACGCTGAACTGAATAACTGAATAGTAACAATAACAACGACACACATAGTATTGACAGAGATGAGCTCTCAAAACATCCGGCACTAACCTCCGATTTTTAAGTTCAACAAACGCAAACAGTTAATAGCTCGAGTCATAGTTGCGAACTGGCAGCGAGTGATAAGATAAAGGCGCGAGTACACCGCGGCGTCACCTGTGAGCCACGACGTGCCGTGCACCCAGCCGTCGCTCGACGCCTCCAGCTCCTTATCGTCCACGTAGATGTAGTCGCCGAGCACCAGTTCAAGTTCATCGCTGGCCTGCGGAGCGTAGCCTTGGGTCACTTTGTGCACCTGCCAACAAACATATCGATCACTTACACGAAACAACGTGATAATATTTTTTTTGTAACTGATAATGAAACGGCAAGGTCGGTTATCTCTTCGCAGTGGTATGTGATGCGGCCTATTAGGCGATTATCACACTGCACCGCGCTCCGCCGCGGGACGCGTGATTTCATATAAAAAATCCCGCGCGCAGACGCGTTGTCAGTGTGTTGTGCCGCGCGTTTTTCTATACAAACTGAGGTACTTGCATACAATGATTAAATCTGTCGTCCCGCGTACCGCGGCGGAGCGCGGCTCAGTGTGATAATCGCCATAAGGGGGCTAGGACTGTACTGTCAACCTTAGAGTATAAATATTATGAATTTCTTTAACATTTATTCTCCCAGATTGACAGATAATGAATATTTAAAACATGTAGGTATGGCTATACGTCGCATGTTGTAGAATATTTGAATAATATCGTTAGTTAGCTAGGCGATGATCTCTCAAGTAGGACAAGTGGAATGGTGGAGTTCGCAAAATACGCCGCATAGGCGTAGGATACAAAATAATGTCGTCATCAATTATCGGGTGCTCAGCAAATTGAGCCAACCAATAAACAATAACAGGACACAGAGTTACGGTTCGCTAGGGTTTTCCGGAATATGAAATCTGATATACGCGCCACCAGCGCCCACAGCGCATTGTAGTCACCTCGTCGCAGCTGGGTTAGGGTTGTCGCAGCTGGGTTAGGGTTGTCGCTAGATACGCCTCCCAGGCGTAGGACGGCAGATTGTCGCGGGCTGTGCCTAGTAGTGCCTATGGTGCTTGGCGAAGCTCGGGTCCCGAGAGTATAGCCGCAGCTGCCAGCCGGCCGGGACAGCGGCTGCAGGTCTCCCAACAGCGCCCGCACCGCGTCGTAGTCACCGCATTGCAGCGAGGCGAGTGTCGTAGCTACATACGCCTCACAGACGTAGCACGGCAGATTGTCGTAGGCTGTGCAGTGGTACCTGGTGCTTGGCGAAGCGCGGGTCTCGGGAGTAGAGCCGCAACTGCCATCCGGCCGGGCCCAGTGGCTGTAGGTCGTCCACTAGCGCCCGCAGCGCGTCGTACGCCGCCTCATCGCAGCGGGGCGAGTGTCATCGCTACATACGCCTCGCAGGCGTAGGACGGCAGATTGTGGCGGACTGTGCTGAGCAGCGCGTCGTAGTCATCTCGTTGCAGCGGGGCGAATGACATCGCTACATAGGCCTTACAACCGTAGGACGGAAACCTGTCGCCGGGCTGTGCAGTGGTACCTGGTGCTTGGCGAAGCGCGGGTCCCGAGAGTAGAGCCGCAGCTGCCAGCCGGCCGGGCCCAGTGGCTGTAGGTCGTCCACTAGCGCCCGCAGCGCGTCGTAGTCACCTCATTGCAGCGAGGCGAGTGTCGTAGCTATATACGCCTCACAGGCGTAGGACGGAAGCTTGTGGCGGACTGTGCTGAGCAGCGCGTCGTAGTCATCTCGTTGCAGCGGGGCGAATGACATTGCTACATACGCCTTACAAGCGTAGGACGGAAACCTGTCGCCGGGCTGTGCAGTGGTACCTGGTGCTTGGCGAAGCGCGGGTCTCGGGAGTAGAGCCGCAACTGCCATCCGGCCGGGCCCAGTGGCTGTAGGTCGTCCACCAGCGCCCGCAGCGCGTCGTAGGCCGCCTCGTCGAAGCGGTAGGCCAGCGAGATATGCAGCGATTTCACGTGCGGCTCCAGGTTTATTGCTGCTTCAAATAAGTTATTTTAGACGTCTTTATTATTTTTTTTATATGTAATTGCCAGCCTCTCTGGGTAAGTTTTTAAGGAGTTAGACACACCGCAGACTACCGACTTTTAGTCGGCCGATATTTGGGTCGACTTCCAATTTGTATGAGGAAAATAATGTGCGCATTTCCATACTTTTTCATACTGACAGAGTAAATACAAATGAGTAGGTCATCTTCATAGAAACGCACCGGACTAACAAAATTCGGCGCAACACCCCGCTAATCCACGCTAAATTTTGTCAGTGTGTGCGTGCGCGCCGCATACGTATTGGCTCGCTCACATACAAACCGCGCTCGGTACGTTTCTATGAAGATGACCTACTCATTTGTATTTACTCTGATACTGATCAACAGCCCGACCAAACTATCGACCGACAAAAAGGTTGCAGTCTGGTGTCTCACGGTGACGGGAACATGAGGTCGCTCGCAATAATTTATAAGAAGTCAACATCATGAGACCAACAGTATCAAGTAAAATCGAAAATTATGTGGAGTTTCAAATTGATAAGTTATAAATTATGTAATTAACACATTGTCAACAAGTATTAAAGAACAAACAAAAAAATTAAGAAAGCAAACAAGGACATCACAAAATGCAAAATAGCAAATAAGTAATTACCTTAAAATACAGGTCATGGTCATGCGCATCAATCTTCTACCATCATTCAAGCCTACAACATGCTGATAACAAATAGAAAATTAAACGAAATGATAATACAGTTATTTACAAGTGTGTTAAACTAACTAGATACTACTCTTACATTTATATGTTTTCTCTTGTGGCATGGCACACCAAGGAAAGCATGTTCCCAATGCATCCAAACGTTCATAAGTATCCACCGATACACCCACTGTTTAAAATACAATATTATAAGTAAATAAATAAACTAATTATTATAGTAATACCATGCATATTTACCACTTCAGATTATTAAATAATTTACAAACTACTTTACATGTTTTAAAATTAAACACAGTTTTATTATGTGTTAAGTTAAGTTAAGAATTTTAGCTCTAACTGAATGGCTTGAGAGTGTGTCACTACATTTTGAATTGTATTGATGAAATTGCACCCAAAAAATTGTTTTCTATACAGGGTGGAAACGTTAAGTGATCTCACTCGATTATATCTAAACTAGATATTGAAAAACTCGTTACTGATCCTGAAAGTGCTTCATGAGCTCTTTCAAACGGTACCAATAATAGGTTACAGAATAAACTGGATCTATCTGAAAATTCAATGTTTTCAGCTTCCATACTAAATGTATGCCAGACACACAATATTAGAAGTGTATTTTTTTTCATTGAATAATAAACTCTTAAAATAAACTCGTAAATTGTATTCTTATTTAAAATTATTCATGGAAAACATTGGTTTTAGGCTTTACTTGCTATAATATTGTCAAGAGATGAGTGTCATGACTGTGGTACCTACTCAATGTGTGGAAGAAGGAAACATTGAATTTTTTGATAGATCCAGTTTATTCTGTAACCTAATATTGATACCATTGGATAGAGCTTGTGAAGCACTTTTAGAATCAGTAATCAGTTTTACGATATCATGTGTAGTTTTTAAAATAATGTGACTTTACCAAATGTATGGAAGCTGGAAACATTGAATTTTCGGATAGATCCAGTTTATTCTGTAACATATTATTAATACCGTTTGATAGAGCTCATGAAGCACTTTCAGGATCAGTAACTAGTTTTTTGATATCTTGTATAGTTTAGAAATAATCGAGTGAGATCACTTATCGTTTCCACCCTGTATGTACCAGTAAAAGGGTACAAAAGCAAAAAGTTTTAAATAATAATCCACAGTGGATGACAGTAGTTCCCTTTCCAACTTTCCTCTTTCCAGTGTGATAAATTGAACAAATTATATCCTACAAATGTTTTAACATGATTTTCATAACAAATGATAAATACATACATGCAGATGAAACCAGTTTCACATATTGAACTGCCATTTTTTTGAGATATTCAGCATGCTCATCGGGTACAAATAGGCCCATGAAATTGTGTGAAATGTAGGGCTCCAGCTTGAGGGGGCAGGAGGGTGGGTCTCCGACAGTCTCAACAACATGCTTCACTGCCTTAGCTAGTTGCAGGGACGTTTCATCGGGTGCCTACACAAAATTCTAAGTAATAGGAATCATTCTAAGTTGATTACTGCAAAAATGGGGTTTAGGTAGCTATAGATAACAAGTACAGACTTTATTACTCCAGATATAATGAGAAATACTTTTTGATTCTTTTTAGTAATTTTTTTTTTAATTTAAATCCTCAGATTTAAAAGTTTTAAAACAGAACAGAAGGCCATGATGGTAGAAACAAAATAATTATTTTAATAATTTTATTTAGTTATTTCACTAAACACTAACCTTAAAAAAGGACACTAATGTGATATGTGGTGGGTTATTGTGAGCTCCGTTCCATCCAGTGTGATTTTTCGATTTTTCCCAAAACTCTAGTAACTGTGCCAGCAATGGTCCCGTAGGGCTCGCATAGAGTATGTATTCCCGGGGCTCATCCACATCGATGTGTGTGTCATTTACATGAGTGAGGAGCCAGTCTGATGCTAATTGGACACTCCGATTGCCCGTTGCCGCTAGCGCTTTTAAGCTGAAACATAAATAAAGTGTTTGAATTAATTTTCTGTGTAGGAAAAATATTTGTCTATTTTTGATTTTGAATAGCTATAGATTCGATTTGTCCATAATCAAGTTTGTCACAAGAGTTTAATAATTTGAGATTATCACGACTATTAGACTAAAAAGGCTTTAAAATCAGCTAAAAGAATATGAAACAAGTTCAACACCGAAAATCATGAAGGTATACAATGTCAAATATCCAGAATGTAATACTTACGCCCGGTGCCGCGAAAACCCCATTTGAAGAAGAATTTGGAGTGGAGATGTATCCTGCTTCGAACTTTTACTCGAAGAAGATATCTTTCGTGGTGGTAAATTAGCCATTATCGAGAATTGGTTATAAACACTGCTCCAAATCCGCCTCATAAAATATTCTATTGAAAGAAATATTTCACAAGAAGGCGAATTTAAATATTTAATACCCTACTGTTAAAATTCACAACACCTACATACAAAAAATAAAAATTAAAAATGCTGAACTTGACCGACAAATTTGACAAACAAATTCAAACTTTGACTTTGACATTGACAAGCTTGACAAGTACCCTCCCCCCTCCCTCTTACTTCAACCCGCAATTACTAGGGCTGTTACAAATCTCTAGCTATACCGGGAACTTAACTAGTAGACTAGTCAGACCAAATCGAGGACTATCTTGTAGACAAGTGGCAAAACGTCAGTTGTAATATCGACAGATGGTCGAAATGCCGTTTTGTGGTATAGTTCCAAAATACTGGACTGTCCTGTCGATGACATTGACAGTGGGGCGCCACCGTCAATACCGGATCGCTGGTTCAGATTTTTGCCATGTTGGAAACCATATAGTTGAACGATGGTAGCGCCCCCCTGTCATTGAGTTTGGCGGGACAGTTCAGCGTGGGTCATCTATATGGAGTTATAGTTCCAAAATACTGGACTGTCCTGTCGATGACATTGACAGTGGGGCGCCACCGTCAATACCGGATCGCTGGTTCAGATTTTTGCCATGTTGGAAACCATATAGTTGAACGATGGTAGCGCCCCCCTGTCATTGAGTTTGGCGGGACAGTTCAGCGTGGGTCATCTATACAGCGCTTCATGAACGGTTTCGATTTTAGATTCAATCAAAAAGTGCCACTTGACTGGCTAGTGTAGTGACAGACCTCTACAGTGGCGCCTTATGTTGGCAGCAAAAAAGGTTGTCAATGCGAGCGTTTGGCCGAAAATGGAATGGTTAACGCTATTAAGAAAAATGGCGTTAATTTAGCAGTAACGGTAAGTATTTTTAGTTATCACTGCTAAAAAATGTATGGGAAAACTTCGATATTGAAGTTAGCAAACGTGTTTTCGCCGAAAACATGCTTAAGCAGTAGCCATTGTGATCGCCACTTTGCTTACAATTTCTAACAAATTCTATTTTCGGAAAAACGCTCCTGTTGTCATTTTTGACGTAATTATATGACAGTATGACAGAAGATCGTTCTTTCATCTTGTGATTGTTGTGGATTGAAACGTGCGTAAATCGTGGTGGATTTTATAAAGTATATTCTGAATATTGGCAAAAATAAATACAAAATGTATTTGCGATACTTTCTGAATGAAAATGGCGACAGACAATATACTTTGGCAGTAAGTTTTCGACAAATTTATTGTTTTACTAATTATAACCTATAAGCCAGGTAAATCATTTTTACTAACTTTTCTATTACATTATTTCAGACCATTGATCCTCAAGGGAAGCCGACATTATCAGCGCATCCAGGTAATTTCACATTCTGTAATCTATTGTTTTGAAAACAACATGTGGCCTCTGAAGAAAAGTATGATAAAGACTGATCATTACAGTAATACTTTATGTTATTCTTGTCTTTGTTTCAGCTCGTTTCTCCCCTGAAGACAAATATTCAAGACAGAGAATAACAATCAAGAAAAGGTTTGGGCTATTACTCACCCAGCAACCAGAGCCCATTCATTGATTTAAATAATGTATTTGTATAAGTTACTTTAAAGATGATACTGTTAAGATTAATGCTTACCAACACATATGCTGATGATATTATATCCAATACATAATAAAGGGTTGCTTTTAATACAAGTGTTGAGTAACAGTTGTGGTTAAGTTGAATTTAAGTGAATTGTGCACTTATACATTAGTTTAAACTTTTTCATTCTCATTAATCACCAATTCCTTTTTAAATCTTTCATGTAAGAATGAAATAAATTAGTACAATATGGTCCAATTTTGTGTTTTTATACTTTACCTGTTTGATATTATTTGCTCATACTCCTTTGTTTGCATTACTATCAACTTCATTTTAATAATAATAAATATTGGAGTTAAAAAAATATCTTTCACCATTTAACTGTTGTTTAAATGCAACAAATGTACCCCAGTCAATCAGCAACTCGGTATTCATGTCGGACTTATGCTGCTTTTAACACACTATGCGGAAATTAGCCGAGTCAAGTCAAAAAAAGTAAAAAAACAGAGGAGTGGGGATGAAATTCATTCATAATTCATCCCCACTCCACTGTTTTTTTTACTTGACTTGGCTAATTTCCGCGCAGTGTAAACGCAGCATAAAAATATTGTTGAAAGGAAAGTAGACCAACGTACCATCGGCAACAGTGTTAACTATCCATTGCCTGTCATGTCATCTCGTTCTATCGCAAAGAATCACCATTTGATGAGAGCGAGAGCAAAAACGGAAATGGATAGTTAACAGTGTGGCCGTGTGTACTTTCATCCGTAGATTATTTTGCAAAAAAAAAGTATCAAGTATTTTTTTGCAAAATACCTTGATTATAGGACGGAAGAGGTCTCAGTTCCTAGTGGACATCCTGTGGCTGAAATGGTGATGATGATGATGATGACCATGATTTCGGCAGAATCTTAAATCCCCTTGTGCTAGTTGTTCTAAAAAAGCAGTTTTGTCAACTTGACTTTGACATGTATTTCGTTTGACATTTCATCATTTCACGTTCGTATTTTTTCTTGCTGTTTTCTTTTGAGAATTTTCGACCATTGGACAAAAATGTGTGTTTACTATTAACATTAATACTTTGTATAGTAAATCGTTAGTAACACTATCTAATCCATCACAGATTATTTCATAAAATGGCCAGCAAAACAAGTGAACTCAAAGTGTATTGGAACAAAATAAACTATGCGTTTCCTATTTTAAATGATACCATATTTAGTGACTGTTCATGCTCTGAATACGATGAAATTCAACAGATGATAGTTGGCTTGGGGATCCAGGTAAAAATCCGGGACCTTACTTTGGTTCATATCGAGAAATACCTTCGGCAACATGTCGCACCGGCATTTTGGTCTAAATTCGTCAAAGTTGACGAAGAAATTAAAGGTTTTCAACTTTTCAAGTCTGCCGTTAACGATCTATACGAATCTGTCTGCAATTTCTCTGAAATGCTACGAAGACTTTCCATTCTGAATAACAGCTGTTGTGATAATAAGCCTATATTTGGCGAAAAGGACGTTATCATGGGTTTCAAGCAACTTATTCGGGCGACCTTGCTGTCGCAACTTCCATTGGACTATCATGTAATAATAAACCATTTTTATAAGATGTCATTCAATGTTTTTGATAATGAATACGAGAACTCTGATATGAGTGAGGATGTAATGTGCATGGGGTGTTGGAATGAATACTCAGAATGCAACTGTGCATATATTGTAAAAGTTTTCCATGATACAAACAGAAAACTAATGGATTTACAATTACTGGAAAGATTGACTGGCCAAGTACTTTCTAATTTTATCCAACTCCGAATTGAATCACACATACAAAAATTATGTGATGGTACCTTTGATGTATCACACATTGGATTTTTAGAAAATTGGCTTGATACCACAGTTATGTCCTGGCTCACAAGAATATATTGTGGCGGTTCATCAAAGCCCCCTCCAGATGATAAAAATATTCAAAATGCTATTTCCCAATTTAAAAAGAAGTTAAGCTACTACTTGTACCACTGCTACACTAAACTAAGAATTGAACAACTGTTCAACATAATAATAGAATATCCAGATTCTCAACCAGCAGTTGATGATATTAAATTATGCCTAGAGAAGACAGATTTGCGGTCCAAGTTATGCAAAAGATTGCAGTCAGCTCTAGAAACAAGATTACTGCACCCTGGAGTGAATACAACAGACATATTGACAGCTTATATCTCAACTATTAGAGCTTTGAGACATCTTGATCCTTCAGGTGTAATACTGGAAACTGTAACAAAGCCTGTCCGTAGTTATTTAAGAAACAGAGAGGATACAGTACGTAGTGTAGTCAGTAGTCTTACAGAAGATGGAGCAGGCAGTGAATTAGCCGAGGAATTAGCAAAATTTGCTGCAGAGGCTGATGGTGAAAATGACAAGGATGATGCTTGGGATGAATGGAACCCAGATCCAGTTGATGCTGATCCAAAAGTTAATTCTAATGATAGAAAAGCCAATGATATCATATCAATGCTTGTTAATGTCTATGGTAGTAAGGAACTATTTGTCAATGAATATAGAACCCTGTTAGCAGATAGGCTGTTAGCACAGAGTGTGATCAACACAGATAAAGAAATAAGATATTTAGAATTATTAAAAGTGAGATTTGGAGAATCACAACTACATTTCTGTGAAGTCATGTTGAAGGATATATCAGATTCTAAGAGAATAAATGCTTTGGTGCATCAGGACAAGAATTTTGAAGCATCAAGTAAAAACTTTACTTCAAATGCCATGATTTTATCAGCTCAATTTTGGCCCCCATTCAAAGATGAAAGTTTAGAATTGCCTGAAGAAATAAAAACCCACTTGGAAGCATATACAAAATCATATGAAGCTTTAAAAGGGAATAGAACACTGAGTTGGAAACCACATCTGGGTTATGTAGACATTGAAGTAGAAATAGGTACAAAAAAATTAGAATTAGTGGTTTCTCCATTTAATGCTACACTGATTTTGCATTTCCAAAATAAATCGGAATGGACTTTGGATGAGCTTCATCAAGTAATGAAGGTACCAGTAACTGTTCTCAGGAGAAAAATTACGTACTGGCAATCAATGGGTGTTATTGCTGAAAAAAGCCCTGACACATTTGTTTTGGTTGATGGTTCTGATGAAACCAAGTCCAATGTGGCCAATAACCAAGTGCAAGAAATGATCTGTGAAGATGATGAAACTGAAAGTGTAATGGCTTCTGCACATGATCAAAGGGAAGGAGAGTTACAAGTTTTCTGGTCATACATAGTGGGCATGCTCACAAATTTAGATTCATTGCCTTTAGATCGCATTCATCAAATGTTAAAAATGTTTGCATCTCAAGCTCCTGGCACTGAGTGCAGTTTACAAGAGCTCAGACAATTTTTGGACACAAAAGTGCGTACTCACCAGCTTGTATTGCAGGGTGGTATGTACAAATTACCAAAGACTTAAATCTCTGTTACAATTATTTTAAAATAATGTGTGAAAACCCTATCATGTAAGATTAATAAATGCTAATGTTTTTTAAAAGCTGTGTTCATTTTATTTGTATACTTTTTACAACAAAACATTTGTCACACAAAAAAGTCTCACTAGATGATTTATCTATTTATTCATAAACATCAGTAGATTTAAAACAAGAAATAAAACCAGTTACTATAAAGTTAAACAACTTTATTTTTTAATAGTTTAAATATAAAATTTGGTTACATTACATAATGTCTGTGGGTTAATATCCAGATTACTTATTATTACTGATATAAGCGACAAAATTAATAAAAACGTGAAGCTATTATTTTGATCAACAAATTATGCTAATAATTTAACTGAATAAATTAGTTATCAGTTACACCACCACATTATTAAAAATATATGAATAATTTAATACTTAGTGTTTTCAATACATAATCTTGTGTCAGTCTTAACATCTATAAAATACTGTTTAAAATTAAAGTGTAGAAACAAAATTACATAATAATAAATTATTATAACTAATAAGAGATACTGAGAAACAATACAGATTCATCAAAAACAATATTGCAGTTATGGAATGCTTTACTTATATGCAAGTCGACATTAGTGATTATATTTAAAAACATAACATAAATGCAAATTAAACATATTTTGTCGTAAAAATGGCTAAGACTACCGCGTCGCGAATAGAGCATTTTGATTTCAATGTGTATAGTATTTACAGAGGCGAATTTGTTTATGAAAATAACATATAAAAACGTTTTGGTAAATACCTTCAAAAAGCAAAGTAGCGCTGTTCTCTTACTCTACTTTATCAAAGTCGCGTCCATTAATACATTACACATATTTACGTACTACGCTCTATATTATAGTAATGGGCTTGAAAAATACCTTAACTGTGAATTTATATCTGATTCAAAAGTACCATTATGGAATGTGGTTACGAAAGCACCAATTTTTAAATATAATACAGTTACAAACAGTCGCAATTCAATACTACGTTACACAAACTTTGGTTCAAAGATGTGCGGAAAGCAATATGGAAATATTCGTAAATAATAGTTTTTTATTCCAACAATGAAAAAAATGAGAACATGTATATAGTAATAGGACTGATATTAAATACAATACTGTAAGCTTAATCAAAAAAGTATCTTAAAGCATGTCTAAGGAAAAACTGAAGTCAATGAAAACATTTTAGTGGCTTTTTAAAAGTTGAATTACATTAATTTTCATGACTTTCTACAAACCTTTGTAAAAATCATTCTCTATAATGATTTCAAATACTTAATATGAGATACCAATACTTTTTAGGCACAAATAATTTCGCATTGATATACCATTATGTTTTGAATCTTATGCTTGTTAAGCTTTAATCATACTTTATAACTATTTTAAATGTGGAATAATTAATTTTGGAACTGCTACTATGTGGGTACTTAACACACTGACACACAATAAAACACATACAAGTTACTTGAGCTATTAACAAATTAATACATAGTACACAATTATTTGAAAATACATTTTGAGAATTCTAATTGATTGCAAATTACGTTCAATTACGTATTTATTAGGAGTATTCATTTTTATGACCTGTAATTTTTGTGTGTTGGTGTAAAGTGTTTGCAAATTGGTGTCTTAGTCAAGTACCCTATACTAAACGCACAGCCCACGTGGGGTGTGTAGATGTGGTATGATATCCTCCTGTCATAAAGAATACGCCCATATGTAGGACTAAAACCAATTGTGTCGTCGATTTAATATAATAACATTTCTAAAGAACCTCTAACTGGCTGATGATTTTTGTATCGTAATATATTTAGAAACGAAATTTAATATCTGTCAGCTTTGGCCTTTATAAATATACAAAATTCTTGAATAAAATTAGCCACAACAGAGATACAGAAAAAGCTAGCGCATTGTAGCCAAAGAATACTAAATAGAATAGTAATCCAAACCTACACAACAATTAAAGCTCTACAACTAGTTTACATATGTACAGAAAACATTAATGATGTGTCAATGTTTAATAAAAAAAATGTAATTAACTTTTTCTAGTGCAGATGCAGTTTTCATAACTGTCTGGCAAAACTTTAAATGGATATTTTATGTGACGAAAAACTTTATTTCTCATATATTTTTTAAAACTTTGACACACTAGTAATGTGTTAAATGCCAGATTCTAGAGTTAAAAGCTTATTAAAATTATTAAGTACATAAAATTTCATTAAGTCCGTAGTGCTAATCTCTCATTGGACGAATAAAAATCATAGTGTGACAAGCACAGTAATCTCATCTTTGAACTCCATATCGTCTGGTTATTTTGATGAAATTTAGATTAATTGTATGTATTTCACCAGATCAATTTTTGATACTGATTTACATTCGTTTCTCCGCATCGTTTCGATTGGTTCCTAAAATTATAACAGTGCGTTCAGAAATAACAGAAAAAAAAGATGCAAGTATTGTGCTTATTGACTACATGACTGCCAAGTTAAACTCGGAAACAGTCGTCTATCGAAATATATCTTAAGCAAACTCGATCGTTTGGAAAATACATTCACTTCGTTTATCGTCGACGACCGACGCGCAAACGTTTGCGTCAAAAGGTGCTCACGGCGGAGACGCATATTCGCCAATTTTAGACAACGTTTCAACGCGTCAATCGTTTCGGGGCATCGTCATCGACGCCAGGCGTTAAACGATAACTCGGGTGGTTTCGATACTTCTGGGTTTCATTGCGTAAAAACGCAATCAGCGTATCGTTTAAGCCAGTGTTTTTCAACCTTTTTCATGACGCGACCCCCCTAGTATGAAAAAATATTTTGCGACCCCCCGACCGCTTGCTTTTTTTTTTCATGCATTTTATAACGTTACAAATATGTTGTAGGAATCGAATATTTAAATCCATACACCATTTATGCATTTGCATAATTAGATTTCGAATAAATCTTCCTTTATTTAAAAGATAAAAATGTTCCGATGATTATTTAAAAGATAAAAATGTTTGGGATGCGTAACTGCCTAGCTCGCATAAATATTTATAATTATGAATTTGGAAAACCTGTAAACCTTTGAAAAAGAGGCTGACAATAGTGTCTGAGTTTCTTGCGCTGCTTCTTCTCAGCACTGGCCCATTTATTGTCCTGAAGCAGTGGTAGGGTTAATACTGGGACGTGTAAAAGTGCTTTTTTAAAGCCTACTTACAGCAATAAAAGAATTTTTACTGAGTTTTATAATATTGCTGTTTTTTTACTGAGGTAGTTTTTACGACCTCTCGCGACCATAGAGGCCTGGCGACCCCCCTATAGAGGCTTGGCGACCCCCAGGTTGAAAAACACTGGTTTAAGCTGAGGCAAGCGAGGCCGTAATTAAAGTCGGCCATCGATCGGGGCGTATCGGCTGACATTCGGTCGATTCGGGTCGGGGGCGGGGCCGGCTCACCGGTTGCGGCGCGGCGCGGCGGGCGGCGCGGTGGCGGGCGCGGTGGCGGGCGCGGAGTGTTGCGCGAGCGGCCGCTTGAAGGGTCCGAGCGCGCCCAGGCGCTTAGCGGGCCGCGGGGACACGGTGTGCGCGTCAGTCGCCGCGGCTCCCCATGCGCTCGCGCCGTGGTCTAGCAGCGCAGCCGCCAGTCGACCGCTTCCTTGTTCTGATGAAATTTTTTTTTTTTTTTATGCATAACAAGGCAGGTATTTGACCACAATCGCACCTGATGTTAAGTGGGATGCAGTCTAGGATGGTACATATCTGCCCTGTAAGTGCTTATTCACTCTCTTCAAATTGTTTTTTTTGTAACGTAGATTGTTGTGGAGTTGAGCTGTTAGCAACAAACTAAATTGTCCAAAAGTTTTTGGACTTCATTTTGGACACAAAAGCCATATTTTTGGAAATCATCACGCGATACACCCAGGATGCATTGGTAACATACGCCGGACTCATTTGAGGGTAATTTGAACTGTAACTCCGAAAATCACATCAAAACTCTCAAGATGTGAATACCTGATGCGCTGGTATCTCAAGCCTGCCTTTGTTAACAAAAAGTTATACCCGAGATGAAGACTGGATTAAAACGAAATTTCCATACCAAATGACAAATTGAAATCAGAGTTCAACTAAGGTGTAACTTTTTTTAATAAGGGGTTTGAAGTTTAACAATGTATTCTACGTTAAAGTTATGATTAGGGAGCTTAGTTTGAGTTTACAGCAAACCTCCCCACTAGTGAGCGCGTTAAAAAAATATATGAAAATGTTTAGTTCTTGAAAGTTTCTGTTAGGGGCGCTGTACAGTCCGTCATCCATATAATGTCATTTTTTTACGCACTCATTAGTGAGAACGTTTGATATAAACTCACACTCAGCCCTCTGTAATCTACTGATACCTAAATTGCATAAATAACGTACAGACGACGGCACGTCAACGTAACCACTGTGGGTTCTTGTGCAGTTGTAATCAGTGGCGGCGTAGCATGGGCACCCGGGGCGATCACCCCCCTCCCCCTCGTCATAAGTCCAAAGGCTCCCCCTTGATTAATCATTGTTACCAATTGTATTTGAAGATGTATGCGTAAACGGTGTGTTTGCATAAATAAAATATTTGTATTTGTATCTGCGCGACTTGTGTCACCCCCTGCGGTCCCCCCCCTTACGCCGCTACTGGTTGTAATATATAAATAAATAAATATAAATATCTTTGGACAATCTCACACAGCGCCATCTAGCCCCAAAGTAAGCAATTAATATGCTTGTGTTATGGGTGCTAGATTAACGGATATACTACTTATATACTTTTTTTTTTAAATACATACATATTATACATAGTAACACCCAGACCCGTCACAGAAATTAAAATTCATCATTTCAATTTCTGCCCGGCCGGGAATCGAACCCGGGACCTCTCGGCATAGTAGTACGTTCTGAACCACTACACCAAACGGCCGACGAATAGGGGCGAGTTTGCAACAAAAATGGATAGCCTGCTGTGCTGTGTACCTGCGGCGTCTGTGGCGGGCGCGGGCTGGTCAGGCGGGACGGGCTCGCGCACGCGCTCCACGAACCGCTCGAAGGTGGCCGGCAGCGTGTGCTGCGCCACCAGCGCGTCCAGGCTTCGCGCGCGCTCGGCATACGCGTGCTGGTACAACGGCATGGTGGCTCGAACCGCGCGCCCGCCGCTGAAAGCCGCGCCGCGGACTAAGGCCGCTGCGCAACCCACGCGAATTATGCACTCTTCCCATAGAGGGCCGAAGACGTTCACCTGGAAACAATATTATCATGTTATTTTAAGTTAGGTTCATTTATTTACTGAAAATTCATACAGCGGTACAAAGTGCTAACGTACTCGGTATGGCCAATCACAGAATTCCTAGTAACTTTAAAATTATAAAATTAAATAGTAACTATAAAATTAGATGGCAAGATATAATGTAAACGCTAAATTATCTCACTCGATTATTTCTAAACTATACAAGATTATCGAAAATTTGGTTTCTGATCCTGAAAGTGCTTCATAAGCTTTAACAAACAGTATGTATAAATAATAGGTTACAGAATAAACCGGATCTATCTGAAAGGCCGCCGGGCAGCGGGTAAAGCGCGACGAGCGCGTACTATGTCGTAATACGTCGAGCCATCTGTCCAGATCCAGGCCACGATCCCATAGACCACTACGTTAGGTAGTGATGCAATGTCTCACAAATGTCCCTGGCCACACTTACATCGGGTTTCCTGGCGACGGTGCAGCGCAGCAGGCCGCCGGGCAGCGAGTAGATCGCGACGAGTACGTGCTATGTCTCGTGACATGTCGGTCATTTACCCCCAAGTGTCTTCACACCCAGGCCCCGCCCCTTACACTCGGGGGGCGTGGCCGGCCAGGTCCTCTCATCACTCACGTCGGGCTTCCTGGCGACAGTGCAGCGTAGCAGGCCGCCGGGCAGTGGATAGAGTGTGACGAACACGTGCTATGTTGCAATACGTCGGGCCATCTATCCAGGTTCCGGCCACGCCTCCACAGGCCACTCACGTCGGGTAGCGATGCAATATCTCACAAATGTCGGGTAGAGCGCAATGAGCATGTCGCTGTGTCACGTAACATGTCGGGCCATGTACCACCGAGTGTCCCCAAGCCCCTCCCCCACCCTCTAAACGCAGGGGGCGTGGCTAAAGCTTCTCTCTCACTTACGACGGGCTTCCTGGCGACGGTGCAGCGCAGCAGGCCGCCGGGCAGCGGGTAGAGCGCGACGAGGACGTACAGTATCTAGTGACCCTCGAATACTCGAAGCCCAGGCCTGGCCCCGCCCTCTAAACGCTGGGGGCGTGGCTAAAGCTTCTCTCTCACTCACGTCGGGTTTCCTGGCGACGGTGCAGCGCAGCAGGCCGTCGGGCAGCGGGTAGACCGCAAAGAGCACGTACAGTATCTAGTGACCCTCGAATACTCGAAGCCCAGGCCCAGCCCCGCCCTCTAAACGTTGGGGGCGTGGCTAAAGCTTCTCTCTCACTTACGTCGGGTTTCCTGGCGACAGTGCAGCGCAGCAGGCCGCCGGGCAGCGGGTAGAGCGCGACGAGCGAGTTTAATGTCTCGTGATATGTTAAATACGTTCCCAGGCCCCGCCCCACGCCCTGGGGGCGTGGCCAGAGCCTCTCTCACTCACGTCGGGCTTCCTGGCGACGGTGCAGCGCAGCAGGCCGCCGGGCAGCGGGTAGAGCGCGACGAGCACGTGCTATGTCTCGTGACATGTCGGTCATTTACCCCTAAAAGACTTCAGACCCAGGCCCCGCCCCCTACATTCGGGAGGCGTGGCCAGGTCCTCTATCACTCACGTCGAGCTTCCTGGCGACGGTGCAGCGCAGCAGGTCGCCAGGCAGTGGATAGAGTGTGACGAACACGTGCTATGTTGCAATACGTCGGGCCATCTATCCAGGTCCCGGCCACGCCCCCACAGGCCACTCACGTCGGGTAGCGATGCAATATCTCACAAATGTTGGGTAGAGCGCAATGAGCACGTCGCTGTGTCTCGTAACATGTCGGGCCATGTATCACCGAGTGTCTTCAGGCTCCGCCCCCTACACGTTGAGGGCGTGGTTAGAGTGTCTCTCTCACTCACGTCGGGTTTTCTGGCGACGGTGCAGCGCAGCAGACCGCCGGGCAGCGGGTAGAGCGCGACGAGCGAGTTTAATGTCTCGTGATATGTTAAATACGTTCCCAGGCCCCGCCCCACGCCCTGGGGGCGTGGCCAGAGCCTCTCTCACTCACGTCGGGCTTCCTGGCGACGGTGCAGCGCAGCAGGCCGCCGGGCAGCGGGTAGAGCGCGACGAGCACGTCGCAGAACTGCGTGGGCAGCGTGTCGCGCTTGTACGGCCGCCAGTGCTCGCTCCACACCACGTGCACCTCGTCGTTGCCAAGGTGACGAGTCTGGGGAAATTATTATTATTATAATAAGACAAATATCTTTATTATTCCGACTACAGTTGGTCGATGGATTAGTTCTGAAATGAAGATAAAGGACCGGATAGCATAATAAAGACAGGCCTCTCGGTTCTTCGAGGATCTAGTTAGGTCGTAGAAAACTTGGATGCGGGCAACGCAGGGTCGTTTGGAAATCCTGTGAGTATTTTTGATCATACTGTCAACGAAACACAGCACATGTATTAATACACGAAATTACGAATATTATCTTTTCATAAACGTACCGGAAAACGCAGTGTATCACGTCCACCCACAAGGTGGACCGACGACATCATAAAGGTAGCAGAAAGACGCTGGATGCAGACCGCTACCAACCGGGCGATGTGGAAATCATTAGGGGAACATTATATTCCACACTGTAAAACCCTAAATAAATAAGCAGAGCATTAGGCTCAAACTTGGAGGGCTAGTGTTCCCCAGTCGATGAAGCACATGATGTCGTGCTCTGCGTGCCCAAAAAAGTATCTTGTAGCGGAGTTTTGGCTGACACTATACACCACAAAATTTTTATGTAGAAACGTGTGAAAAATTTAAAGCAAAAGAAAAAGATATGTTTTTCCTAAAGTTCATTTTTTTAGTCCGTATTTTACGCGTCACAGCTGGGTCACTCCGCTGCTCGCTAGAATAGTCGTACGCGCTCGCACATTGCCCCGATCTGTCTGTCTCGCTCAGACCTCGACCACGCTTCCAGTGTTATTATTACATACTTAGCTAACTTAGACCATGTTGAGTTCTAATAATTATCTTATGTAAATAGTGCTAGCGACGCGTGTGTTCATAAATTACCAATTTTAGGATGAAACTTTGAGTACCTTTATTTAACTTTTTTTTTGCATAAATAGGATCAGTATCAATAACTCATTACCCAGATTTTTTTTGTCGGTGATAAATATTTAGTGGTGTATAGGTTTGTTGTCGACACGACAAGAAGAAGAGGCCAAGAGCTTCCCCGTTGTGGACAAAAAAAAAGTTCAGCAATGGACGTCCTGTGACTGAAACGATGATAAAGAAAAAAAAAAGTCAAAAGTCAAAATTTCTTTATTTGTTTAGACTAATAAATAGTTCTTACAAATCGTCATTTTGCTCTTAAGGAGCCTCTACATGTCTCATAATCTTTTTTCCCTACCAGCGCTTCGAAACCAACATTTGGCAAGTGCTGAGAAGAAGCGCCGCAACAAACTCAGTCACCACTGTCTGCCGGTGATGATCTTTTCATACACCCACTGACCTTGTTGAGCATAGCGTCGGGCGAGTCGGCCGGCATGCGCGTGCTGACGTGGAACAGCGCCTCCAGCGTGAGCGTGGCGATGTAGGGCGCGCTCACGCCGCCGCCGCCGCCTCCCCGCAACCCCCCCGTGAAGCCCACGTGACTCTCTAGCTCCACCTGACAAATGATGATAACAGAAAAATCTTTAACACTTTTTTCGGCTCTTCGACGAAGTACCGAATTTAGCCGAGGATTGCAGTCAGACACTTCGTGTTCCAACTGTGAGATGCTTGAAGCCCTTTGACTCGGGCGCAATACCGACGAAAATTGTCTTTGTTTACTAAGGCTGGGTTGCACCTTACTTTAACTTACATCTGTCAAACTCCATACAAAAATCACCGGTTATTGTTATAGTTACGGTCAAAGTTACGTGGTGCAACTCAGCCTTATAGTCTTTTTCACGTAAGATGATCCGTATGACACTTCAAGGTTATCCATATTACGCATACTACATATGCAGATTTTTTTTGAAAAAATATTTGTATTTTATTAGCAATAATAATAAAAAAAAATTAACTACTTGTCTTGAAATATATTGTAAAATCTGAGTCTATTGATTATATTTTAATTAAATACGATGAAAAATATTTTTTATTTAATGTACGCAATGTGTGAAACGGAATAGATTTAGTGCTGGGGTATTTCTTGTAATAATAAAATCGATTATTTCCGCGGTTCATTAATCGATTGCAGTGAATACTTAGTTATTAAAAACATCACAAAAATCAATTACATTTTACGAAATTTGACTTTAATAAACGCATTGAAAATAAATTAATAGTTTTTAATTTAAAGAAACAGTACCAGTACTTTTTAGGAATCGTTTTTTTGAACACGAACCATGAAATTTGAATATTATCAATAAAAAATTGTTACAATAATATTTGTAATTAAAAAAAAACATGTTTTTTGTTAAATAACACCTATACAAAATATTTCTCTAAAAGTAGGTTTTACTAACTCTTCGAAAAAAATCGATAGATAAATCGCTATGGTTTAGTTAAGTGACATCTCTAAATCTTTCAAACTCGAAACGTCATACGGATCATCTTAGGTGAAAAAGACTATAGTCTGGCAGTCAAATAAAGTTAATCCAGTAAATGTGGCATTTTAGGATACTTTTATGATTCCCAGCCACTCCTCACAGTCCGGGACTTGTGTAATAGAGCGACAAAGGTATAAATTGTTGGTACAAAATAGGCAACCTTTCTCATAATCTAATTTTCTTATTGTGTATAACGCCTGCAAGTTGTCGGCCAAAGCTACGTACCTCCCAGGCCAGAGCAGCCAGGAAAGCTTCGTAGGCCGGACTGCCACAGCGATTCGAGAGGATCTCGTTGCGCGTTTCTTGGCCTTTGGCGACGTATATCACCGCTACTTTATGCGTCTCGCGGCATCTGCAATAAAGTAATCACTGAATTAACTTAAACTCGTAACAGTAATAATTTTCGTATTGACGACTTCCGATTCGTGTCGAGTGAGCGTACGTCACTCACAACAAGTCACAAGTTTTCATAGTGTCGAAAGCTCTGAGCATAAATTAATTTAGCGAATGAATTGGAGAAGACTGAACTTCACATCGAAAGGGCCGCATGCGGTTCGCGGCTCGCTTGTTTAAATATTAATACAATCAAGTCGCTGAGCTTCTTAAAATATTATCTGCCTAAATTTATCACTTCACCTATCGGTCAACCCACCACCACCCAATCAAGCCACCTGAATCAATTAGCTGGATGCGGGCAGCGCAGGACCGTTCATTGTGGAAAGCCAAGGCTCCCTGTGTTAGCAGGCGCCGGCCCTGACCGAAAGCACGCGGTGCGCCCTCGCACAAATGCCCGTCTGGCTCTGACCAGCAGGGGATATGGTGCTGGCTCCAGCTCTGACAATCTGGGGATGTGATGCTGGCCCCGGTTCTGACTAGCTGTGGATATGGTGCCGACTCACCTATGTGCATCTAAGTTACGAGCGTCACGCAGCAATCGGTCGGAGCGGCGCAATAGCTGCGCGTGAGGCCGTCGCGCTGGCGCTAAGGCTCCCAGCTGTGTAAGCATGCTGGGAATATGGTGCTGGCTCCGGCTCCGACCAGTTGGGGATATGGTACTGGCTCCGGCTCTTGTTAGCTAGGGATATGGTGCTAACTCACATATGCGCATCCAAGTTACGCGCGTCGCGCAGCAATCGGTCGGAGCGACGCAACAGCTGTGCGTGATGGCGTCGCGCCGGCGCCAGGGCTCCCAGCTGCGTCCGCAGGCTGGGATAATGGTGCTGGCTCCGGCTCCGACCAGTTGGGGTATTTAGTGCTGGTTCTGATTTCGACCAGCTGCGGAAATGGTGCAGGCTCCGGCTCTGACTAGCTGTGGATATGGTGCTGACTCATCTATGCGCATCCAGGTTGCGTGCGTCGCGCAGCAATCGGTCGGAGCGGCGCAATAGTTGCGGCGCCAAGGCTCCCAGCTGTGTTAGCAGGCGCCGGCTCTGACCGAAAGCACGCGGTGCGCCCCCACCCCACTGCCCGTCTGGCTCTGACCAGCAGGGGATATGGTGCTGGCTCCAGCTCTGACAATCTAGGGATATGATGCTGGCCCCGGTTCTGACTAGCTGTGGATATGGGTGCTGACTCACCTATGCGCATCCAGGTTGCGCGCGTCACGCAGCAATCGGTCGGAGCGGCGCAATAGCTGCGCGTGAGGCCGTCGCGCCGGCGCCAGGGCCCCCAGCTGCGTTAGCAGGCGCCGGCCCTGGCCGAATGCGCGCGGTGCGCCCCCGCCCCACTGCCCGTCTGGCTCTGACCAGCAGGGGATTTGGTGCTAGTTCCGATTTCGACCAGCTGCGGAAATGGTGCAGGCTCCGGCTCTGACTAGCTTGGGATATGGTGCTAGCTCCAGCTCTGACAATCTGGGGATATGATGCTGGCTCCGGTTCTGACTAGCTGTGGATATGGTGCTGACTCACCTATGTGCGTCTAAGTTACGAGCGTCGCGCAGCAATCGGTCGGAGCGGCGTAACAGCTGCGCGTGAGGGCGTCGCGCCGGCGCCAGGGCCCCCAGCTGCGTTAGCAGGCGCCGGCCCTGCCCGAAAGCACGCGGCGCGCCTCCTCCCCACTGCCCGTCGGGTTCCGGCTCTGACCAACTGCGAAAATGCACTTTATCAGGAACGGGATAAAGTTTGAATTCCTGCTACATTGATATCGTAGTGCGTCATGCACGTAATGTATCTTCTGTGACCAGCTGGAGAAATCTACTTTATTACGCACGGACTAAGACTGGAATTCTTACAACGCTAATATCCTTCAGCGACAGGGTGGCATCATGCAGGTGTATATGTACGACAGGCATCAACGTTGGGGGTATTCAGGCCTATTCAATTCTTCATCCGGCCTATATTCGAATTTTCATTACAGCGACATGACATCGGTCGCATATTATGTCATATGTACTACGTTAATCTTATTTGTAATACCGCATTGCTATGCTAACATCAGTAGCGCATTTATTGCCGTTCATTAACGCAGAATGAAATCAAAGAGTACTACGGATATCAGTGGTATCTTGATATCCTCTGTGGTTGACGATTCCGGGTAAAGCTCGCTTCCACCTTCGGCCTGATCGTCACTTACCATCAGGTGAGATACAGGCCAAGAGCTTCCTCGTTGTGGATAAAAAAAAAGTACTCTTTGATTTCCTTTCCTGGTGGGCGCACACCTTTAATGTATGAAAAAGGTCAAAGTATCAATATGTCTAGCAAACATGAAAAATAATGTTACTTGTGCACAAAATGATAATAACGTCACTCACTTGTCCTTGTTAGCGAGATATTGCCGCTCGGCATTTCTGTGCGCCACCAGAGCGGCTACGAGCTCGTCTTCGGCTCCCGGGGGCAAGGGCGACGCGCCCGCGCTGTCCAGCCGCCTCTCGCCCACCACTTCGGGGGAGGTGTGGCCGATGTATGCGAGAACCTAATAAACAATACATGAGTATTGCATTTACAACGTTACTACGTAAATGCGCGGTACACGTGACTTTTGTATGATTGTTTGTACGTAACTTGTTACCATCTGGATGGTGGTCAATCGAAGTAGAATTTATTTGCCGTAACTACTCATATAGTCAGCATCAAATAGTTCGTGACACCCAAAGTGACCAAAAAGTTGATAACACAACCTTATTCCCAATTGCAACTATAGTCTGGTCTGTGAGCACGTAGAATTTTGTCTAATGACCCTAAGCTACCCATCCTTATCGCTCGCGCATAATTATATTGCTGTCGCGACTGTGCGACGGGCGCCAGCAGTGAGTGTGCGAGCTGTAGACGTGTTGCGAACTTTTGGCTACTTTGGGTGTCACGAACTATTTGATGCTGAATGTACCATAATAATAAAATAATGTACATAAATAATAATATGTAGGTGCCTGGGTTTACTACTCACGTGGTCTAACTGATGTTTATCAGGCGGTGAGTTTATGTAATCGGGTAACAAATCCGGAGGTAATGGAGGCGGTAGAGACGATAATGTTGTATCCCTTGGACTGTCCACACTGAAAAAAAAAACAATAATTTATAATCGGAACATGGGATCAAATATTTTCGGGCGTGTGACAATAAACAAATGAAGTTCTTTTTTGTACCTGTCTGGCAAAGGCAGCAATTCGATCGGTTCGGAGGCGGTGGATGAAGGGTCGTAATATAAAGCCGACGCGTCCCAACACGCTTTGCCGGCTATGTCGCGCAGCAACACTCGCACTTGACGGTCTGAGGTCGATAACCCTGTAATAATAAAAGACAGTTTTAGGGAAATGATTTTGTGGCAGTATACCATAGCCTTAGACCACAGAGGTATCTAGGTAATAAAATAATTCAGTAAAAACCGATTTGAAAACTAAATTAAAAGCTAAATAAAAATGCTTATAGTTTGTGTAGAATGTGCTCAGGATTCGGGACTTATCCCACCACATTTTCCTATCACTTCAACTCCTGTATAGCTAGAATCTACAACTAGGCTTCCTATGAAACCCAACCAGTGAAGGAATTAGCTGATGATGACGTCTTATGGCCACCTCGCCGCCCGGCGCCAACTGTCGCTGTAAGTGTGCTCACCATGCGCGTATCTAAAGCCTGGTCCGTGAGCACGTATAATTTTGTCCAATGACCCCAAGCTACCCATCCTTATCGCTCGCGCGTAATTATGTTGCTGTCGCGCTCACACACTCACTGCGGGCGCCCGTCGCACAGTCGCGACAGCAATATAACTACACGCGAGCGATAAGGATGGGTAGCTTGGGGTCATTGGACAAAATTCTACGTGCTCACGGACCAGGCTTTACCCCAGAATGGACTGGTGCGAATGGTCAGAATACGCCAATGGTGCTCACCCGGCGTGGTGGCGGCGGCGCCGGCGGGCAGGTCGAGCGCCGGCAGCTCCACGAAGGAGGCGAGGGTCGCGTCGCTGAGCCGCATGAGCAGCACGTGCGGCGCGCCCAGCACGGCCGGGCCCAGCTCGCGCCCGGCGCCTGCTGTCGCTGCAAGTGTCTCACCCGGCGTGGTGGCGGCGGCGCCGGCGGGCAGGTCGAGCGCCGGCAGCTCCACGAAGGAGGCGAGGGTCGCGTCGCTGAGCCGCATGAGCAGCACGTGCGGCGCGCCCAGCACGGCCGGGCCCAGCTCGCGCCCGGCGCCTGCTGTCGCTGCAAGTGTCTCACCCGGCGTGGTGGCGGCGGCGCCGGCGGGCAGGTCGAGCGCCGGCAGCTCCACGAAGGAGGCGAGGGTCGCGTCGCTGAGCCGCATGAGCAGCACGTGCGGCGCGCCCAGCACGGCCGGGCCCAGCTCGCGCCCGGCGCCTGCTGTCGCTGCAAGTGTCTCACCCGGCGTGGTGGCGGCGGCGCCGGCGGGCAGGTCGAGCGCCGGCAGCTCCACGAAGGAGGCGAGGGTCGCGTCGCTGAGCCGCATGAGCAGCACGTGCGGCGCGCCCAGCACGGCCGGGCCCAGCTCGCGCCCGGCGCCTGCTGTCGCTGCAAGTGTCTCACCCGGCGTGGTGGCGGCGGCGCCGGCGGGCAGGTCGAGCGCCGGCAGCTCCACGAAGGAGGCGAGGGTCGCGTCGCTGAGCCGCATGAGCAGCACGTGCGGCGCGCCCAGCACGGCCGGGCCCAGCTCGCGCCCGGCGCCTGCTGTCGCTGCAAGTGTCTCACCCGGCGTGGTGGCGGCGGCGCCGGCGGGCAGGTCGAGCGCCGGCAGCTCCACGAAGGAGGCGAGGGTCGCGTCGCTGAGCCGCATGAGCAGCACGTGCGGCGCGCCCAGCACGGCCGGGCCCAGCTCGCCACCCAGCGCCGGGCTGTCGTGCTGCTCGCACACGCTCGACGACAGCTGGCAGCCGCTCCACAGCGGCCAGTGGCCCAGGAACACCACTAGCTGCGTGCATATCTGCCGACCACAAGTTCGATGTGATGAAACAAGAAATAATCATGTTTTTGGTACTATCGGCGTCAAATAGTTCGTCACACTTCATCATTTCAGCCACAGGACGTTCACTGCTAAACATACGCCTCCCCCAATGACTTCCACCTCGCGCGGTTGGTTGGTAGCGGCCTGCATCCAGCGCCTTCTTATTACTTTTATCAGGTCGTCAGTCAACCTTGTGGGTGAACGTCCTACGCTGCGTTTTTTGGTAGTTAGTGACACTTAAAAGTAGTCAAAAAGTTCGCAACAAGTGTCATTCTTACAACTAAAATAAGGTTGTGTTGATAACTTTTTGGCCACTTTGGGTATTACAATATTTGACGCTGACTGTACCCGAACAAATACATGAACATAAAGACAACGATTCGCTGACTGATCGACCGACACATGCAGTTGAATAATATGCACAAATGTTTCTTAAATTACCTCAATGACTGGGAAAGAACTAAGAGGATAAATCAGGGTAGAAAAGTTTAATGAAACTTGGTTATGTTGAAGTGAGAAATGAGGTATGTGAGCTCCTACTTAAGCGAAATAAGAACTTACCGTTTGAGCCCAAAGTTTGACATCGATCGTAGATGCCGGTGCCGTCTTGGGTCCCAAATTGTCCAATTGTATATTTGGGTCAAAATCTTCATCTACAGGCAAAGACAGTCCTTCTATTTCAGATCCATTAGTTCCTTTCATTACAGCATATAGCACCTGTAAGAAGGATAAAAGTAGTTTAGGAAAATAAAACAATAAATTAAATAGATATTTCATCCCGGATATACAGAAGTTGGCTGCAATTTAGCAAACAGAACGGGATATCTTTTATCTGAATTAGAGCACTTTACGTACATTAATTTGTATCACATTTTCCTCATTTCGTTAGAAACAAATCACATTCTACTAGAAGGTACTAAAAAGAAAAGTTTTGAAATACTGCAAGTATGTGTGAAAATCTAGCAATAATACGGTAGTACTTCCTCAAGGCTATCTCATTTCAATAAAAATTGTGTCTAACCGTCCGTTATGCAATGATAGTGTTCAATTTCATTTTTCTAGGACACCGCCTCTCTTCATTAGCACTATGGCGCGAGCGGCGGCCACCGCATGCGATAGTTTGGTCATCAATTAGGGTTAGCATTTATAACGGCGATGCGCACTGAGACCGGCACAGTCAGCAGCTGCCTTCAGCTCATCCTTCTTCCTTTCATACAAACACATACATCAAACAAAATGCACAAAATCGTGAGTACAAACTTTTTATAAGTACTATTTATTTAAGGTTTAAAACCGAGTTGAAGTATTTTTTGTCAATAAAATATAATTTATTCAGCTGTGTCTAAGATATTTTCGAAAAGAAATGCTATATCGAAGATCCGCTTCATTTGACTTGTAACATATTTGTTTTATACTAAAGCACAGAATAATAATAAGTACTACGTACAGAAGTTTTACTTCGCGAAGGTATTTAAAAAAATGTATGCTCAATGTCATTAACAATATGGTGTAATTTAGCCTGTCTCAAGAGTCAAGCACTATTTTGTTGACAAACGTCAGTGATCGGCACTGCGCCGAAGCTATAGGGCTGACTTCGGTAAAATGATGTGACGTGAGGTGCCAAACTGCGGAAAATGGCGGAGGAAATACATGATTTAGCATGAATTATCATGAATAATATTAACTACTTATTTACCTCTCAGTGTCTTGAGGCAACTTAAAAAAGTACATTCTGTGTTTTTATTATTATTTAGGCAGTTAAATACTGCACAGTATTTAGTACACCATTTTCTTTATTTTCTTCCATCATACACAAGAATACGCGTGCGTGAGTCAATGTTCGCTCGTATGTGAGGCCTTGTGGAATAGTATCCTGTAGGTGGGCCATCGTGCGTGTTTTGTTTTCGATGTAAACTCGCGGAGATGAACAGGCCTGACTAAAGTCAAACTTGAACGCCAATTTTAAACAACAAGCGACTAGAAAGACTTTTGGGAAGCTAAAATATGTTTTATCTGTCAAGCTACAAGTGTAATATTTGTGTGAACCCAGGTGATCTGCGCCCTTGCCGTTGCGGTGGCTGTGGCCATGGCTGCCCCCCAGCAACACGACCAGTACCCTGTGCAAATCCTGAAGCAGGAGGCTGACGTCAACCCTGAGGGTTATCAATTCCAGTAAGTTATTTTTTCTGGACTGTTAATCGTTTAATCTTTTAAGAGTTTCATCTATGAATGCATTAGGAATACAAATATGATGATAGAATGAATGAATGAAAAGAACCTGTCACCACTGACTAACAAAACGAACAAGATGTATTCGATAATTTGATATGTCCATATGACACACAATGGCATTGCAATTCAACATGTCACTGGTAATTTACATTGCAAACTTGCGAAGTAACTATTTTAAGAAATCAGAAAGTCACACTTTATTTTGATATCTGCACTTTTTGAGGAAGTAACTTTTGTTTTATTTTATTTTATCGTGTCTACTTCCAGGTTTGAGACCAGCGACGGCACGTCCCGCCAGGAGCAAGGGACTCTCAAGCAGATCACAGAGGACCACAAGGCCATTCAAGTGCAGGGCTCGTACAAATACACGGCTCCAGACGGTCTAGTGTACACGGTCACGTACGTGGCTGACGAACACGGCTTCCAGCCACAGGAGCACGTTGACCAGCCTCAAGGCCAACAACAACAGTACCAGTAAGACCAATATTGGTCCAAAACACATCAAACATTTGGCAATCATTCAATCAAAATTCATACGTTTGATCGTCATAGATCGAATTTTACTGTCATCGATTGTGTAGGTTTTACTACGCATGCTCATTAAAATCATTGTTTTATGTTTGTTCATATTTTTGTACACTCAATTGTTGATTTTCTTATTTTTTATACAGAAATAAAATATTTTTTATTTAAATATTGTCCTATTTATTTTTTTACTATCTTTCCAATGTTTTAGAGAATTTCTAGTGTCTTTTCTCACAATTCCTTTTATAATCAGCTGTATTAAAGTAGTTTTAAAAATAACAAATATTAAAGTCAAAACAACTTTTTGACAACCAGCATCAGCTTCAAAGTGAATGCTTATAGAAATCATTAATATATCCTAATTCTTGGGAAACTGATTATAACAGCTATCGAACACAGTGGCGTATTGTAAAACAGTAAAAAGGAAACTAAAAAGTAGTTTGAAATTTACAAATATTCTATTGACAACTCACAGTGACCGGATTGACGATGCTCCACCTAGTGGGATAAATTCACAGGGTTTTCCCATTTCTATTACCTTATATACTTCGTTAATTACCTTAAATATAATCAGCAGCAGCGTCTGCCCGCCCTCTTGCTCTTGCATGAGGCGCGCCGGGCCGCAACGCACCGCGAACTCCGCCAAGCAAAGCAGTAGCGAGCCCGCCAAAGGCCGGGCGCCCTCGTGCGTGCTACTACCAGATAGCTGCGCCAGACACGCGCATATCCATCTTATTCATCATCATCATTTCAGCCATAGGACGTCCACTGCTGAACATAGGCCTCCCCCAATGATTTCCACAATGGTCGATTGGTGGCGGCCTGCATCCAGCGCCTTCCCGCTACCTTTTAGAGGTCGTCGGTTTACCTTGTGGGTGGACGTCTTACGCTGCGCTTTCCGGTACGTGGCCTCCATTCCTTGCTGCTCCATCGGCCGTCAGTTCTGCGTACTATATGCCCTACCCATTTCCACTTCAGCTTGCTAATCCGTTGGGCTATGTCTATCCACCTTATTACCTTAAATATAATCAGCAGCAGCGTCTGCCCGCCCTCCTGCTCTTGCATGAGGCGCGCCGGGCCGCAGCGCACCGCGAACTCCGCCAAGCAAAGCAGTAACGAGCCCGCCAGAGGCCGGGCGCCCTCGCGCGTACTACTGCCTGATAGCTGCGCTAGGCACGCGCATATCCACCTTATTATTTTACCTGGACAAAAAAAGATTCTGTTATGCCAGTCCTTAAAGGCGTATCAGACTGCACAGTTATAAAATAGGACCTATAACCACGACATAAGATGCCTTAATGTTTAGCTTGATGTGCATAAACCTGAATGCTTAAATATTTTTGTAACCTTTGGCCAATGAGCCGCTATCCAATGCCAGGTTACAAATGACAGATGACAATTCGGTAGTAAATGTGAGGTTAGCGCAGCATGCTCGTAACATTACGCGCTCTTGTTATTGGGATACTACTCGGTATTGAATCTACACTAATTACACTTGTCAGCAAATAAATAAGACAGACTGGAAAGGAGTACACAGTTTAGAGTAATGAAGAACAATAATATTTTCGGTGGCTTACCAGCTAAGTCAGGATATTGTTCCACTATTCGATCGGTGTAATCGGCTAGCACCAATATGCAGTCGCTGACGACTTTCGCAATATTTTTGTTTTTCATCTGAAACAAAGATGAGAAATAACGATAGAAAAAATTTTTTTTGGCGTAAAATTCACAGACAATAATATCACCTGGGCTAATAAAGGCTATGCTAAAAAGAGGCTTCACAAGAGTGCTCCTGATTGAATCCATAGACGCCTTACTTTAGGGGTGGTGAAACTGCTGTGTGCCATTTTAACAGTTCAAAATATTAAAATATCTTGTATCGTAGTGAACTTTGTGATCAGTGGCGTGTCCAAAATAGTGTCGCATGCTCAGGTTCCCTGCCTTACATCTAAGACTTACCATGAGCATCTGCAGCAGACACGTGACATACGCCGGCAGCCGCTCGCAGTACGTGCGCGCAGCCAACAGATGGCACACGTGGGCCGTGAGAGCGCATGCGCCCGCACATCGCGCCGCCGCCGCGCCCTCGCGACGGCACACGCGAACTACGATGTTTAGAACATGCTCCTGGTGACAAAACAATGGCTATAAAATGTTACTCCGACAAAGGCAAATGTCCTTTGTCTGAGTAGTGTAGTGACGAACTAAAATCATGTCGATATTCAGTAGTGTCGGAGTAACGTAATGTCGAAGTAACGTTTGTCGGAGTTTACTTAGGTAGCCCAAAACAATCGAGATGATAAAGTTTGCAGATATTACTTATCTGAAGTTCGTATCAGACCTGACTTAATATTAAAAATGTGACGTCTGGTGACGATGGATATAGATGTTTGTTTCTTTTTCACGCTTAAGCCATTGAACTGATTTAGATTGTTTGGCATAAAGATAATTTGAGACCCAAAGAGAAACATAGCATAGTTTTATCCCAGTTATTAGAAGGGTGCCACGCGTGCGATAACGACTGTTCGGAACAGACTGAAATTCACGCGGGAAAAGTAGCAGGAAAAATATAGTATGTATTTTAACCAGAAGCTTGTAACAAGAGATCAAACTTAAATATTCAAAAGTTTGTGATGAAACTATTATCTATCAAAGCAATACCTTCAGATCTGGACAGGACACGGTGTTGTATTGGTGTGGATATGGCTGGAGCATGGGCGCGCTCATCAGTCCGTCGGGCAGCGATAATAGCGAACCGAGAAACGTCACGGCCGCCGTGCGCGGACACTGCAAATAAATTATGCGTTCAGTTGATTATGTTAAATTAGCCAAACACAGGTTGTTTGGCATAGGTCATTGCGAGGACGCTCGAATGAGGAAACAGTTTAATTAATTAATAACAATCAGTGAACAACATTTGGCGTCATATCTAAAAAGGAAAATAAGTAGCATTCTGATACTAGGCCCAAATCTCAATTTAAACTCATGCACAGATTCAAGTCTACGATTGTTTCACAAATAGTGTAAATTACTGGTGTTTCACGAATAACCAAGAGATAAAAACAGAATCCGGATTTTTTATATGATCGCACAAACTGTCTTCCTACACAGCACTACATAACAACATACTATCGTGCATAATTTTAATTATCTTTCGTTCGTCGTTAAGGTATAGACGACAACACATCGAAGTTTTTTTTGCTAAATCGCCTCTGTCATATAAGTCACTAAGATGTTATAAAGCTAAAAATCGGCCCCGTCACAGTTACATACGATGCCATAAAGTTTAACTAGACGTGCCGTGGTCTATGTTTGTTTACTCACCGAAGCGCCCATGTCGGAAGAGTTGAGCACGACAGTGGAGGCGTGCACAAAGTCTAGTAGCAGCAGCGAGTACCCGTCGAGAGCCAGCGACAGGTAGCGAGGGGCTGCGTACTCTACCAACACGTCTACAACTGACCGATCCTCGCCCGTTAAACCTAGGGAATGGTCATCAATTAGTAGATAACATAATTGAAAATCTATAAAGCTTCAACCACACCAACGCGTGCAGATCGCCATCGCCGGCGCGATCACGGCGCGATCATAGGTCAATGACAGGTCGCGAGGACTGTCATGTGTCGCGCGACCTGTCATTGGCCATTGATCGCGCCGGTGGCGATCTACGCGTTGGTGTGGTTGAAGCTTAAATGAAGTCCTACAGTAAAAGTTGGTGTTTGAACTTTTACAATACAATTTGCCAGATGAGGATAGTTTACAATAAGCACTGAAATAAACAAAGATAAAATGAGACAGTATAACAAAATTGAATCGCTAAGCCATATTTATCAGACTTTCTTGCGCATATAATGATAATCTTATAAATTGATTTCAGGAGTATATCGGATCTCGTGAAGGATGCGGGAAGCAGGATGCGGGCAGCATTGGACCAGTCGTTGTGGAAATCTTTGGGGAAGGTCCAACAGTGGATATCCTTCGTTGAAACGACAAATCTGTCTGTTTTTTACTCATATACAGGGTGTCCCGTAATGTAACGTCAAGCCGGAACTGGGTATTGAGGCAAGTTGTGCTGGNCAATTTCGCTCCATAGTGTGACGTGACAACTGAGCCCCGATTACGGCAATTTTTAACGTCTTCGATCCAGACGCGCTTCATCGATTCTGCGATACGATTGATCAGCGTAATGATCAAAACAGCGTACGTCAGCTGTTTTGACCAATCGTATCGCAGAATCGATGAAGCGCGTCTGGATTGGAGACGTTAAAAATTACCGTAATCGGGGCTCTGATAGACCGTACAAATCTGAAGTCGCAATGACGTTTGACGTTTCAAAAACACCCTGCCGTGCCGTGGCCATTCCGCAGGCACTGACTGAGGTAAGTAAGCGTAAACATAGCTTAGTTTTAGGTCTACAACCGGCATAAGCAAGACTGACCACAACAATTTGGAAATTATAAACAACTTGAAAAAACCAAACTGCCTAAGGTGGGAATCGACCCACGACCTTTCGCTTGCCGGGCGACTGCTCTTCCATTAGAGCTACTTAGACTGGATGAGCCTGTCGAAATTTTCAACCATAACAATTACTTACAAAGCAGTGCAGTGCGCAGCGGAGATGACCCAGTTCTTGGAGACCAGGGAGCCTCCGCAGCTGAAGGCGGCGCCGTCGGGGTTGACCATGCGCAGCGACACGTGGTGCGGGTGCTGCCCCGGGTACGCCTCCCAGCCCGACACGATACGGGAACCTAAAGATAGCAAAAAGTCAAAAGATGGCGGAATAACTTGGCGGGAACTGAAACCTGGTGCGTGTGATGCCCCGGGTACGCCTCCCAGCCCGACAAGATGCGGGAACCTAGAGATAGCAAAAAGATGGCGAAATAACTCGGAGGGAAAGAAAACCTGGTGCGTGTGATGCCCCGGGTACGCCTCCCAGCCCGACACGATGCGGGAACCTAAAGATAAAGAACGGTAAAAAGATGGCGGAATTACTTGGCGGGAAAGAAAACCTGGTGCGTGTGATGCCCCGGGTATGCCTCCCAGTCTGACACGATGCGGAAACCTAAAGATAGCAAAATGATGGCGAAATTACTTGGTGGGAAGGTGAAACCTGGTGCGTGTGATGCCCGTTTCTTGTAGTGTTTGGTGTAGTGGTTCAGAACGGACTACTATGCCGAGAGGTCCCGGGTTCGATTCCCGGCCGGGCAGAAATTAAAATGATGAATTTTAATTTCTGTAACGGGTCTGGGTGTTTTCTATGTATAATATGTATACATTTACAAAAAAAAAGTATTTAAGTATGTTTATATCCGTTGTCTAGTACCCATAGTACAAGCTTTGCTTAGTTTGGGGCTAGCGGCGCAGTGTAAAATGTCCAAGGATATTTATATTTATATTTATGCCCGCATATAGATCGCTTCATCCAAGAAGACGCGCCCCACCATTCTTCCGCTAGTGTTTGAGTGTTATTGGTACACGCTAAATCATCCATGAGTGTACGCACACTACAATAGAGACGCTCGGATCAAACTCCTCGCACCCAGCGCTTCCCTCGACCAAACATTGGTGGGGCGCGTCCTCGTGGATGATACGATCTATATCCGTGCCGATACAGTAAAAAGATTGGGACTTCTTGGCGGGAAAGCGAAACCTAATGCGTGTGATGCCTCGGGTATGCCTCCTAGCTGGACTCGATGCGAGAGAGATATTGGGACACTTTTAGGCGGGAAAGAGAAGTCAAGTTGCCAGAAAAAAGTAAAGCAGTTTTTCTGGATTCGCCATACAGAATGTGTACGTAGCGCGCGCTAGAGAGTTACCCTGACGTCGCGCTATTATGTTGGTAGAATAGTTAGGTAGTTTTTGAATTGTGAAGAAAAAGCCAAAACGTGCATGTCCACGTTTATCTATTGAAATTTTGGGAGAATAAAGCCGTGAAAGAAGTAAATACACTAGGGACTCAAAAACCGCTGCAGCCCTAAGAAAACAAAGCAGAACCTTAAATTAGATTGTTTGTTTTGTTCTACATACATTTATAAGGACAGGTAAGGTAGTGTAAGATTAATAAGGGTAAGCTCAGTATGTGGGTAGTTTTCTTTCTAATTTTGCTCAAATAAACCTCGGTAGAAACGTTACGTTGCCTATAATTCTACGGTACAAATGTGATGACACTCACCAGAACTGCTGCGGACATTTTCAACATAGTCTACTTTAAAATCCGCCTCAGGCCTGGCTGGAACCTGAAAGATGGATTAAAAGCACATAAATAACAGAACGCACAGAAATATGGGCGACGCACGGCGAACTAAACTGCGTGTTTACACTGATTCGATCAATTTCGCGCGTAATGTAACTGCACCGTAAGTGACCACTAAAGTATTAAAAAATTATATTCAGTGAGGCCGTATACAGAAAGAAAGCTGGAAAGTTATAAGCGCTTACCGGCGCTTGACAGCGCTGGTAACCCGCGCAGGAAAATATATGAACGCGCGCCGATAAGCACTGAACGGCGCCGACAAGTTTCAACACGCGCTGGTCAGCGCTGGACGCTGCCCTAAAAATGCCATTCAACTTGCTTCCTTTGTGAACGAACGGACCAGCGCTGTCAAGCGCCGGTGAGCGCTTATAAGTTTCCAGCATTCTTTCTGTATACGGCCTTAGGTACCTGGCCAACGGCTAGAGCGATCACGAATGCCACCTTGTACAACATCTTGTCTGCTGTCACTGCCACTGTTTGAAGCCCGCTTATATCACCACCAGATACGCCAATCACGCGCACAAATCACTGTTAATTATTGATAATCTGTATAATACTCAATCATAATTATTATCGTCTATCTGTACATGTTTTGTTCGTATCATAAAACTGTGCAAATGTTTTTGTATGTCGACTAGAAAAAAATATAAGGATCGATTAGGAAGGTAGACTAAAAATACGTTTTTAAGGTGAAGATATTATGAAAACATTGTGTGCCCTAAATCAAAAAATACTGAGCATAGGGCCTAAGTTAACCCTAAGGGCCTTAAGGGTAGGTACCAAATTTTTTTCTTTTAATAACGTTGATTTTGTAAGTCGTTTGTCCCTCTGAATTTATGAAACTTTCATATCCAAGAGAAAGTTACCCGGTTATAACCCCAAAACGGAGAGATATGTTTGAATAACCAATCAGGTTTCGTTATTTCGACGTCACTTCCGTTCAGCTTTGTTTCGGAAATCTGATTGGTTATTCACACACTCCGTTTAAGTGGAAGCCAGCGGCTTTAATTCGATTATAGGTCTACAACCTAATCGAGCTAACTGCGCACTTCGCTGGAATGCGACTCCTTCGCACTCACTTAAAATTATTTACCTAGGTGGCGCCACAAGAAACGCAAAGTAAAACTAGGTAGGTACATTACAGGAGATGGAAGGGTACAATAAAAGACACGTTAATTCTCTATACATTTATATAACACTCAGTGCACAGTGCGACAGCCGACGCTGACGTATCACATCTATTCGCTTCACAAGCGACAGCAAACGCCTACGTCATAGATCACTTTCTTTTAGTTGTCAAAAACTATACCAACATAAGACCATAATTCACATTCACAGGACTATTCCCACCTCCCGTTCTGCAACTACTAAAAATCTTAGCCCGTACTTGTGTCCGTGTCTAGGTATTTATTTAAAAAGCGACAGCATTTACTATTTACGAGGAATCATCGACAGCGACTAATAAATTTAATCTATGACGTAGATTTTTGCTGTCCGGCCGGATCGCTGTTACAGTTTGTGGAATATTAACTCAATTTCTGCTCCATACAACTCATTTTACTTCAAATGCTGGAGGCATATTACAAAGATACACTCTCTAGGAAGCATGCGTTGTACCCGTGTACAGTCCAACGAATAAATAACTATAACTATACTAGCTAAACCAGCGGCCCGGCCTGTGAACTATAATAATTTATAACATACAACACTGGTAACACTCGAGTACTGGTTGTACAAACATCACCATACACGATATACATTTAATTTGAACCAACAACGACCAGAATACAAAAATATTGGTTAAAAGAATAAAACAATAACTACAGCGTTACGCTGGCTTGACAATTTGGAAGAACTGTAGATGAGATTCGAAGCCCACGCGTTACAATGTTAATATTTAAATATGCACATATAAAACAATTCTTTAATATAATAAACAAAAGTATAGCGTATACGTTAAATGCCAGCAGGTTAATAATCACAAAAATATTATTGTCTTATGAGACGCGAATAGAACCTATATTTATGAGGCTGACTGTACTTACAAAATAATAAATCTATACATAAATAAGTAGCTGTGGAGAATGAAAGAGGACTTGGTCCTTTCCAAAACACAGAATACGGTGACGGCATTTCGATTAGATATACCTACTTAATAATTAATCATATTAATTGTTTATCATACAAACAATCAGTTAATAGCCCGATGAGAAAACCCAGAACTACATAATAAGATAGCAATTTAATAAAGAACTATTAAATTTGCGATAAATCTGTGATACATGGTAACAGCATAAACCAAAATTTCAAGACACAACTTCTTATTAAAAACATTTTATTCTTCCTGAAATTCTGTACATGTAAAAAAACGTTGATATAATTTATCAAACACGGTACGATAAGAAACAAAATAGAAAGATAATCCGCATTAATGTGTGTGCAATTAAAAAATAAGATTAGCTAACAAAGAAAATATGGTAATACAGTTGTATATGCCCCAAGCTGACTAGTAGAAGCACTATAAGTTACGCATTATAACATTTCTGTTTTATTTTTAAGTGGTAAAGCTACTGAGGCGATATTGTTTGCAATGCCATAGTAGCCTATTGCATTTGGCGTGGTGCATAAAACGGGACTATTCCCACCTCTCGTTCCCACCGCTGCAACCCCTGTGTAGCCAGGATGTACAGCTTGACCGCCAAAAAACCCAACCAGTGAAGGTCAAGTTTGTATCGGGGAAAGTAAATCTGTCATTGCACCCGCAACGAACTTAATCAGAAGAACATAGGAGTTCGAAGTTAAGGTTCGACTTCACTCCAGTGCATAGCGAATGACAGGTGACAAAACAAAGGTTTACCTTTAAGAAAAGAACTCGCGGTGCATAATAACACTTGAACAATCAAACAATCTTGTCACAGAAATCCTTCTGTCCGAAAAACAGGAAAAAACCCACTGGGGCGATTGAATAACTTACGATCGGGGAACCCGACTTGTTTATAATAGGGATGTTGCGAATATTCGCATCCGCATCCGCATATGCGGAACATTCGCATTGATTTTGACATTCGCATCCGCATCCGCATCCGCATAAATCGACGAGGATCTGATGCGGATGCGGATTTGTAGCAGGTCGCGACAAGANCAAATTCATTTAAATCACACCAGTATTTAAAAAGATATCCCGCCTAATGTGAAGAAGTAAGGAAAAAGACATGTATCAACTGTTTGATACGTCGCGAGTTGCGGCCTATTTACCCCCTATAAAAGCACGTGTTTTCGGATTTTGGCTTTCACACGTTGATCCATACACATCTCCGCTTCTTTTGACACTTTACCTGGGATTCTACACCTTCAGAAGCAGCACAAATCGTTCCACTATTGCAAGAAGGGCTCAGCCACCGGGCTGTCGCACGTCAGCTCCACATAAGCCAGTCCTGGGTTTCGAAAGTTTTAAGACGCTTTCGGGAGACTGGTGGCTTTATCCCGAGACCAAGTTCTGAACAGCGCCGGTGCATATCGCAGAGGGATGACCGTTTTTTTCATGTCAAACTCTCTATAAAATCGTCATTTGACTGCTATCGACGTCCCGAAAGAGCTCAGAAATGTTCGTAGGATATCTGTTAGCAAGTGGACAGTTCGTCTAAGATATGAGCAATAGAATTTGACTCCAAAAAGGCCTGCCACAGGCTCGAAACTGACGGCAGGTCACCGATAATGAAGTCAATTATAATTTTCAAACGAAGTCAAGCTTGTTTTTAAAAAAGTTTTTTTTAGATAAAAAATTATGACTAAAAACAAAGTCATAATGTAGATCACTCCAAACCTGAAAAAAAATGCTTCGATAGTCAAGATCAAAGGTCTTTCCAAATTAATTAAATCCCTCATTTTACAATCACTGGGAAATTTCGGGAGACAAACTGTTTTGGTAGACAAAATCCCAATATTTCCCTGACTTTCCAGGTGACCCCTCTATTTCACTGACTTTCCCTGACTGCTATGAGCTTCCCTGACTTTTCCCTGACTTTCCCTGACTTTCCAGAATGTGGACACCCTGATTATGCAATAAATGATTTTGATTTGATTTGATTTTATTTAATAAAATGTTGATACCGCGATGCAGCTTCTGCGTTGAACGGCACAGCGCCATCTAGCGGCAACTAACTTTACAATGGATTATAATTTGATTCTCAACAGCTATTAGCTTACGCGTAACATTTTGTGTCCTAATTTGTACCACTAGAATAATATTTACTAAGTTCGCATTTGAGCTCTTTTTGTACGGTGTCGCTTTACGCCGCTGCTGCAGCGCGCGTGTGTGTAAAAATGATTTAAAACCTTTAGGATAATAGTAGTAAGTTAGTAATACATTGGATCATACGCATACATACTATGTTGTTATGATCGGGTAAAATTATTTCCTGAACTAAGCAGGCCATGAAAATAAATCGACAGTACCTACTTAAGTTTTTTTAAAAGTCTTTCAAATTCGACGTTTTGAGCAGGACGTCAGTCTGCGTTTGGGAGACCGCACACTGTTGGCAATTGGTTGTCATTTTTATTCCAACGCAGTTGTAATACAATTTTCAGTGTGCGGTCCTGCAAACGGACGACAAATGTCTGTCCGAAGAAATCAGACCTTTTAAAAGAGCTCTTAAAGCTAGTGTAAATCAAATCAAATCAAATCAAAAATCAAAATTATCTTTATTTGTTTAGACTAATTAAATTAGTACTTGCAAATCGTCAAATGATCTTTTTTTGCTCTACCAGCGCTTCGAGACAAACATTTGGCAAGTGCTGCGAAGAAGCGCCGCAACAAACTCAGTCACCACTGTCCGCAATGTATTCACTTACTTGTGTAGGGTATGTCGACCGGCGCCTTGACCAGCGAGATGTCATTGGGCTGCACCACGAACGCGGCCAGCTGGTCCACGAACGACGGGTAGTTGTACCACTCCGTCGTCTCCACCGCGAACTCCGGGTTGGCCACCTGAATGACGCCCGCGCGGATCAGGATCATCGCTCGTCTGAGGGTAGGTGAAGATTTTATTAATTTCCACGCGCAAGATACGAAGAAGTTTGCGAGCTGTGTTTAAATTGCTTTAACAATGCTTTTTTTCACTTATCTATAAGTATAGTCAGCGTCAAATAGTTAGTGATACCCAGTGGCCAAAAAAATTACAACACAATTTTAGTCAAATTGTAAAAAATACTTCGTCGTCGTCGTCTCAGCCAAATGACGTCCACTGCTGGACAAAGGCCTCCCCCAAGGTTTTCCACAATGAATACTTACTTTTTTCGAAATTTTTTGCTTTACAAACACTACAGAAAACTGTGTAAGCGCATAGCTTAAAGTATAAACTACAGTTCTAGCGCTTGCCTCGGTCATTGACATATTATGACGTGACAACCGATAGACCATACAAATCTGTGGTGGAATTGTGTAAAGCAATCGTAATCAATTAACAGTACATAACGTACGATAAAGTCAGTTAAACAAAGCGTTTGACAGAATAATCGTACGTTATGAACTGTCAAATGATAACTATTGGTTTACACAATTCCACCTCTGAAGTCTCACTGACGTTTGACGTTTCAAAAACACCCTGCCGTGCCGTGGCCATTCCGCAAGCACTGACTGAGGTAAGTAAGCGTAAACATAGCTTAGTTTTAGGTCTACAACCGTCATAAGCAAGACTGACCACAACAATTTGAAAATTATAAACAACTTGAAAAAACCGAACTGCCTAAGATGGGAATCGGACCCACGGCCTTTCGCTTGCCGGGCGACTGCTCTTCCATCTGAGCTACTTAGACTGGATGAGCCTGTCGAAATTTTCAACCACAACAATACTTACAAAGCAGTGCAGTGCGCAGCGGAGATGACCCAGTTGTGGGAGACCAGGGAGCCTCCGCAGCTGAAGGCGGCGCCGTCGGGGTTGACCATGCGCAGCGACACGTGGTGCGGGTGCTGCCCCGGGTACGCCTCCCAGCCCGACACGATGCGGGAGCCTAGAGATAAAACCGTTTAAAAATGGTGTCGGCAACATCGAATAAAAGTGTATTTTTTACTCAAGCAACTAAGACTTCTTCTTGTCTATATGTGCAACGAACGTGTAATAACGAAACGAACGTCTATTACTTGAAAGTCGTCAATAAAATTGTGAAATTATTAATTTTAGGATAAAGAAGTCCTGCTCTTTACATTGGTCCTTCGAACCGGATATGAACCAGCGACCTATAGATTCGGCTAAAGCGAATTAAGCGACTAAAGAAAGCGCCGACACGATGCAGGAGCCTACATGAAAAACGGTAAAGAGATTGGGACACTTCTTGGCGAGAAAGTGACCATTCATCCAGGTGCTTCCCGCGACCTTCATTAGATCGTCGGTCCACAGAGCGAGAGGCGAGTGTAAGCAAATGAAACTAAACAGTGCAATATCACTTCAAATAAATCCAAGAAGTCTGCGTGAGGTTCTCATCTATTATGAATTAAAAAAAATACTTTATCACTCATCTTTTCATACCTACTTGTAACCATTCTAATTTTGCTTGAAGTTGCTAATGTCGCCGAGTAGGTATTCTATGGTACAATATAAAGATTCGGGTGACACTCACCAGAACTGCTGCGGACGTTTTCGACATAGTCTACTTTTAAATCCGCCTCAGGCCTGGCTGGAACCTGAAAGATGGATTAAAAGCACATAAATAACAGAACGCACAGAAGTATGGGCGACGCACGGCGAACTGAACTGCGTGTTTACACTGATTCGATCAATTTCGCGCGTAACGCAACTGCGCCGTAACTCCGTAAGTGACCACTAAAGTATCAAAAAATTATATTCAGTGAGGCCGTATACAGAAAGAAAGCTGGAAACTTATAAGCGCTTACCGGCGCTTGACAGCGCTGGTAACCCGCGCAAGAAAATATATGAACGCGCGTCGATAAGCACTGAACGGCGCCGACAAGTTTCAACACGCGCTGGTCGGCGCTGGACGCTGCCCTAAAAATGCCATTCAACTTGCTTCCTTTGTGAACGAACGGACCAGCGCTGTCAAGCGCCGGTGAGCGCTTATAAGTTGCCAGCATTCTTTCTGTAGGTATACGGCCTTAGGTACCTGGCCAACGGCTAGAGCGATCACGAATGCCACCTTGTACAACATCTTGTCTGCTGTCACTGCCACTGTTTGAAGCCCGCTTATATCACCACCAGATACGCCAATCACGCGCACAAATCACTGTTAATTACTGATAATCTGTATAATACTCAATCATATTATCGTCTATCTGTACATGTTTTGTTCGTAGATATCATGAAACTGTGCAAATGTTATTGTATGTCGACTAGAAAAAAATATAAGGATCGATTGGGAAGGTAGACTACAAAGTTTTTAAAGTGAAGATATTATGAAAACATTGTGTGCCCTAAATCAAAAAATACTGAACATAGGGCCTAAGTTAACCTTAAGGGCCTTAAGGGTAGGTACCAATTTTTTTTCTTTTAATAACTTTGATTTTCTAAGTCGTTTGTTCCCTCCGAATTTATGAAACTTTCATATACAAGAGAAAGTTACCCGGTTATAACCCGAAAACGGAGAGATATGTTTGAATAACCAATCAGGTTTCGTTATTTCGACGTTACTTCCGTTCAGCTTCGTTTCGGAAATCTGATTGGTTATTCACACACTCCGTTTAAGTGGAAGCCAGCGGCTTTAATTCGATTATAGGTCTACAACCCAATCGAGCTAACTGCGCACTTCGCTGGAATGCGACTCCTTCGCACTCACTTAAACACTCACTTAAAATTATTTACCTAGGTGGCGCCACAAGAAACGAAAAGTAAAACTAGGTAGGTACATTACAGGAGATGGAAGGGTACAATAAAAGACACGTGAATTCTCTATACATTTATAAAACACTCAGTGCACAGTGCGACAGCCGACGCTGACGTATCACATCTATTCGCTTCACAAGCGACAGCAAACGCCTACGTCATATATCACTTTCATTTAGTTGTCAAAAACTATACCAACATAACATAAGACCATGATTCAGACACACAGGACTATTCCCACCTCCCGTTCTGCAACTACTAAAAATCTTAGCCCGTACTTGTGTCCGTGTCTAGGTATTTATTTAAAAAGCGACAGCATTTACTATTTACGAGGAATCATCGACAGCGACTAATAATTTAAATCTATGACGTAGATTTTTGCTGTCCGGCCGGATCGCTGTTACAGTTTGTGGAATATTAAACTTAATTCCTGCTCCATAAAACTCATTTTACTTCAAATACTGGAGACATATTACAAAGATACACTCTCTAGGAAGCATGCGTTCTACCCGTGTACAGTCCAACGAATAAATTACTATAACTATACTAGCTAAACCAGCGACCCGGCCTGTGAACTATAATAATTTATAACATACAACACTGGTAACACTCGAGTACTGGTTGTACAAACATCACCATACACGATATACATTTAATTTGAACCAACAACGACCAGAATACAAAAATATTGGTTAAAAGAATAAAACAATAACTACAGCGTTGCGCTGGCTTGACAATTTGGAAGAACTGTAGATGAGATTCGAAGCCCACGCGTTACAATGTTAATATTTAAATATGCACATATAAAACAATTCTTTAATATAATAAACAAAAGTATAGCGTATACGTTAAATGCCAGCAGGTTAATAATCACAAAAATATTATTGTCTTATGAGACGCGAATAGAACCTATATTTATGAGGCTGACTGTACTTACAAAATAATAAATCTATACATAAATAAGTAGTTGTGGAGAATGAAAGAGGACTTGGTCCTTTTCAAAAACACAGAATACGGTGACGGCATTTCGATTAGATATACCTACTTAATAATTAATCATATTAATTGTTTATCATACAAACAATCAGTTAATAGCCCGATGAGAAAACCCAGAACTACATAATAAGATAGCAATTTAATAAAGAACTATTAAATTTGCGATAAAACTTATCCGTTCATGTGATCACCATAAACCAAAATTTCAAGACAAACTTCTTATTAAAAACATTTTATTCTTCCTGAAATTCTGTACATGTAAAAAAACGTTGATATAATTTATCAAACATGTTGAGATAAGAAACAAAATAGAAAGATAATCCGCATTAATGTATTTGCAATTTAAAAATAAGATTCGCTAACAAAGAAAATATGGTAATACAGTTGTATACCTATGCCCCAAGCTGACTAGTAGAAGCACTATAAGTTACGCATTATAACATTTCTGTTTTATTTTAAAATGGTAAAGCTACTGAGGCGATATTGTTTGCAATGCCACACCACAATCGCCTATTGCATTTGGCGTGGTGCATAAAACGGGACTATTCCTACCTCTCGTACCCACCGCTGCAACCCCTGAGTAGCCAGGATCTACAGCTTGACCGCCAATAAAAAACCCAACCAGTGAAGGTCAAGTTTGTCCCGGGGAAAGTTAATCTGTCATTGGACCCGCAACGAAATTAATCAGAAGAACATAGGAGTTCGAAGTTAAGTTTCGACTTCACTCCAGTGCCTAGCGGATGACAGGTGACAAAACAAAGACATTTAACACTCAAACAATCTTGCCACAGAAATGCTTCTGTCCGAAAAACGGGTAAAACCCACTGGGGCGATTGAATATCTTACGATCGGGGAACCCGACTTGTTTATAAGCTCTTTTATTATAACATAAAATTAACCCTCCTAATATTTAATAGGTATTTGAAGATGCGAGCCATATTTAATGAACTACGGGCAGAACGTNTTAATAAATCATTTGAAAGCAATGCACGCTAAGGAGTGTGCTTTGTTTGAAAAAGCAAATAACGAAAAGCTACAGAAAATAAAAAAATATGCCGGTAAGTTATATTTTATGCAATATTTTTTTTGTTAAGTCGGGCGTTTATTATTGTCTGACATCGCTGATTTATCCTTATGATATTATAGTAGTTTTGGGTAATTATATAGGTAGCTAGTTAAAAACTTGTAATTTCTTTAATAAGGGCCGTTCCTACGAGTTGCGAAAAACTGAATTTTGAATCCAAAATCTTAGATTTATCATATGAACTAAAATTTAGCTAAAAGTGTAGTTTAAGACAGTTTTTCAAATTTAATTATTAATTTATTATAATAATTACTAAATGTAATTCATTCTCTACTTTATTATTAAATAAAAAATGATAAATACGGCTGTGTTTCTTTCTCTACTAAGCAAACACTTAAGTTTTTTGGACAGATCCGCATCCGCATCCGCATCCGCGGATGTGAGCCTCTTAAAATCCGCATCCGCATCCGCATCCGCGGATGTGGAAAAAAGTGGATCCGCAACATCCCTAGTTTATAAGCTCTTTTATTATAACATAAAATTAAATCGAATCAAATCAAACCTACTAATATTTAATAGGTATTTGAAGATGCGAGCCATATTTGATTAACTAAGGGCAGAACTTATAACTTTTAAAGTTATAATAACATTAAAAACAACAAACCAGCTTGCATGAAATGGGTCGCGACGTGATGTTTGTAAAAACTAAAAAAATAACGATATAATAAATACTTAAATTAAAAACTCAAACGATACGCATTGGGCGCCATATTGCGCCGTATATAAAGCGAGGTTTAGGCTAGCAATAAAACTTGCAGAAGTTGACTTCCGCAAGCTGTTTACCACTGTGTAAATAGCTGTGGTAAGCCAACTTCTGCAAATTTTATTACTAGTCTAAACCTCGCCTTAGGTCGGAGTGCATTTTGACATTGCGCTGCACGTCACTATCTACGCATTTACGCAATGACGCTCGCTGTAGCGCCACCCTAGTGCGACCGACATACACCTTACAAAATGTACCTACTAAAGAATATTTTGACGCTTTGTGCATCTATCAATCTAAATTGTAGAAAGTGTAAAAACTTATGGAGACACTGGGTTTGGAGGTGTATAAATAAATAGTATCGATGAATAAGTATCAATAATTCTAAAACCTTGTTCATTTGTGTATAATTCAAGTTCGTTAACACATCATGATTTAATACAGATAGTAATTGATACTTTATTATCGTTGTTATGTTTCTATCAATGTTTGGCAAATCGGAAGCCAAAATTTCTACAATGGAAGCCGTGGATAGGACAAATCAATACAAACATTAGAGGTAATTAATATAGCCTCTCGTATAAAGAATAAATATTCGAGGTCTTTTCGAATTCAGTTCCGAGATTCAATCAGATGAACAGTTTAGTTAGTGGAGATGAATAAATACTATGGTTTAGTAACAGCAAAATACACCTTATGCTGTGGGCACAAGTTACATATTTCCAGTCCTCAAACTTTATGTACAGTCAGCGTCAAATATTTCGTGACACCCAAAGTAACCAAATTTCGCAAAACGTCTTTGTTACAATGAGGGCTATCGTTTTTATACTTAACAGTTGGCACCCCTGGCGATTGACAGGACCTTATTCTACAGTGGCGCCATCTTGATGAGTGCAAATGCGATAGTCCTCCTACCACTTTAGCGCTCACCAGTTGGTGCCACTGTCTTTGCTACTAGCAAGTGACAGGACCTTACTCTACAGTGGCGCTAACTGGTGAGCGCTAAAACGATAGCCCTCATTGGAGTAAGGTTGTGTTGTCGACTTTTTGGCCACTTTGGATGTCACGAACTATTTGAGGCTGAATGTATGGTATTACCCAAATCGTTTAAGGTTCGGCCAAACCAACGCGATCACATGCGATCAGCCGGCGTGCAGCGATGGCGACCAGACTTAAATGCATTGATCGCCATCGCTGAACGCCGTCTGATCGCGTTGGTTTGGCCGAACCTTTAGTGTAAGTACACTCGACAGCACATTAAATGTTACAGTTTTACTGCAAAAGTAACTCTTATTCAGCAACGAATAAGATCTCAAGACGGTGTCAATTCTAATATGTTGTTGAGTGCACTTTCTTTTTATAACAAACTTATTTTAAGACTCACAATCTATTTTAGCACTATGGAAACAAATATAAAGAATTATAATATTAATAAGCAACACTTATGTAGGCGTCTTAATTAAATGCCCATTTATATAGAAATAACTACGTTTTTATATAATTTTAAACCATTTCTAAATAAATATGAATATATTTGATAAATAAAAAGCAAGAATGTCTATAAAATGCATAGTGTAAATTTAAATGCAGCTTCCTTTAAATAATATTTCACTTTGTTAATTTTTCAGTTTTCAGTTTATTTATAGAGACATAATGATAGTAGTCTTCATTTCGATATCAAGCAGTCAGTAAAGATATTTTATACAAACTGCAGGTCAATACAAGTTGAAGTTTATTGTAGGCCGATTTGTCAAGATATTTGATACTTTGTATACGCCTCGAGATGGCGCTATTATTTTTCCCAATTAATTTTGAACCTTACACGAAAAGCATAAAGTTCCAAATCGATATACGTAGGTAAGTATGTCCTTTTTTAAATGTCAATAATTGGATTTTGAACGTTATGTTGAAGTCTTTACAGATTCTTTTACAGTGAAATATTACTGTTTGTGCGGTAGACAAAGAAATAACCAAGAGTAGTAATATGGTTGTATTTGTGTACAATATAATAAATAATAATACTTTAATTAGTAATTCGGCTGTAAATAAGGAAACGTTTGGGGCTTTGTGCGTTGTTTTATTGTAAAGAGGTAAGTTTTGAGGAAATGTATTTATATTTTATCGAATTCAACGTTTTCATCGGAAATAGAAAAAGTATAGTAACATAAAATAGTTCGTTTTATACTTTTCTTTAAGAATAGGAAGTATTATGATTTGAAAATGTTGACTAAAAAATTACTCGCGTATAGGCCATTTCTGTCATACTATGCTACCTTTTTTAGGCTAGTAAAATCTCATCTTGAAAGTTACTATAGTAGTTAACATATTTGTTCTTTGTGAATTCATAGGTATTTTTTAATTCAATATAATTAATTAAACTGCAATCCCATAATAAGGTTTCGTGGCCACGTAAATAGACCTTATTCTGACCAACCAAAGTTAGTAAGGCTGGGTTACACCATCTTACTTTAACTTTGACAAACGTCAAAAATCTGTCAAACTTCATACAAAATATACCGGTTATCATTATAGTTACGGTCAAAGTTAGGTGGCGCAACTCAGCCTAATGCCCGTTTTCACCATCAATCCCTAATTTTTAAGTGACCCCTATGACAACAAAATTTCTGTAATGTGTTAAAAATTAGGGATTGATGGTGAAAACGGGCATAAAACAGTTAAACTTTAACTACGGTTCGTGATACTGGGACAATTGCTAGCGATACTCGTATATAAGGAGACGTTAAAATTTATTTATTACACAAGCGACGCTTTGGTGTGCTTTAAACCATATCTCTCACAGTCCAAGTTATTTTATTTTAGCCTTACACTAATTTGTCAATTTCGATAACTTTGTAATAAAAAGTTTGAAGAACTAACTACTTTTAAACGGAGTTGTGAAAAGAAATACATTTTTAATGCTACTTTGGAGTATTGTCAAAACATCTATATTGAATTTTTCTTTGCACCTTAAATATTTTCTGTTAATTTTATTTAAGCTAAAATATTTGACAAATATACTAAAAGGTTTCTTCGTTTATCCTTGCTTAATATTTGTGGTGTTATCTATTATCATACACNTCATACATACTACACAAACACCTTTAAAACTGACATTTGTTAATCAATATGGCGTCATCGTCTCACGATAGATATTGTAATGTCACAATATTATCTTAAAATATCTATCGTGATTGTACCATGAGTCTACTCCCTGTATCCTTAGTCTTAAAGTAAACATAAATCTCAAGCCAATTTGTGCTTTAACCACTTTCTAATAAGAAACAACGTGACTTGCCAATTCTCGTTTGACATATAATACAGGGATTAGACATTGATAGCCAAATTGTGTAACACATGTCAATTAATCACAATTAGTAACTTTATGTACAGTGCTACAAACTTACAAACATCTTGTATGTTCTATTTAACTTCAGCTTCAGTGACTATCGTAGCTCCACACCGATTTGCTTAACAACATCTAGTGCGCAACCAAATTTATATGTCCACCGAAATACAAAAGAAAAACAAAAACTGTCGAATAAGGGAGTGCACACATTATTGAACGGCACGGCAAGGGATTTTTAGGTGACGAATAGTAACGGTTGAAATTGCAATGTTTGTCATTTTATAAGCAAGTCGCGGCATGCTTAGGAAGTTAGGAATACCGAAGCGGCTACATTGCAATTTCAACCTTAGCGTTAAAATTATAAGGTACATTATTATTCGTCACCTAAAATCCCTTGACATGTCGCTTCGATAAGTGCGCAGTATCTAAGTTTGCAACACCGTGCTATACCTAAGTGGTTAACTAGATAAATAAACACAGCAACCTCATTACACTACCCTGCCCCGGAGACTAGAGTGCCAACTTACGAGCCATAAGGTCGCTTTTTATTATACCACAACCATACCTGTGCTTTGTTACGATGCTTTTGACATTTATGCCCGTTTTCACCATCGATCCCTAATTTTTAAGTGTCCCATTTGAGCCGTGTGGTGACGGCAGAGTAGAATACGTTTGTCACCAACCCCTACTCTTCCCACGGGTGTCGTAAGAGGCGACTTAGGGACTACACATCAAACAGAGAACGGGCAGCAGCGCTCTCTGAAAAACATCAATCTTTTAAACTGCGATCTCCAACCAAGCGTGGAGATTATGGCAAAACGCTCCACTATAGTAGAGGAGGCTCATAGTCCAGCAGTGGACTATAAATGGCTGTTGATGATGATGATTGAAAACAAAATTCAAATTATGTGTTACCATAGGGGGTCACTTAAAAATTAGGGATTGATGGTGAAAACGGGCATTAGACTCCCCGTAGACAGCATACCGTTATTGGCCAACCGTTTCGTCCCGCTGTTAAACAGTATTAACGCGTATGGAAGTGCACATATTGTATCGGTTCGGTATCGGCCGATTCCGTAAACAAATCAAAAGCCAATACTATCGGCCAATAAAGTGTGTAGTCCGTGGGGACTATTTTTAGCACACAGTGTTGTGGCATAAACGACAGCAACTGGTCCTCTACCATCGAGCCGATTTCTCCCGATCACCATGGACAAGCATCTGTCGATCTTATTACCAGTAACCAGAGTAAATACAAATGAGTAGGTCATCTTCACAGAAACGCACGGGCGCGGTTTGTATGTGAGCGCGCCAACACGTATGCGGCGCGCACGCACACACTGACAAAATTTAGCGGGGATTAGCGGGGAGTTGCGCCGAATTTTGTCAGTGTGTGCGTGCGCGCCGCATATGTATATTGGCGCGCTCACATACAAACCGCGCTCGGTGCGTTTCTATGAAGATGACCTACTCATTTGTATTTACTCTGTTATTACCTTTGTAATAAGGCTCAAAAATCAATCAAATGTCTTTTCAATATCGATTAGGCGAAATCGATGTCGAGAATAGGGGTGCCGGACTAACAATACAAACCACTAAGTCATATCAACTAATACAGCGAACGCCGTACCTTCCAAAGGTCTGTAAGCGATCAACTTTTTTTCGGTTATTTTGTTGGCTACACTGGCAACATCGCCTAATATCACGCTACTGTGTTGCCAATTAACTAAATAAAAAATCTTACCGAGTGCGTAATCGATCGTTTACAGACTTCTTAACGGTGTGACATCGGGCATGCCCTGGTAGAACCATTATGAAAAATATACAGGGTGTCCCAAAATCTACTACTACTACTACATCGATGATGATGAGTCTTAGACCCAGCTACTACCGTTGTGCTAATTTTGAAACACCCTGTATGTAATATTCGCCTATGTACATAATCTCGGATGTACGAATTACATTGTTTTTATATCAGTTTAATTACGTACAATTTTATAACGAACGGATGTACGGAGTTACCAAACAAAAGACTGAGAGTATACTCCGAAGTTTCGAATGTTGCCATCCCTCTCACACAAAGCTAGAGCGACGGAGACAGATAAGACTCGAAACAGCGTTTTGGAGTAGCCGCCCAGTAGCCTTATTCACGTAACAAAACTTCAACGACTACAAAACACTCAGCTGCGATCCTATCGAGTAGTCGTTCTATTGAAAATGACCCTAGTGAATACGGATTTAGAACTATTTTTCAATGGGACAACGTAACAAAACTTCAACGACAACAAAACACTGAGTTGCGATCCTATCGAGTAATCGTTCTATCGAAAATGACCCTTGTGAATACGGATCTAAAGCCTGGTCCGTGAGCACGTAGAATCCCGTCCAATGACCCCAAGCTACCCATCCTTATCGCTCGCGCGTAATTATATTGCTGTCGCGACTGTGCGACGCGCGCCCACAGTGAGTGTGCGAGCGCGACAGCAACATAATTACGTGCGAGCGACAAGGATGGGCAGCTTGGGGTCATTGGACAGGATTCTACGTGCTCACGGACCAGGCTTTAGAACTGTTTTTCAATGGGACGACTTCTGAACGTCAGCGAGATCTTGCTCAAAATACGTGAATTAGGCCACCGGAACCCAGCACTAAAAGATTCATATAACTACGTAGTAATTGAATAGAAAACCGGCGTCTGCGCATGCCCAAACCACACCTTACACCACCCTACGACTCACCGCACGTAAACGCCGAAGGTTCCGGCGTGGGTCCGGCGGGTTCCGGCGTGTGTCCGGCGGGTACCGGCGTGGGCCCGGCGGGTCCGGCGGCGCCGACTAGCGGCGGCGGCGGCGGCATCAGCTGCGCTTGTGCTTGGCGTCGCCGGCCGACGGCGCGTCGCGAGGAGCCAGCAACATCTTGATGGCGCCGGATGACATCAGGTAGAACCAGTATAATTGGGGCAGCAGGAGGATGCAGATGGAGATTTTGCAGCCGATCGGTAGGGATTTCACGGCCTGGAAACAGCAGATTCAGTGATATAGCTTCTGAAGACGTAGCGTGTGCAGGCCTCCTACTAGCTAGTTAAGGTCGCGGGACAAGCCTGGATGTGGGCAGCGCAGGACCGTTTATTACGAAAACCTTGGGGGAGGCCTTTGTCCAGCAGTGGACGTCAATTGGCTGAAACGACGAGTGATATAGCTTCTGTAATAGTGATACGAAGAGATATTATTATGTTGCCTTTAAAAAAGGGCCGCAGAGGACGCTTACGTCAACGGGACTATTCCCACCTCTCGTTCCCACCGCTGCAACTCCTGTGTAGCCAGAATCTACAGCTTGACCGCCATAAAAACCCAACCAGTGAAGGTCAAGTTTGTCCCGGGGGAAAGTTAAACTGTCATTGGGACCGCAACGAAATTCAACAGAAGAATACAGGAGTTCGAAGTTAAGGTTCCCTCCAATGCAAAGCGGATGACAGGTGACGAAACAAAGGTTACTTAAACCTTGAAAGGATACTCACCACGGACAGTAAGTATCAAATATGGAGACCTATCTTGTGAGCTGACTCCACGATGATGACGAGACGACAGTATTATCGCCTTCTCTTTCCCTGTCTCGGTATTTTTTTTTAATCCACAACGAGGAACTCTTGGCCTGTATCTCACCTGATGGTAAGTGACGATCAGGCCGAAAAGGTGAAAGCGAGCTTCACTCGGAATCCTCAACCACGGAGGACTAGCTATTTTACCTCTAACTGCCGGAACACAACAATGCTGTTAACATTATTGTTATGGCGACAGACTTAGGTAAGATGGTGGTAGCTAGCCAGGCGGACTTAGAACAAGCCCTACCACCAACCAAACCGAACAGAAAAATCTGCCCCCACTGGGAATCGAACCCGGGACCTCTGCGTCTGAAGCAGGTGGTCTTACCACTAGACCACAGAGGCGGTTAATGACCACAGAGAAGCCACTCATCTCGAGGTCCGTTGGCCAGGTAAAGGCGCGACGCCTTCAGCCGCAGCCGCGACGGGTGCCTCAGAGGCAGCGTTGCCAGTTTTTTTATTTCGCCAAGTAGGGACTTTGGTACTTTTTGAGTGAAAATAGAGGGATTCTTCCGTCAGAAGCGGGACATAGTAAAAAAACGTATACAATCAAAGGTTTTCAAATATTTATCTTTTTATTTGACTTAAAATTACGTTTACGTGATAATAGATAGCAAAAGTAGTCATAGAAAATGTATTTTAACAAAAAAATAATATTTAAAATCAGATTTACTCTATCGTTAAATTCGTCTTTAGAATAAAAAAAGAACAAAAACAAAAATCGAAAAAAAAAATTCTTTAGAATACTAAATGGCGTTTCAAACAATAGTCTGGTGAAGTGAGTGTCTCTATCCGAAAAGCGGGACCGAGCCTGTCCCGCGCGGGACATATAAATTTGATTTAAAAATCGGGACGTCCCGCCAAAATCGGGACGTCTGACAACGCTGCTCAGAGGCCACTCAACTCGAGGTCCGTTGGCCAGGTACAGGCGCGACGCCTTAAGCCGCAGCCGCGACGGGTGCCTCAGAGGCCACTCAACTCGAGGTCCGTTGGCCAGGTACAGGCGCGACGCCTTCAGCCGCGGCCGCGACGGGTGCCTCAGAGGCCACTCACCTCGAGGTAGGGCAGGCGTCGCGCGCGCGCGTACAGCAGGCAGGCGTAGGGCAGCGACAGCACGCGGCACAGCAGGAAGGAGCCGAGCATGGCCAGCCCGTTGGCCAGGTACAGGCGCGACCCTTCAGCCGCGGCCGCGACGGGTGCCTCAGAGGCCACTCACCTCGAGGTAGGGCAGGCGTCGCGCGCGCGCGTACAGCAGGCAGGCGTAGGGCAGCGACAGCACGCGGCACAGCAGGAAGGAGCCGAGCATGGCCAGCCCGTTGGCCAGGTACAGGCGCGACCCTTCAGCCGCGGCCGCGACGGGTGCCTCAGAGGCCACTCACCTCGAGGTAGGGCAGGCGTCGCGCGCGCGCGTACAGCAGGCAGGCGTAGGGCAGCGACAGCACGCGGCACAGCAGGAAGGAGCCGAGCATGGCCAGCCCGTTGGCCAGGTACAGGCGCGACCCTTCAGCCGCGGCCGCGACGGGTGCCTCAGAGGCCACTCACCTCGAGGTAGGGCAGGCGTCGCGCGCGCGCGTACAGCAGGCAGGCGTAGGGCAGCGACAGCACGCGGCACAGCAGGAAGGAGCCGAGCATGGCCAGCCCGTTGGCCAGGTACAGGCGCGACGCCTTCAGCCGCAGCCGTGACAGGATGCCTCGGAGGGACACGAAAGGAGTCGATAATTCCATCAGGTACACGAAGCCGAACGTGCAGTCGCCGAAGCTGCCGCGGAAGTACTGCGGAAAATAAAAATATACAATTAGTTTCATAGTTCTAGTTGACTCTTTGTGTCAACGAAAACGTCCACAGCTGGACAAAGGCCCCAAGAATTTCCACAACGTCCAGTCCGCGTCAGACCACATTTCTTTCCAGTCAGCGGATCCACACCGAACGTCCCACCGCCACGAATTTGCTTCTTCTCAGCACTAGTTTACATTATTGTCTTTGAGACAACTTCGGGACGTAACTTCGAAAGCCAGAGCTTTGATCCTTTGACATTCAAAGAACACAAAGACAAAATGCTCACCACGATCCAATAAAACTCACCACGATGACCAGGAATCCGAAGCCCCCTATGAAGAGGTGGTGCATGAGTATCACAGGATCGTGACGACAGTATTCCAGGAAGGAAGCCGAGGGTTTCTTGCGCGTTCCGTCACCAGAGGACAGCACCAGAGGATGGTATACAATGAGGGCTATCGTTTTTATACTTAACAGTTGGCACCCCTGGCGATTGACAGGACCTTACTCTACAGCGGCGCCATCTTGATGAGTGCAAATGCGATAGTCCTCCTACCACTTTCGCGCTCACCAGTTGGTGCCACTGTCTTCGCTACTAGCAAATGACAGGACCTTACTCTACAGTGGCGCTAACTGGTGAGCGCTAAAACGATAGCCCTCATTGGACCTTGTCTCCGAGGATGACATCCGTTCGGAAGGAAGCAATTCCACCATAACTTTCTTTAGTTAGTGGTCGATCTCTGTATCCCACATAAACAGACAAATAAAACTCACCACAATGACCAGGAATCCGAATCCTCCAATGAAGAGATGGTGCATGAGTATCACAGGCTCATGACGACAGTACTCCAGGAAGGAAGCCGAGGGTTTCTTGCGCGCTCCGTCTCCAGAGGATAACACCAGCTCACCGTCAAATAAACTCACCACAATGACCAGGAATCCGAAACCTCCAATGAAAAGATGATGCATGAGTATCACAGGCTCATGACGGCAGTACTCCAGGAAGGAAGCCGAGGGTTTCTTGCCTGCTCCGTCACCAGAGGACAGCACTAGAGGATGGTATACTTTTGGACCTTTCAAGGAAGGAAGCAGTTCCACCATAACTTTCTTTAATGAACGATGTCTATATCCCACATAAATAGACAAAATAATAGAACTCACCACAATGACCAGGAATCCGAACCCTCCTATGAAGAGGTGATGCATGAGGATGACGGGCTCATGACGGCAATATTCCAGGAAGGAGGTAGAGGGTTTCTTGCCTGCTCCGTCACCAGAGGACAGCACCAGAGGATGGTATACTTTTGGACCTTGTCTCCGAACATGACAACCGCTCGGAAAGAAGCAATTCCACCTTAGCTTCTATCAGTGGTAGACCTCCATATCCCACATAAACCAGGAATCCAAAGTCTCCTATAAAGAGGTGATGCATGAGTATCACAGGCTCATGACGGCAGTACTCCAGGAAGGAAGCCGAGGGTTTCTTGCCTGCTTCGTCACCAGAGGACAGCACTAGAGGATGGTATACTTTTGGACCTTTCAAGGAAGGAAGCAGTTCCACCATAACTTTCTTTAATGAACGATGTCTATATCCCACATAAATAGACAAAATAATAGAACTCACCACAATGACCAGGAATCCGAACCCTCCTATGAAGAGGTGATGCATGAGGATGACGGGCTCATGACGGCAATATTCCAGGAAGGAGGTAGAGGGTTTCTTGCCTGCTCCGTCACCAGAGGACAGCACCAGAGGATGGTATACTTTTGGACCTTGTCTCCGAACATGACAACCGCTCGGAAAGAAGCAATTCCACCTTAGCTTCTATCAGTGGTAGACCTCCATATCCCACATAAACCAGGAATCCAAAGTCTCCTATAAAGAGGTGATGCATGAGTATCACAGGCTCATGGCGGCAATACTCCAGGAAGGAAGCCGAGGGTTTCTTGCGCGCTCCGTCTCCAGAGGATAGCACGAGCTCGCCGTTCAAACAAACTCACCACAATGACCAGGAATCCAGTCTCCTATAAAGAGGTGATGCATGAGTATCACAGGCTCATGACGGCAGTACTCCAGGAATGAGGCCGAAGGTTTCTTGCGCTCTCCGTCTCCAGAGGATAGCACCAGCTCGCCGTACAAACAAACTCACCACAATGACCAGGAATCCGAAACCTCCAATGAAAAGATGATGCATGAGGATCACAGGCTCATGACGGCAGTATTCCAGGAAGGAAGCGGATGGTTTCTTGCGCGCTCCGTCTCCGGAAGACAAAACCAGTTCGCCATTCTTGGAGACGCGTTTCTGGAACCTGGACTTCCACTCAGCGCTATTACTCATTTGGACGTATACCTGGGAAAATTCAATAATTTTCTGTAAGTATTTTAAATGGTAAGGTAATGGCTGAGGGCGCACAGTGAAAATCAGTGTCGAGACATGTGTTTGTCTCAATTTATCTGGCATTTAAAGCACTTTTGGCGCAACGAAAAGATGTATTTCAGCTATATCCACTGCTGAGCTTAACACTACAGTACACGCGCCCCTTTTTTACACCAATACACGCGCGGCCAATACTCTGGTAAGCCAATTTAAAATCACTGTAAATCTGTTTGTAAGCAATTTATGAATAAAATTACTATGTAAATAATAAAAGTGTTTATTATAGTTCTTTTATAATCAAAGTTTCTTTATAAAAGCATTTGGGATTAAACATTATAAACAGATTTAAAATTTGTAAATTTGGACCAAAATTGCACTCTGAGATCCATGTTATCAAAAAAATTATTTACTGCACGACCACATGCACACGATCGCGCCCGTAGCGCACGACAGCGCCGCTTGCACTGCTGACACCAGTCTCCGCTCCACTCCGCTAGCGCACTCACCATGTACATGGACCATATGTCGTAGAAGAAGTAGGCGGCGCCGAACCAGGCGTAGGCCTCCGACATGAAGTGCGACGAGCGCATGAAGTCGCGCGTGCACGACCACATGCACACGATGGCTCCCGTCGCGCACGACAGCGCCGCTTGGACAGCTGACACCAGTCTCCGCTCCGCTCCGCTAGCGCGCACTCACCATGTACATGGACCATATGTCGTAGAAGAAGTAGGCGGCGCCGAACCAGGCGTAGGCCTCCGACATGAAGTGCGACGAGCGCATGAAGTCGCGCGTGCACGACCACATGCACACGATGGCTCCCGTAGCGCACGACAGCGCCGCTTGCACTGCTGACACCAGTCTGGGGGTATACAGATAAGAATACTATAGCTAGCATATCACCGAGCCTTAGCCTGGTATACATAGATCTTGCTTGAGGCAAAACGCCTACAGTGGGAGATCACTAGCGTAGGTAGTAGATAGCGGGTAGGTCCTGCCCCTTTAGCAGGAAGAACCACTAGCTCGTGGGTATACAAATTGATGTATTTTCCTGACAAAAAAAAAAAGAAAAAGCCGGTATACATAGAGAAACGTAGCTAGGCGTTCAACCACTCAGCCTGTATACAAAAAAATACAGGCTTGATACAAACTTGACCTTCACTGGTTGGGTTTATATTGACAGTCAAGCTGTAGATCCTGGATACACAGGAGTTGCAGCGGTGGGAACGAGAGGTGAGAAATGTATTGACTATCTGCTCAAACTGTTAATGTACGACGCGTCTTTATGTTGACACTCATCATCATCATCTCAGCCACAGGACGTCCTATGCTGAACATAGATCTCTCCCAAGCTTTCCATGTTGCCCGGTTGGGAGCGGCCTGCGTTCAGCGCCTTCCTGCTACCTTTACGATGTCATCGGTCCACACCGGTGTGACTAAGCAATCGCGACTGTGCGACGGGCGGCCGCAGTGAGTGTGCAAGCGCGACAGCAATATAATTAACTGGCTTAACTGCGAACGATAAGGATCGGTAGCTTGGGGTCATTGGACGAAATTCTATGTGCTCGGCGACCGGGCTTTACATACTTGTTGGTGATGTCGAGCACGTCGCCAACACTAAGGCGGTAGGCGTGGCGGAAGCGCGCGCCGGCGCCGGTGGACAGCGCCGCCAGGTTCAGCAGCGAGAATAGTGACGTGAAGTACGCGAATCCAAGACCGGTTAATGCCACGCCGCGCTTTATGGAGATCCTGTAATGAACGAGGAATAGCATTAGTACCAATTTAGAAACCAACTGTCATGTAATGCACGGGAGGGGCACGGGAAACACAGACCCATTCTTGAAACCAGCACTTAGATCGCGTTCGCGCGGCATTGTGTTATGTCGTCAAGGTGATTGTTTAGGTTCGCAAACGAAATCCCCATACAAAAAAAACCCAGACCCGACAGAAACGAGACATACCTCAGTTTTTTTGTCATGTCTTAATTAGTTAAATTATATATTTTTTATATTCGTAATCTATGTATAACACCAAAATATTACCCTTTGTTTTTGTTAAGGCGTTATACAAAAACTAATACAAAATGCCTATTTATCACCAAAATTGGTAACTGTATGTACCTAAATGTATATTACAGCTACTATGGCCACTATGGAATGTATCTAGGTGACCTGGAGATACGCGATACTAACGAAAAAATCACCTCCGAACCTCGGTAATCCATCCAGATCAAAAATAGATAACAATTTTAACCTGTCAGTGCTGCCTTTACCTATCACGTGTAGATATTTCATTACGCTGTTGATGATGTCGCGATAAACTCGTTAAAGATAAACGTAAATATTACGGCTTACTGGCGCTTTCATCTCCGGTTTATCTTAAGACATTATCATCTCCCACTTGGTACACAGCCTAAACAAAACAGCTAGTCTCTGAGCTGAACAGTTTCAGATATTATCTAATTTATATCTTTACTAGCTGCTTTACTAGCTAGTAGATTTAAAATTATCCATGTTTCATCTAAAATGGTTGCTTTGTTTTAGCTTTTTCTTCTTGCTAAAAGGATAATATTATATTCTAGTTACTTTCAACTATTTTGGGACTAAACTGTACGTGACTGTACAGTGACGTGTAGTCAAAAATATAAACTGGCTGTTTTGCTTCGAGCTATGGCATTATTTTACTTGAAATATTATCTGGAAATTCTGGAATATACTCATGTGTGTTTATAAATTTATTAAATTGAGATATCTAAGTTTTTTTGCAATAATCATACAATTTTCCTTATTACTTTGTCAAGAGATTAGATTGATAATGAAAAAAAGTGGTTTCGACATATCGTTTATCTTATTTTTCTAAACTTTTTCCTGCTATTTGCATGTATTCTGTATTCATATACCCACTATCCACACCTAGTCACAAATATTTCGTTGCGTAGAGCCAAGCAACGGAAGTTCCTTCAAACATGTCAGTATTTCTGACACATACCATCGTCTGTGTTCCGTATTCATACACAAAATAATTTTGTTTATACACAAACACTATGTGCATGTCCCGTTATGTAATCGAAACTTAGGCCCGCCATACACGGACAACTCGAGCAGTTAGCCAGTGATAAACATAAACCAATTGCTCTTGCAGTCGTAGTCAATTGAAATTTTACCGTGCTGCCAAACGACCTAGCAGTCACAACTGCTCGAGCAGTTCCGTGTATTTGTGTACTTAGGATATAGATCGTTTCATCCACGAAGACGAGCCTCACCAATTTTTGGTCAAGAGAAGCGCGGGGTGCGGGAGTTTGATCCGAGCAATCTGAGCGTCATTATTGTAGTGTACGTGTGCACTGATGGATAATTTAGCGCGTACTGATAACACTCAAACATTCGCGGAAGAATGGTGGGGCGCGTCTTTGTGGATGAAAGGATCTACTTACGTTTGTTATACAGTCGCAGCTTGAAGCTGTCCTTGTATCGCGGGCCTCAGAAATAAAGATTCCACCTCTATTATTTACCTACGTATATTACCTTGTCATTACATAGGATATTAAACATATAGTATCCCGTCAAAAACGGTCCAGTTTTCTAGATACATAACTGCTGTCTACAAAATACAAAAAGAAATGAGATCCCATCAAAAACAATACTTGTCAAAAAAACCAAGTCTCGCAACTCAGTTGTTCTACGGTAAAAAGTTGTGAGATCCATGTAATACCAAGTCCAGGCCAGGAAATCTTTAACGTTTTACATAAATATATTGACTTGGCCATCGCATGAAAACACGTGTAAATTAAATTATTTAGTGACTTGTAGGGTTTCTGATTTCTCGACCTATTTTTATTCTCGAGTTTCGGGAATTCTCGAGGCCAAAGTCTCGAGTTTTCTCGGGTCTCGAGTCTTTTAATTAAAATTGTTGAAATCGATTGAAAGGATATCATCCATTTTGGTCCAAAATCAAAAGTGCCGGCCAAAAAATAAAGCATGCCTTTGCATTTATTACTAAGGCACCAAAGCTGTAGCACCACTGTGCATCGTAGTATTTGAGTTCTAAAATTATATGAAACGACTGACTTTGATCTCAAATACTACGACGCACATTGGTGCTACAGCTTTGGCGTCATAGTAACAAATGCTAAGGCGGACGTAATCTGTCAGAATACAGCACTTTTTTTTATTGGCCGACATTTTTAATTTTGAACAAAAAATGTATGAATCGTNGATGCACAGTGGTGCTACAGCTTTGGTGTCATAGTAACAAATGCTAAGGCGGACGTATTCTGTCAGAATACAGCACTTTTTATTTTACTGGCCGACACTTTTGATTTTGAACAAAAAATGTATGAATAGTCGATGACTTTTAGATCTCAAATACTCGACGCACAGTGGAGCTACGGCTTTGGTGCCATAGTAACAAATGCTAAGGCAGACGTATTCTGTCAGAATACAGCACTTTTTGATGTTGGCCGGCACTCTTGATTTTGGACCAAAAATATATGAAACGTGGATGATGTCCTTTGCTAAAAACACCGGGTTTTTTTTTAACCCAACTACGTAAAAATGAACTGAAAAGATAGGAATAAGACAAAGTGTTCACAAATACAGTCGATGGCATCAATGACAATTTTTTTTTGTTGGTGATAAGTAGTGGGTGATAATAAGCCGTGTGGTGACGGCAGAATAGAATACATTTGTCACCAACCCCTACTCTTCCCGCGGAGGTGGCTCATAGTCCAGCAGTGGAGTGTAAAGGGCTGTTGATGATGATGATGATAAGTGTTTGATGCTTCCGACTGCATTTGTGAACACTGTCTTGTTTTTATCTTCTCAGTTCATTTTTACCCAGTTGGGGTTTTTTTTTTCAATAATATTTTTATTTTAATCTTTTAGTTAAAGAAAATACATTTTGCAAGCTATTTAAAAACCCTTTATTTTGATACCCCACTCGATAGGTTTTGAGGTATTTTTTTAATACATATTATAGCGCCAAAAATTGGCCATGTTAATATATTTACAGTTAAAACAGATCTAACGATAGTCTTTAGTGACACTCGCCGGACTGAGAGGAATAGATTGATGTGCGAATCATAAAAATCGACCCAGGAGTTTGGTCTCTATAGTGCTTCAAAAACATACATACATAGGCTGTTAAACACTTATCACTCCTTTGCGTCACGCAGTAGGGTAAAAAAGGAAAGACTAGACCAGTCTAAAAGCAACGTTCACCTATTAAATAATTAAAATCTTACTTTTGTCTAAGAAAATAGGCTTTCAAGAATATTAAAGCTTCAAATTCGAGACTCGAGAATTCTCGAGCTCCGGTAATTTTTTTCTCGTCTCGAATGAAGCCAAATTTCTCGAGTTTTCTCGAGTTCGAGAAAGCTCGAGCAGAAACCCTAGTGACTTGGTATTACATGGATCTCACAACTTTTTACCGTAGAACAACTGAGTTGCGAGACTTGGTTTTTTTGACAAGTATTGTTTTTGATGGGATCTCATTTCTTTTTGTATTTTGTAGACAGCAGTTATGTATCTAGAAAACTCGACCGAAATTGAAAAATTTTACTCGACTTGGCGGTTGCACTACCGTGCCCCCAAATATCATTTCTTTTTGTATTTTGTAGACAGCAGTTATGTATCTAGAAAACTGGACCGAAATTGAAAAATTTTACTCGACTTGGCGGTTGCACTACCGTGCCCCCTAATATTTTAGTTTTTCCTTGATTCATACACCAAACACTACTTATATTCCAAATTTGAAGCTTCTAGGTCTGCTAGAAGTGCCTTAGAGTTTTGATGATCGGTGAGTCAGTGAGTCAGTCAGTGAGTGACAAAATTAAGTAACTTTGACCCGTTATAATTCTTAAACTACTGGTTCAAATTGAATGAAATTTTAAATATACCGTGTCTTTACAATGCCTGCATAGCTAATGAAAATTCAGCCTTCTAGTTTTATCCACAACGAAGTTACAGGCGGTCGAAAATGGCCTGAATTGCTTCGAGAAAAGGATGGTACGGCCGTGCCGCTTTTTTGCTCGACTTGGTGGGGGCACTGCCGTGCCCCCAGATATGAAATTTGGCAAGCAGGTACCTTAGTAAACTTAAAGCTTAGTTATAACAGGATATTGCAAAATTCCTACGGGAACGGGAATTAGCGAGAAAAAACATTTGTATGAAAAAATCTAAGCCACGTAACATAGACGCTTGAAATTTGGCATGCAGGTACCTTAGTAAATTTAAAGGTTAGTTGCAACAGGATATTGCAAAATTCTCACGGGAACGGGAGTTAGCGGGAAAAAACATTTGTATGAAAATATCTAAACCGCGTAAGATAGATGAAGGGGGTAAAATGGAATCCACGCGTACGAAGTCGCGGGCGGCCGCTAGTTTTCTTCATAAATCTTTCTTTCCTTTGTAAAGCTATCTACAAGCTTTCTTTGACATCTGGAGTTGTAAAATCTTGCAACTTAAAATTTACTTACTTCCCGTTTTCCCATTGAGCTGAAATTTTGCATGTCTACACAGGCATGCAAAATTTCGTTTCATTTCGCACTAAATAATTTAATTTACACGTATTTTCATGCGATGGCCAAGTTAGTGTCCGACCGAATGTTCGGTTTCGGTTTCGTTTTCGGTTGAGTTTCGGTAAAAACACGAGTTTCGGTTTAGTTTCGTTTTCGGCGGCAAACTTGCCGAAACTACGACCGAAACCGAATGTGCATTCGGGAGTTTCCGCGCTGTTATCGGTCATGTTCGGCTCGTTGAATGAGTGAATGAATCCGATCAGAGCCAATGTCGTGATTCGCTCGCTTGTTTGTTTGCTTGGAGAAGCAGCTTTTCCTCAAGACTACTCCCGCTACCTCAAGGGCGAGCGCACGCAGCGGGCACCCGCTCCGAGGCTAAGGCTGGTTTTAGTCTGGCTGGACAGTCCACGTGACACTAAAACCAGCTTACGTGGAGGCCCCTAGAGTAATAATCTTTAACGTGACATGTGTGTCAAAAAAAATGCACTATTGAGTAATTAATATCAACTTTGAAGTAAATCACCATCAAAATAACTTTCTACCCCTTTTTAACATAGTTTCACTAAAAATACATAGTTTCACTAAAATTTCACTAAAATACGAAACACGTCTTCCATTAATTCTGTTATAGGAATGTTTATGCAAAATTTGAAGTACATAGATTAGACGAAGGAATCTCGTTATCCCATATAAACTTTGCCCCCCTTTTTACCTCCTTAGGGGTAGAATTTTGGAAAATCCTTTCTTATCAGATGCTTACATCATACAAAGAACACATCCTCCAAGTTTCAGGTCTCTACGACTTATACCTANTCAGCCGCGGCCGCGACGGGTGCCTCAGAGGCCACTCACCTCGAGGTAGGGCAGGCGTCGCGCGCGCGCGTACAGCAGGCAGGCGTAGGGCAGCGACAGCACGCGGCACAGCAGGAAGGAGCCGAGCATGGCCAGCCCGTTGGCCAGGTACAGGCGCGACGCCTTCAGCCGCAGCCGCGATAGGATGCCTCGGAGGGACACGAAAGGAGTCGATAATTCCATCAGGTACACGAAGCCGAACGTGCAGTCGCCGAAGCTGCCGCGGAAGTACTGCGGAAAACAAAAAACAAACATTTGAAAAGAAAAGAAAAGAAAAACATTTATTTGGTTCAAACTTAAAAAATATAACACACAGAATGAGATAACAAAAAACAAGTATAAGTTAGAACCAAAATTGGCCACCGCTCAGCATGTGTCATGCTCTGGAGTGTAATAAAACCAGAACACAACGCTGTTATTCTGCGGTGACCATTTCAATTTAATTTTTATTGTTGGCTATTTGTATCAACCAAAAGACGACTACTGCTGGACAAAGGCCTCCTCCAATGGTTTCCAGATTGGCTGGAAAAGGCAGCAAAGATTTCCCCAACGTTCGGTCGTGCGCTGCCCTCATTACTTACCAATTACCGAAAGATCGCGTAACGCACCCAGGCGCACAATGCAATGTGGATGTGCTGCGCGCGATTGAATCACGGTGGATTCTCCGGTGTGGAGTCGTAATCAAATGTCATGGGATGTCATGTGTGAGCATTACTACAAAGTAGAAGATGTTAGCTAGTTACCTAACACCTGTGGGAACTATAAAAGACAACCAAACAAAACTCACCACAATGACCAGGAATCTAAAGCCCCCTCTGAAGAGGTGATGCATGAAGGAGTGGAAGGAAGCGGAGGGTTTCTTGCGCGCTCCGTCTCCAGAGGATAACACCATCTCACCGTTCAAATAAACTCACCACAATGACCAGGAATCCGAATCCTCCAATGAAAAGATGATGCATGAGGATCACAGGCTCATGACGGCAGTACTCCAGGAAGGAAGCCGAGGGTTTCTTGCGCGCTCCGTCTCCGGAAGACAAAACCAGTTCGCCATTCTTGGAGACGCGCTTCTGGAACCTGGACTTCCACTCAGCGCTGTTGCTCATTTGGACGTATACCTGGGAAAATTCAATAATCTTCTGTAAGTATTTTAAATGGTAAGGTAATGGCTGAGGGCGCACACTGAAAATCAGTGTCGAGACATGTGTTTGTCTCAATTTATGTGGCATTTAAAGCTCTTTTGGGGCAACGAAAAGATGTATTTCAGCTATATCCACTGCTGAGCTTAACACTACAGTACACGCGCCCCTTTTTTACACCAATACACGCGCGGCCAATACTCTGGTAAGCCAATTTAAAATCACTGTAAATCTGTTTGTAAGCAATTTATGAATAAAATTACTATGTAAATAATAAAAGTGTTTATTATAGTTCTTTTATAATCAAAGTTTCTTTATAAAAGCATTTGGGATTAAACATTATAAACAGATTTAAAATTTGTAAATTTGGACCAAAATTGCACTCTGAGATCCATGTTATCAAAAAAATTATTTACTGCACGACCACATGCACACGATCGCGCCCGTAGCGCACGACAGCGCCGCTTGCACTGCTGACACCAGTCTCCGCTCCACTCCGCTAGCGCACTCACCATGTACATGGACCATATGTCGTAGAAGAAGTAGGCGGCGCCGAACCAGGCGTAGGCCTCCGACATGAAGTGCGACGAGCGCATGAAGTCGCGCGTGCACGACCACATGCACACGATGGCTCCCGTCGCGCACGACAGCGCCGCTTGGACAGCTGACACCAGTCTCCGCTCCGCTCCGCTAGCGCGCACTCACCATGTACATGGACCATATGTCGTAGAAGAAGTAGGCGGCGCCGAACCAGGCGTAGGCCTCCGACATGAAGTGCGACGAGCGCATGAAGTCGCGCGTGCACGACCACATGCACACGATGGCTCCCGTCGCGCACGACAGCGCCGCTTGGACAGCTGACACCAGTCTCCGCTCCGCTCCGCTAGCGCGCACTCACCATGTACATGGACCATATGTCGTAGAAGAAGTAGGCGGCGCCGAACCAGGCGTAGGCCTCCGACATGAAGTGCGACGAGCGCATGAAGTCGCGCGTGCACGACCACATGCACACGATGGCTCCCGTCGCGCACGACAGCGCCGCTTGGACAGCTGACACCAGTCTCCGCTCCGCTCCGCTAGCGCGCACTCACCATGTACATGGACCATATGTCGTAGAAGAAGTAGGCGGCGCCGAACCAGGCGTAGGCCTCCGACATGAAGTGCGACGAGCGCATGAAGTCGCGCGTGCACGACCACATGCACACGATGGCTCCCGTCGCGCACGACAGCGCCGCTTGGACAGCTGACACCAGTCTCCGCTCCGCTCCGCTAGCGCGCACTCACCATGTACATGGACCATATGTCGTAGAAGAAGTAGGCGGCGCCGAACCAGGCGTAGGCCTCCGACATGAAGTGCGACGAGCGCATAAAGTCGCGCGTGCACGACCACATGCACACGATGGCTCCCGTCGCGCACGACAGCGCCGCTTGGACAGCTGACACCAGTCTCCGCTCCGCTCCGCTAGCGCGCACTCACCATGTACATGGACCATATGTCGTAGAAGAAGTAGGCGGCGCCGAACCAGGCGTAGGCCTCCGACATGAAGTGCGACGAGCGCATAAAGTCGCGCGTGCACGACCACATGCACACGATGGCTCCCGTCGCGCACGACAGCGCCGCTTGGACTGCTGACACCAGTCTCCGCTCCGCTCCGCTAGGGTGCACTCACCATGTACATGGACCATATGTCGTAGAAGAAGTAGGCGGCGCCGAACCAGGCGTAGGCCTCCGACATGAAGTGCGACGAGCGCATGAAATCGCGCGTGCACGACCACATGCACACGATGGCTCCTGTTGCGCACGACAGCGCCGCTTGGACAGCTGACACCAGTCTGCGGGTATAGATAAGAATAAAACTAACATATCACCGAGCCTTAGCCTGGTATATACAGGGTGGAAACGATAAGTGATCTCATTCGATTATTTCTAAACTATACAAGATGTCGAAAAACTGGTTACTGATCCTGAAAGTGCTGCACGAGCTCTATCCAACGGTACCAATAATAGGTTACAGAATTAACTAGATCTATCCGAAAATTCAATGTTTTCAGACACTCATCATCATCATCTCAGCCACAGGACGTCCACTGCTGAACATAGGCCTCTCCCAATGCTTTCCATGTTGCCCGGTTGGTAGCGGCCTGCGTTCAGCGCCTTCCTGCTACCTTTACGATGTCGTCGGTCCACATCGGTGTTATATTGACCCTATCTACTAAAGTCCGGTCGCCCAGCACGTAGAATTTCGTCAAATGACCCTAAGCAACTCCTTATCGCTCGCGCGTAATAATTTATATTGCTGTCGCGAATGTGCGACGGGCGACCGCAGTCAGTGTGCGAGCGCGACAGCAATATATGGGTAGCTTGGGGTCATTGGACGAAATTCTATGTGCTCGGCGACCGCTTTACATACTTGTTGGTGATGTCGAGCACGTCGCCAACACTAAGGCGGTAGGCGTGGCGGAAGCGCGCGCCGGCGCCGGTGGACAACGCCGCCAGGTTCAGCAGCGAGAATAGTGACGTGAAGTACGCGAATCCAAGACCGGTTAATGCCACGCCGCGCTTTATGGAGATCCTGTAATGAACGGGGAACAGCATTAGTGTTTTGTACCAAATAAATCAACTGTCACGTAAACAATTTAGTACTAAACTAAGACCGCTTTCACATTAGAGCGTCACAATCGCGACAGCAGCGCGGCAGCGGCGGCGTTTTTATAATGTAAAGACAGGCATATGCTGTCATACTATAGTATGAAATTATCGGCATGGCGTCTATCACGCTGCTAAGATCGCCAAATGTGAAAGCGCTCCACGCTCCACAGGAATTCTACAACGACAATGACATACCATAAAACATCTTAGTACAACGATTGGAGTTTCATAACTTCAGGAACCTGCATGCATTGACATTGGGGCAAGTTCGTACATTACTGGTCCCGTAATATTTTGTGTTCGAGCTGCATTGAGGTTTACACGAACAAACGTTCCTTCAATAATGCTGTCAAAAACATTAGCGGACAACAAGCTAACTTCCGAGCCTGGTAATCCATCCAAATCGAAAAAAAAAAGAGAACAATTTTAACCTTTCAGTGCTGCCTTCACCTATCACGTGTAGATATTTCATTACGCTGTTGATGATGTCGCGATAAACTCGTTAAAGATAAACGTAAATATTATGGCTTACTGGCGCTTTCATCTCCGGTTTATCTTAAGACATTATCATCTCCCACTTGGTACACAGCCTAAACAAAACAGCGAGTCTCTGAGCTGAACAGTTTCGGATATTATCTAATTTATATCTTTACTAGCTGCTTTACTAGCTAGTAGATTTAAAATTATCCATGTTTCATCTAAAATGGTTGCTTTGTATTAGCTTTTTCTTCTTGCTAAAAGGATAATATTATATTCTAGTTACTTTCAACTATTTTGGGACTAAACTGTACGTGACTGTACAGTGACGTGTCGTCAAAAATATAAACTGGCTGTTTTGCTTCGAGCCATGGCATTATTTTACTTGAAATATTATCTGGAAATTCTGGAATATACTCATGTGTGTTTATAAATTTATTAAATTGAGATATCTAAGATTTTTTTGCAATAATCATACAATTTTCCTTATTACTTTGTCAAGAGATTAGATTGATAATGAAAAAAAGTGGTTTCGACATATATCGTTTATCTTATTTTTCTAAACTTTTTCCTGTTATTTGCATGTATTCTGTACTAGCTTTCCGCCCGCGGCTTCGCCCGCGTGGAATTTTGTCTGTCACAGAAAAACTTTATCACGCGCGTCCCTGTTTCAAAAACCGGGATAAAAACTATCCTATGTTCTTTCCCGGGACTCAAACTATCTCTATGCCAAATTTCATCAAAATCGGTTGCGAGGTTTAAGCGGGAAAGCGTAACAGACAGACAGACAGACAGACAGACAGACAGACAGACAGACAGACAGACAGACAGAGTTACTTTCGCATTTATAATATTAGTTGGGATTCATATACCCACTATCCACACCTAGTCACTAATATTTCGCTGCCTAGAGCCAAGCAACGGAAGTATCTTTAAACATGTCAGTATTTCTGACACATACCATCGTCCGTGTTCCGTATTCATGCACAAAATAATTTTGTTTATACACAAACACTATGTGCATGTCCCGTTATGTAATCGAACCTTAGGCCCGCCATACACGGACAACTCGAGCAGTTAGCCAGTGATAAACATAAACAAATTGCTCTTGCAGTCGTAGTCATTGAAATTTTACCGTGCTGCCAAACGAGTCACAACTGCTCGAGCAGTTCCGTGTATTTTGTGTACGTAGAATATAAATCGTTTCATCCACGAAGATGCGCCCCACCAATTTTTGTTCAAGAGAAGCGCGGGGTGCGGGAGTTTGATCCGAGCAATCTGAGCGTCATTATTGTAGTGTGCGTGTGCACTCATGGATAATTTAGCGCGTACTGATAACACTCAAACATTCGCGGAAGAATGGAGGGGCGCGTCTTTGTGGATGAAAGGATCTACTTACGTTTGTTATACAGTCGCAGCTTGAAGCTGTCCTTGTATCGCGGGCCTCAGAAATAAAGATTCCACCTCTATTATTTACCTACGTATATTACCTTGTCATTACATAGGATATTAAACATATAGTATCCCATCAAAAACAATACTTGTCAAAAAAACCAAGTCTCGCAACTCAGTTGTTCTACGGTAAAAAGTTGTGAGATCCATGTAATACCAAGTCCAGGCCAGGAAATCTTTAACGTTTTACATAAATATATTGACTTGGCCATCGCATTAAAACACGTGTAAATTAAATTATTTAGTGCGATGGCCAAGTCAATATATTTATGTAAAATGTTAAAGATTTCCTGGCCTGGACTTGGTATTACATGGATCTCACAACTTTTTACCGTAGAACAACTGAGTTGCGAGACTTGGTTTTTTTGACAAGTATTGTTTTTGATGGGATCTCATTTCTTTTTGTATTTTGTAGACAGCAGTTATGTATCTAGAAAACTGGACCGAAATTGAAAAATTTTACTCGACTTGGCGGTTGCACTACCGTGCCCCCAAATATTTTAGTTTTTCCTTGATTCATACACCAAACACTACTTATATTCCAAATTTGAAGCTTCTAGGTCTGCTAGAAGTGCCTTAGAGTTTTGATGATCGGTGAGTCAGTGAGTCAGTCAGTGAGTGACAAAATTAAGTAACTTTGACCCGTTATAATTCTTAAACTACTGGTTCAAATTGAATGAAATTTTAAATATACCGTGTCTTTACAATGCCTGCATAGCTAATGAAAATTCAGCCTTCTAGTTTTATCCACAACGAAGTTACAGGCGGTCGAAAATGGCCTGAATTGCTTCGAGAAAAGGATGGTACGGCCGTGCCGCTTTTTAGCTCGACTTGGTGGGGGCACTGCCGTGCCCCCAGATATTAAATACCTACCACCAAGGCCGCCTAGCATGCCTAATGTAAATTAGGTGATAAGAGAACGCATGTACTGATAAGCGAAGGATGAGCGGTAGAATTAACAGCGAAAACAAACGCTTAGGCTACGTTTCCACCAGAGATGTGCGAGGTAAATGAAGTGATACTATTGGTTCTTTACAAACACATCCCTCGCTATAGATCGTTTCATCCACGAAGACGCGCCCCACCATTCTTCCGCTAATGTTTGAGTGTTATCGGTACCCGCTAAATTATCCATGAGTGCAGAAGCACACTACAATAATGACGCTCAGATTGCTCGGATCCAACTCCCCGCACCCCGCGGTTCCCTCGACGAATAATATTGGTGGGGCGCGTCTTCGTGGATGAAACGATCTATACGCGTCCTCGCACATCTCTGGTGGAAACGCAGCCTAAATTCGTTGCTTTTGTGGCGTGTAAAATAATAGGGTAAATGTAACACATAATTATGTAATTAAATTTACGTAAACGTATATTCCGGGTTTTATCAGGTGGTTAGAATTTAGACTCTTAATCCGGAGTTTAAATTTGTATTGAATTAAATTAGAAAACATTGTTATTTAACTTGGTTAAGACTTAGGTAGTCTTACCCCAGTTCGATTTTATTGTCTCTAACCAGTACAGTTATGTTCCAATAGATGATAAAAATATTTGCAATAGACACCTTTTTATAATTGTTCATGTGTTAAAGATAACTAATTTCTGCTCGTGTGGATATTAGCCTATCAAGGAAGATCTCTTCTTCAAACCAGCAACATTATTAATGTTTGATTTCCCACGCAATATTAAATCCTTTAATTCTCCTCCAAATTGATTTAGGGAACCAAGTTTAGTTTAATTGCATATTTAATTAAAACCAAAATGATCAAAATTCCTACAACAATCGATCGAGACATACGTAACAAAACACTTTTGGCTTATTATTATATTATCTTCACCGTTGCATAAGAGATAGCCCCTATATTACTGCAGATAGCCTATGGCCTATTTAATTGGCCTGTGGTATCTTTATTATGAATGGAGCTAATTAAAGATGAGCGGCGCGCGCGCATAGCAATACGCATCATATCAATCGTTTCATAATAAATAATGTTACGCGCCGAAGAATTTCGGTCGCAATGCTTGGAAGAATCGCTTGACGTAATACAATATTAAATAAATTTTACTAGATTTCTAGCAGGTATTTGACCGCAATCGCTCCTGATGTTAAGTGATATGCAGTCCAGGATGGTACATACCAGTCCTGTAAGTGCATTTTCTCTCTTGCCTTGAAAGCCCCGATTATAGTGTTCAGGATAGACAGCAGCAGGCAGCGAATACCAGTTCCTAGCTGTTCGCATTATAAAAGAGCTATCGAATCACTTACCATCAGCTGAGATACAGGCCAGGCCAAGACCTTATTCTCCGTTGGGGATACAAAAAAAAACGAGCTGGTGGATTACAGACAATGAATTTTCGAGCAGACATTTTTAAGGAAGGGACTCCTTCTGGCTACTACTCCCTAGAACTTCCATATTATAGTTCCGAATTAAAATTGCGTCACATTGCGTGCGTTTACCCAAAATAACTTCAAATCACGTAAACAAAATGCGCACAAAATTAATGACGTATTATCGGTCACTACGGACGATATGGTGTTCGTTTTTAAGCGGGTTTTTTAGCAATCTCTGACTCACAATCGAGTAAATTAGTTGTGGAGAAATGACCGTAACTTGGTCGTCGTTTCAGACAAATGACGTCCACTGCTGGACAAAGGCCTCCCCAAGATTTTCCGTAATGAACGGTCCTGCGCTGCCCGCATCCAGGTTCTTTCTGCGACTTGGTATTTGGTAGTAATGATCTTAAGTTCTAAACCATAATGATATTATGCTTTCAATTTTTCTATGTTTATCTTCAATTATGAAGCTCTTGGCCGGCATCTCACGTGATGGTAAGTGATGATTATAACGAAGGTGGAATATATTGAGAGCAAATCGTTATGGTTTAGTCGTTATCGACGGATATGGCCTAAAAAGCATAATACTAAATCAATTAAGAGAACAATCAGGTTTTTCTGCTATTTTTATTTGAACAATAATGATCCGAGATACGCTTGATCGCTTCTAACTGAAGTGATATTTTTAGTAATGTACAAGAAATTCTCTTATTGTATACTGGAGAAATTCAGCAAGTTATCGTTGTTAACTCCATAAAGATGTGCGCTCGAATTCACAAACGATACTTGCTTAAGTGACGCAGCAAATCGAACGCACAGCGTTGAATAGAGCTCTGTGATTGGTTCGTGTGTCACCCTGTGCGTCCACGCGTACTGTGAGACCTCATAGTTCGTTCGTTTCAGCCAAATGACGTCCACTGCTGGACAAAGGCCTCCCCCAAGTAATGTGAGACCTCATTGTAATGTTTGTGAAAGATTGAGATAGAACCTTTGCATTGACCTTTTTGGACAAGAGGACGGTCCACTCAGTCTATTTCGACTCGAAAACCTGTCAATTGGATGGTTGACACCATTTACAAAAAATTCAAGGCACAAGTGCACCACAACTTCTTCAAAAACACTTTATTTCCGACCTTGAAGATCCAGTTAGTGAATTTACTGTAAAATTAGATTTTAGATGCTTTGAAATCAATAATAGTCAATCGAGTTGTCGGATAAGTGGCAAAAAATCTTTGGAAGAATCGTGTTTTGGCAACTCATAAAACAAGTATCAATATAAATTAATTGATGGTTTCAACTTCCCATTATGAGTGGCCATTATGGTTAATGAAAAAAAAAAACTTACTTAGGTATATTTATGAAAAAACTTGATAATTAAAACAAACCGGACTCCTCAAACCCCCATGGTCTTTCAATGTTAAAATCTTCAGTTTTTATCAGTGCATGGGAGAAATGAGGAGGAGGTGGACCGACGACCTCATAAAGGTAGCAGGAAGGCGCTGCGCTGGATGCAGGGCGCTACCAACCGCGTGATATGGAAATCTTTGGGGGAGGCCTATGTTCAGCAGTGGACGTCTGTCCTGTGGCTGAAATGATGTTTTATAAGTGCAGATGTGACATTAGGTGGTGCATAATCTTTTCTTAAAAGTTTTAAACCTTTGTTTGTTACCTGTCATCCGCTTTGCAATGGAGGGAAGTCGAACCTTAATTTCGAACTCCTCCTATGTTCTTCTGATTAATTTCGTTGCGGGTCCAATGACAGGGAAAGGTTAACTTTCCCCCGGGACAAACTTGACCTTCATTGGTTGGGTTTTTTTGGCGGTCAAGCTGTAGATCCTGGCTACACAGGAGTTGGAGTGGTGGGAACGAGAGGTGGGAATAGTCACGTATTAGGTGGAACCTTTTAAAGACGGCCATTCATCCACGGATCTTGATCTAATTATTATCCAGTTCATTCATATTCGACGACTTCGTTACGAACGAGTTGTAACTCGCTATCATATTCCGATTTACATAACGTCCCCGCCGGATATTCATATTACCTAATGGACGCAGTCGCACGCGCAGATGCACTAACGTGCTGTTGCGCGTCTTTAAATGCCGGTCACAGACATGTACATTAAGTGTACAATAATGTTATATATATAGAAAGTTTTACTGTTTTCAATTATAATTTCCCATACATGTTTAGAAAATATTTTGGAACAGTTTTTGCAAAGAATAACATAAAAGACGACGGTTACGTTGAGAGTACGAGGTATCGCAAAATAACTTTTGAACAACTTTCTACAAAGCACAAGTATTTGCCAAATAATTTTCTGTTGTGGCAAGCACACAAGTTTTCCGCTATCAACAAAAGAAGAAGAAGACATGCAGCTCTTGAAATAAGTTCAAACTCGTTTAGTTTATGAGAATGGTGAAACTCCACCCTAATTCAATGCTGTTCCTATAACAGCCTCTGGGAGACACTACCACGAAACAGGTAAAGACTGACAGTTGTTTGTTCAGAGTAATCTACTGATACGCTTCAGACCAACACACTTTAATCGCTGTTCTGTATCATAGCCTGGTGGGATACTAAAGCCTGGTCTGTGAGCACGTAGAATTTTGTCCAATGACCCCAAACTACCCATCTTTATCGCTCGCGCGTAATTATATTGCTGTCGCGACTGTGCGACGGGCGCCGGCAGTGAGTGTGCGAGGGCGACAGCGACATAATTACACGCGAGCGATAAGGATGGGTAGCTTGGGGTCATTGGACAAAATTCTACGTGCTCACAGACCAGGCTTTAGCACGAAATAGATAAAGCTTGGCAGTTCTGCGTTCTAGTAAAGGTAGCTATCCTTCTGAAACCGACTTACTTGTCTTCAGGGTTGAGGGTGCTGACGAGGTTGGTGGCGACGCTCAGCGACACCACGTTGCACACCGCCAGCGCGAGCATAGTCGTCCGGGAGTGCGTCTGCAACAATCATAAGCTTCATCATCATACCTCATCAGGACGACTCTCACTATTTTAGTAGTATCATCACCATCATCAACAGCCCTTTACAGTCCACTGCTGGACAATGAGCCTCCTCCACTAAAGTGGAGGGTTTTGCCATAATCCCCACGCTTGGCAGCCGGGTTGGAGATCGCAGTTTATAATATTGATGTTTTTCAGAGAGCGCTGCTGCCCGTTCTCTGTTTGATGTGTAGTCCCCTTTTAGTAGTATAGGTAGAGGTAAAAGTGAGTTTGGATCTATACTCCCCACGCTGGCCAGATTGGTAGGAGAGGCCTGATATTCGCACATTTTACCTATAGCAACCTTCTCTTAATTGGATTGTCTGGAAGAAATTGCTTCCTAGAGATAAGAAAGCGCAAATTGATACCGATTCCTTTCATTTTTGTTGGTTTGTTGTGCAAAGAGTAGGTATATTTTTTGAGGATGTTTACTTTCTTCTTAGGAATCCGTATATAAAACAACTAGCTTTCCGCCCGCGGCTTCGCACGCGTGAAATTTCGTTTGTCACAGATCGTCATAAATTATAGCATATATATGTTATTCTGGATTATGAACAATAATACTATAAAGTTTCATCAAAATCCGTTCAGTGGTTTTTGAGCCTATTCATTACAAACATACAAAAATAGGTACAAATCTTTCCTCTTTATAATATTAGTAAGTATAAACAAGGTGAAATGTTTTTTCATAGTAAACTAACATTAAAAAACTGTATGTATCCGAATTCCTTGTTTATTCGATTACCTACGGTGTTTCGTCATGGCTCAGCTGGCCCCATTAGGTGTAATCGATACTTGACCCTGTTATGTTCACTAATTGACCTAACCGTCTATGGCGTTATCTGACGCCTCTGATTAACACCTTGGTTGGCTTTTAGATAAATAAATAAATATCCTTGGACATTTTAAGCGTCATCTTGTCCTTATAAAGGTGTTCCCTCACCGGGAGATGTAGAATATTATAGATTCGATTGCATTACAGTACATCACATTCTATTTCCTTTTCCTCCCTCACTTATGTAATGCTCGAATCTGTAACGTTACAGTACACGCGAATCCTCCCGGTGAGGGAAGCACCTAAATGAAGCACACGCGTAATTTGTTATAAACCAGACAGCGGATAAAATCTATACTTTTCTGACACATCCACGGTTAACAGAACTAGAAAATAGACCAATAAAACAGATACTTATGTTAATAAGCAAATGCTTGTGTAGTGGGGTAATCGAACCCGCAACCTTTAGCACGCCAACCATTAGACCACCGTGTAGCGGCAGAATACTTTTGAAAATAAAAATCTTCAATGCTACTTATCGCTTTACTGACAACATTTAGCTAAGCACAACAAAGAAGAATAAATGATGACCTACTAAAGAATATTAATAAGTCTTTCCTTTCCATAAAGGTTAGAAAAGAAAAATGTGTCATGAAACATCGATAAAAGAAATAGCAGTGTCGTCTTTCGCTCAGCAATGCGTAGAAAATACCAATCACATGTATAAAAAGGCTACATCGAGTGTCGGCAGCTGCGCACATATTTGACCGAGTGTCCTATGACCTACTTGACCCCAAGCTACCCTTAGAAAGGTCAAGGTCATCACCAAACAGCAAGACCAATTATTTTCGCATTTTAAATTAGAAGGCTGTATGGCGAGACGTTTCGGGATATTATGTCGCAGTCATCTATATCTATACTTATAATAAATCTGTAGAGAGGTCAATTCTGTACATGAAATATATTTTCAAAATAACTATCAGGGGGTGATTAGTGATCGATACTGATGCCAAAAATGCAATCAGTAAAATTTTTGTCTGTCTGTCTGTCTGTCTGTCCGTCTGTATGTTCCTTATAGAAACAAAAACTTCTCGACGGATTTTAACGAAACTTGGTACAATTATTCTTCATACTCCTGGGCAGGTTATAGCGATTTTTTTCGAAGAGTTAGTAAAACCTACTTTTAGAGAAATATTTTGTATAGGTGTTATTTAACAAAAAACATGTTTTTTACAATTACAAATATTATTGTAACAATTTTTTATTGATAATATTCAAATTTCATGGTTCGTGTTCAAAAAAACGATTCCTAAAAAGTACTGGTTCTGTTTCTTTAAATTAAAAACCATTAATTTATTTTTAATACGTTTATTAAAGTCAATAATCGAAAAATATAGTTGATTTTTGTGATGTTTTTAATAACTAAGTATTCACTGCAATCGATTAATGAACCGCGGAAATAATCGATTTTATTATACAAGAAATACCCCAGCACTAAATCTATTCCGTTTCACACATTGCGTACATGAAATAAATAATATTTTTACATCGTATTTAATTAAAATATAATCAATAGACTCAGATTTTACTATATATTTCACGACAAGGTAGTTATTTTTTTTTATTATATTGCTAATAAAATACAAATATTTTTTCAAAAATATTCTGCATATGTAGTATGCGTAATATGGATAACCTTGAAGTGTCATACAGATCATCTTACGTGAAAAAGACTATAGTAGGTATTCTGTAATAATAAATGTGATGCAAATCCAATATAAGTAGGTAGAAGAACAGGTACCTAGTTGATGAGATAGATTTGGAAGTGAAGTTTATTATTAGTTTTATGACTAACACTATAATAATAATTATCTTAAGTATTCTTTGGAACATTAACAACGCCTGTAAGAAATATTTAAATAATGATCAAATAGAGGCTTAGTTCACGTTAATACCGAATGACGTAAGCAAAGTAATTTCTGACATAACAGTAAGCTTCATGTTGAGTCATGGTTTTACTGTTTTTTAATCGTTTTATAAATAAATAAGCGTAAGATTGCACACTTCATGGTCTCTAACCTTGATGTAGGAAAGAATCCGGAATCCCCACTCCATTAATATAAATGCGAAAGTAACTCTGCCTGTTACGCTTTCACGCCTAAACCACTGAACCGATTTTGATGAAACTTGGTATAGAGATAGTTTAAGTCCCGGGAAAGGACATAGGATAGTTTTTATCTGTCTGATCAAACTGTCTCGACCAAAGGGGCGCGCAATCCTCATCACGCATTGGTTCCCGCTGAAAACCTGCTATTCGACATGACGTTTGTGTCATGTCATGTCGCGATTTTTGCGAGCGGGCGCCTGTTCAGCATATTTTTTAGATAATCATGTCTACTCTTGCTTTGTCCGCCACATTGTGCTGAATAAAGATTTGCTTATTCTTATCCCGGTTTTTGAAACAAAGATAAGTTTTTCGATAGACGATAAAGTTTTTCTGTAACGGANTGGGTTGAAATTCAATAATAGTCAATCGAGTTGTCGGACAAGTGGCAACGAAATCTTTGGAAGAATCGTGTTTTGGCAGCTTAAAAAACAAGTATCAATATAATTGATAGTTAGATGGTTTTAACTTCCCATATAACTGGCCTATCCCATATAAGTTGATAATAGAAACAAACTGGACTCCTCAAACGCCCATGATCTTTCTATGTTAAAATCTTCAGTTTTTTTATACTGATAAAAACACTAGCATTGGGAGAAATGAAGTGGAGGTGGACGACCTCATAAAGGTTGTGTTCCGGCAGTTAGAGGTAAGGTAGCCAGTTCCTCCGTGGTTGAGGATTCCGGGTGAACCTCGCTCCCTCCTTCGACCTGATCGTCACTTACCATCAGGTGAGATACAGGCCAAGAGCTTCCTCGTTGTGGATAAAAAAAAAGGTAGCAGGCATTGTGGGAGGCCTATGTTCAGCAGTGGAAGTCCTGTGGCTGAAATGATGATTTTCAGTGCAGATGTGTGTGAGTGTGACATTATGTGGAATCTTTTAAAGACGGCTGTTGTTCATCCACGAATTTTGATCTAATTACTATCCAGTTCATTCATATTGCAACACTACTCGACGACTTCGTTATCGTTACGAACGAGTTGTAAATCGCTATCATATTCCGATTTACATAACGTCCCCACCGGATATTCATATTACTTAATGGACGCAGCGCAGTCGCATGTGCTGATGCACTAACGTGCTGTTGCGCGTCTTTAAATGCCGGTCACGGACATGTACATTATGTGTACAATAATGTTATATAGAAAGTTTTACTGTTTTCAATTATAATTTCCCATACAGGTTTAGAAAATATTTTGGAAAAGTTTTTGCAAAGAATAACATAAAAGACGACGGTTACGTTGAGAGTACGAGGTATCGCAAAATAACTTTTGAACAACTTTCTACAAAGCACAAGTATTTGCCAAATAATTTTCTGTTGTGGCAAGCACACAAGTTTTCCGCTATCAACAAAAGAAGAAGAAGACATGCAGCTCTTGAAATAAGTTCAAACTCGTTTAGTTTATGAGAATGGTGAAACTCCACCCTAATTCAATGCTGTTCCTATCACAGCCTCTGAGAGACACTACCACGAAACAGGTAAAGACTGACAGTTGTTTGTTCAGAGTAATCTATTTCTAGGCTTCTGACCAACACACTTACGTCCTGTATCACAGCCTGGTGGGATACTAAAGCCTGGTCTGTGAGCACGTACAATTTTGTCCATTGACCCCAAACTACCCATCCTTATCGCTCGCGCGTAATGAGGATCAGTACTGTTGTAGAAAATTCAATAAAACTAGTATCTACGTTAATCTTTAAGACATAAGAAAGATATATCTTTTTGAATTATCCAAATCGGACCATTACTTACGAAGATATTAAGTAATAAACATAGGCCGTTTTTGCCGCTAAAAGTCAACGTACGCAAGGCCGCGTGACGTCATTATATCCGAATCGAGCGCAGCCGGCGTACTAATGGGATGGAAAATATTTTTTTCCGGCTAAACTATCAGTTTTAGAAAAAAACTTTTAATAACATTTATTCTTCAAAATAAAGTAACCTATCGACCAGTAATTTTTAAAAATAAAAATTGTGAAAAATAAGTATTGCTATGTCCAAAAACCACATTTTCATA